CTGTGTTCTTTCTGAGTCTCGACTGACAGACCCAGCCCCTCAGATATATCCCACGTGTTTGACAGAGGCAATGCGTACTCTGAAGTCTAAATCATTATTTTATGAATTCACGCTTATACACGGCTCGCACTTTTTTATATATATACAGTGCACATGTGCACACACGCACGCAAGATCCCACGGTTTTGGTTTGTAGCCTTGCAGCCAGTTGGTACAAGTACAGACATGTATACAAAGACTAGGGCACCAAGAGACACGTACACACGGACTTGTACACATACAAAAAACACACTGGTATATGAATAAATATTAGAGCCCGGCTACCATCCAATTATTTAAGTAATCCATTACTCTACCGATTGTCACTTTGATTACGCGACTAATTGGATACCAGGATAATATTTGAGGGGGGGGAGAAAGGCTCGCCTCTCTTACCATGTGTGCCGCTGGATCGGAGGTGATGTCATCAGAATCATCTGCCGGTTGCGGCTTGAAGGGGGTTTCCTGCCTTCAGGAGACGAGATGTGGGGCGGCCACCGTTTTTAAAGGGGCCTGAGTAATTGACCGTAGAAAACGTAGTCGATTGTAAAATGTAGCCGATTCGTCAACCTTAAAATCCCAGCTCCAGGGTCAAGTGCTGTTAGCGAGTCCCTATTAAGGCCTGCATGGCTACACCACTGCCATGATTTGCCATGTTTGCCTTCCCAGCGTTGATGTTCACATGCCACATCAGGTGCTCATTTAAGTCTGAGTTGTCCCAAGTGGAAGCGCAGTAGAGGCTCTGCTATGACTGGCTTCTGGTGCCATTCACGACCAGGAATTGAACCCAGCTCGCTAGGTTCATAGAGCAATGTGTGAATCACTGCACCACCGCTCCATACAGATACACGAGAAGAAACTGGATATCTGTGAAAAAGAGCTTCATAGTTCATCGGATTTCTCCAGGATAAATGAAGATTGTGATTGTGAAACAGCACTCGCCATTTGCCACTACGTGGCGGTGATGTCACCACAGTGTCTGTGCCAGACTAGGTGCACTTTTAATGCACATATGCATTTCCTTAAAAATTGGGTGAATTTAATTCACTGACTTCTATTTGGTAACCATGTCAGAGTCCACTGAGATTACATAAATAAATACAGTAGTTCGTGACATTTTAGACCTGAAGCTTTTTGAACCAGAAATTTGAAACTGAAAGTCTCTTTGTTAAGACTGCAACGTTAGTCCATCGGAGAGACTGGCCCCCTACCATAGGAATGTGTAGTTTCCGCAACTGTCCGATTGCTACCAAGCGACACCTTGACCTTTTGACAGCTATTGTTGTTCCAATTTCCTTTCCTTAATTTTTTCCGGCATTTATGACCATGACGGGATTTGGTTTGTTTGACATTAGGATGGACGGAGCTTCCCGTGTCTCTCCCCCCGAATCTTCGGCGCTGCGCCTTGCTCCTTTTGCAGACTCCCGCTTCCCCCACTCCACCACGGTCCCCCCCCCCCCGGGGCTCCCATCGTGACCTCGGCAGGCATCCGAAACCCTGGATACGGCCTCGCCACTGCCAACAATCGCCTGCCGCTTGCAGCTGCTGCCAGAGCCACCCCTCTTTGTTCCGGGGGGCCCATCTACAGTTCCCCCCCCCCCCCCCCCCCGCCGCGAAACCTCGACCGCCACCGCTCAAAATTATCCACCTCGTTATTTAACCAAAGCCATTCGAGCCCTGGCACCGAGTTGTTGTTTTTTAAAGAAGTTGCAGTTTAGCTTTATTCATTCTGCCAACTTTTTTCGGGCTGCTCATGGGCTTGTTTGCTCTCTCTTCCCCCCCCCCCCCCCCCCGTGATGCCTCGCGGCCAACATACTTTGCGTCTCGTCGTGTGTTGACGTTTTAATACCATTTTGACAGGGCACCGTGTGGTATCGGTTCATGAGAACCTGCTTTGCCGATGACTCTTGTCGAAGTCGGTCTCAAGTCTGCTGCTATTGCGGCTACAACGCCTACTCAAGTGCACCAACACCTTGCCCGTCGAAGATTTGACCATTTGTATCATATATTGACATAGTTGGTTGACCGCGTGCCCCTGTGGCTCGACCATTCGCGGTTGACCGCGAGATTCCTGTACGCGTTGTGACTGCACCGCTCGCGATTACGCTGCGGCGGAAGTACACATGGCGCCGTCTCCTCTCGTCTCCCGTGCAGCCCATCGTGGGTCCCAGTTCACGTGTTGCTCCCAGCGGGCAGTGAGGCAGTGAGGTTGAGCCACCAGCGATTTTTCTTCCTGTAGAAGTACATTAATGTGCGCTAAATTACAATTTTTCATTCTATACATTTTACCGTGCAAGTTGCGTTTTATACTATAGAAAATATTATTCATATTTTTATATTAAAACTACTTCCCGTTTCATTTTTCGATTTAAAGCTTTCATGTTTAGGTTAATGTCAGGTAACATAGTTTTCTCATTTGCTCTGAAGTTTGCGGATCGCAGATCTTCCGATTGCAGCTATTTTCAAGAACATAACACCCACCGTGAAGGGCAAGGACTTTTCTGTATTTTACTCGAATTAGATTATTTGCAACCCTTGAGTTAACTGATGTGTAGTTTACTACCATTGCATGAAACTGAAGCTCATGAACCCGAAGTTCCGGGTCTTTGACTCGCAATCGGAAGGTCACGAGTTTGAATCTAGGTCATGGGATCATTTGAGTCTATCGTCGTTATCACCATCATCGGTGCTCGCTGAGCTGCATTGGCTTCCTGTTGCCGAACGATAACATTTTAAGGTCGTGCTCATTACACAGAAAGTGCTTGCCGCAAATTAACCACAATACCTTGTTGATCTCATCAAGGAGCATAAACCACGCAAACTCCAATGAACTAAGATGCGCTTTCATTGTGAGGTGCTTCTGCGGCCGTCTGGAACGCTGTTCCTTCTGATATTAGAAAGCCACTGTAGCTATGCAATTTAAAATCTAGATTGAAAACTAATTTATTTTAGAACTGCTTTTTGTATTTCTTTTGTTTTCCTTCCGTGGCACCTCCAATTAGCATGTTTGGCACCCTCTATCCGGCCAAACAGAACATTATTGGACATGCGGTGGCTGGGCATGCGGGTCTACATGGCCCCAGCCATTGCGTTGGTTTACAATTGCGCACGCACACACCGATGCGAAGTTGAACACGGGGAAACGGACCTTGTCACTTGGGAGGGGGGGGGGGGGAAGAAACAGCTGTTCAGTGCAAGTGATTTGCCTTTATAGATAAGCCAGCAGAAGGACATTGTTTATAATAGACACAGCATCCTTACAGCTCAAACAGATATGGGCCAGCCTATCCGTGCTGCCCTGAACCAGTGGCTGACATTCCACCTTGCCATGGAAGTGGCCTCTGTATATACACAGGACGATCACTGTTGAATTCTCAAAGTAGTACTATTGACCCCAGAGTGATTGACCCCAGAGTGATAATAATAATGATGATGATGATGGACTGAGTTAAACCCTGGACTTGATGTGAACCCATGACATTCCGTGTGCGAGTTGACACTCCGACCGCAGTGACAAATCGGCCGGGTTAAATGAGGGTGGCGGCTGATTTTTAGGCCTATTATCGAGGCTTCAAAGGCTCGATTACATCACAATAATATTGTCAATCATTTACCCATGACAGTATCACTTAGTCGACGACATTGCAAAGGTTGACCGATTTCAGTTAATGAGAGTTTGGCTTTCGTGTAGGAGGAAGCCGGAAACCCCCGGCTAATACTCACAACTCGTAACAATGGAGCAACACTCGGCACTAACCACCCCCTGGCCACACCTCGCAGCCCCACACCTACAACACCTGGCAAGCCCCTGGTGGTCACTCATCCAGTTACTACGCAGGCTAGTAGCCTGCTTAACTTCCAAGAGCCAACGAGATCGGGCACATTCAGTGCCATTTGGTCGTGGACCGGAAGTTCCCTTTAACTCTCATGGCTGAAACATTGGAACCATGGTTATTAGAAGCGAGCAGGGTTGACAGGGGGTTGACTATGGGTGGACAATGGCTCAGTGCTCATGAAGGTTCCTTCTTCCATCCTCTCAATCTTGTTGGCACTGCCCAGGTATCAGCTGTCATCATCGACATGTTTTGGTTTAAGTGAGCTATTTTGGCCCGACATTAATCGGGGTTGTGTGCATACATGCGTGCATGCGTGTGAAGGTGCGTGCCTTGGCACATGTCACGCCTGATTGCATGCAGGTTTGTAAATGTGCGTTTTTCTGGGTGTCGTGCATCAGGACCGGCCCTGCAACGTACCACCCGGTCGGGCGTGGCGCTGTGCACCCACCCCCTCGTGTACCTTACCAGCCTTGATAGATGATCGCTAACCGAACTTGTCCCAAAGGTCTGTTCAGGCTATACGGGGGAGCGTGTATGAGAGTGTGTGTCTGTGCAGGTGCATGTGCGGGGATGTGCATGTGTCTGTGTGCCAAAAATTGCATATCGCATCACCCAATCGTGCACCACACCAGCTCTAAAAGGTGCTCACCGATAGAATTTAACCCGACAGTCTATATGCACATCTGACCTTCGTCTTTATATTATGTACTGTACACGTACGCACGTGTCCGTTCACGTGTCAGGGCATACAATTACATCTACCTGTCCTGTATATCTTCATAGAGTTCGGCTTAAACAGTTGCTGTGTGTGGGTCGCATGTGCAGAATGGGGTGTGGGCTGGTTACCAAGAAAGGCATCGGGAGTGGTCTCCACAAATGCGGTCACACAAGGGGGAGAGAAGACCTAAGAGCAGATGGGAGAGGGGAGGGTGGGTGCCGCTAGGGCTGATCTCGGTGGTCGCGTATGCGTGTCTGCCCTGAAGCCGCTGCGGGATGTGGCGGAGGGCAGAACGCTTTGGCAATGAAATGAGGAGGTGGTGGTGGTTGGTGGCATCAACGGCTTTGGCCGTGACGACTTTTGGATCTTGATTTTTTCATCTTGCCTCCTTCCTCCCACCCCTGCAGAGATTTCCACTCCCTGAAGCAGGAAGACGTCTTGAAAAACAACCACCTGGTGCGTGAGTTCACCTCTCGGCTTCTCTCGCGCCCCAGCGGCATTTAAAAATAAATAATGTTTGGTAAATTTCCCACCCCCCCCCCCCCACCACCAATTTCATCCCGATTTGTTCTATCGGCATCGTGTCGGGAGACAGAAGTATCCGGCGGCAACTCTCAGAGCGCAAAGTAAGAACCCAACGTGTAAACGAACGGCCCGAGGAAGCGGATGTCGCGGAGCTACCTGTGAGACGACCTCTGGTCCACAGAGGAGGAGGGGGGTGGACATTCCCACCCGCCCCGCTACGAGGCAGCAATGACCGGCGGGATGCGTTTCACGCAAGGACACGGCCTTGCTGATGAGAATTGGAGAACTCAAAACCGGCCCGCGGTGTTTTGCCGGCTCATTTGAACACCGGTCCCGCAGGCGGATAGTCGCAGGCGGACGAGGTTAAATGTTACGTTGATTTATTGGTTATTTATTATTCTCTCACGTATCTACAGACACCGGGGGAGGTCTCAAGAGGCGTTCACATTCATCGCGGCGGCGGGGGGGGGGGAAACCCAGATTTACATATGCACCTGTGCTCCCAAGGACACACACCGACAAGACAAAAACAAAGATCCCCCATATACCCTTGAACAGACTGTTGGGGAAAGTGCTGTTAGCGAGCACCGGTGAAGGCCAGCACGGCACACGAGGGGGTTGGTGGTCAGCACCACGCCCGGCCGCCTGTTGACCCTCTGGTGGCGGTGTACAGCGATTCACATATTCGTCACTGATGTTGGCTGTGAGTGGGAATCAAACTCGGGTACCACCGAGTGCAGAGCACAGCGCGCTCACCACTATGCCACCGCTCCTGGACACACACACACGTGTCCGAATCAAGTACAGCCAGTGTCTAAATGCATTGCATAGTATGGATGGACTGGCTCCTGCCATGGCAATGTTGAATTAACTTTAAAATAAAACACCTGTCATCCATGGTGACATCTCATAGCCACCATGATGATGATAGAGAGGGAGAGACACGCACACTCCAAACATACAGCAGGCGTCAGGGACGGGATCAATCCACGACCTCCTGTATACCAGGCGAGGTAGTTAACATTTCATAGCCACTGTGATGATGATGAGAGAGAAGAGACACGCAAACTCCAAATCTACAACAGGCATCAGGGTTGGGATCGAGCCCACGACCTCCTGTATACCAGGCGAGGTATACAGAAGGTCGAGGGGGAGGGGGGGGTGGGAATCTCTCATCATCAACATGCTCATGTATGCTCATGTATGCATGTATGCATGTGCATGCGCGTGCAGGCGTTCTCGGTGGCGGAGCGCGAGCTCGGCATCCCGGCGCTGCTGGACGCCGAGGACATGCTGGCGATGCGGGTCCCCGACCGTCTCAGCGTCATCACCTACGTTTCGCAGTACTACAACTACTTCAACGGACGTGCCCCGAGTAAGCACAGCGGGGCCGCGAGAGACTACTATCTGGGGGGTCACGGTTCAATTCGAATGATTTGTTTATTGTTGATTGTTGTAAAGTTCTGACCCACCCCGACTGGACATCTGTGAAAGATATCTTTACAGCTCATCGGATTCCTCCAGTATGAATCAATATTCTGATTCTGAATTCCAAGATTGATTTTGTAAACTTTTGTCGTTTTGTGCGGCTCGTGTGCTCCCTTGGCTGCAGTGTAACGTTAGCGTTTAATAAATAAAAACTGCCACGTTCGTCGCGAACAATTCCTTATCGCAGACCTATACGATGCGTTCATGGTCCGGTCAATGGCCCTTCTTCACACCAGAGAGAGAGATTTTAAATGATTGACATAACGTGTGTATGAATTAATTATAGTTTATTTATTCGCCTATGCGCAGTCCGTGGCACTTTTTGTGAGCGTGAGAGAAACTACGCAATTGTTCTATGCTGAGTGAGCGCAGTAAATGAGTGGGCATGCGTCGATTCATCATCTAAAACTGGTTCCCATGGGCCCTGTAAGTACAGTCCCTAAGAATCGTTCTCACTGTTTGCGTCATTGTGTCTGTCTTCCTGTGTATCTCCGTGTGTCTCTGCCTCTCTGTATGTGTGTCTGTCTCTCTGTCTGACTGTGTCTCTCCGCGTGTCTCTGCCTCTCTGCATGTATGTCTGTTTCTCTGTTTCTCTGTCTGCCTGTGTCTCTCCACGTGTCTCTCCACATGTCTCTGCCTCTGTCCCCGATTCAGTTGGAGGAGCCACCAAGAGGCCGTCGGGTCCTGCGGAGTCCGAGCCGTCCACCAAGAAGCCGACCCCCGCGGCGTCTGCTGCGGACAAAGAGAACGTCTTCAAGGTAAGGGCAGCACTCATATGCACGCACGCACGCACACGGGCAGCCACATACGGACAGACTCGCAAGTGCATGTACGTGGTCCAAATTTGGCCAATTTGCAAACTCGCCCACAAATTGGGAATTACATAGCGATTGCATAACCCCCTGCTGCGAAAGCCTGGCATGACCTCCCTTAAAGGAGTCATGAGACTCGATGAGGCTCTCCTGGGTAAAGAGGCCTTGCAATAACAATACAAATAATAGCAATATATAATTTCTAGTGCATGTACATGTACACACAAAACACGTACACATGCACACATGTATCCACACACAAAGACAAAGATCCCCCATATAACCTTTAACATACAGTTGGGGAAAGTGCTGTTAGCAAGCACCTATGAAGACCGGCACAGTACATAAAGGGGTGGTTGGCAAGCACAACGCCCGACCGCCTTTGTCTCCCCAGTAGCGATGTTTACACACTGCACCACGTACGTATTTGAGGTCGTTGGGTTCGTAGCGCAGCACGCTACCCGCTACACTACCACTCCCCGCATCGACAGACAAAGATTCCGCCATTAGTCTTCACAGACTGTTGGGACGAGCACTGCACGCACGCTGAGCGCTCCTTCCTGTCGCCAGGGTAACGCGGCGGGAGCTCAGCGCCATTCTCCCGCGCGCGTCCGGCCGGGGGGGTCTCTGGCATCGATAGGGGAGGGGTCCCCCGCCGGCGTCCACGCGCCCCCCACCGTCGCCGTCGCCGCGGCACCCCCCGCGGCCCAGGGCTCCACGTGTACGATGTGCGGCCTACGCGTGCACCTGGTGCAGAGGCACCTGGTGGATGGGCGCCTCTACCACCACAACTGCTTCAGGTGCGTGGTCGCACATGGGCCACGCGCCTGTGTGCTCGCCTGTGTGTTCACCTGGGCTCACACCTGGAACACGCGCTCACCTGAATGTGCATCTGGACACGCACCTGTGTGCTCACGTGTGTGTTCACCTGGGCTCACGCCTGGACACGCATCTGTGTGTTGACCTGTGTGCTCACCTGTGTGTTCACCTGGGCTCACACCTGGAACACGCGCTAACCTGTGTGTGCATCTGGACACAAACCTGTGTGTGCATCTGGACACGCACCTGTGTGCTCACCTGCGTATTCACCTGTCTGTTCTCCAGGGCTCAAACCTGTACATGCACCTGTCTGTCCACCTGTGTGTTAAAATCTGGGAAAGCCCATTTGTGATCACATCTGTGGGTTCACCTGCCCATCACACAGGGGCGAGTACCTGGCCATGCACCGAGGGTCACATTGCTTTACACACATCAGTGTTTACATATATAGGCGCACACCTTTGTAGATGTTGGATTAGTACTAGGGCTGTTCTGTTAATATTAGGGTTAGAGTTAGGATTAGTGTCGGACTTAGGATCCGAGACAGTATTAGGATCACAATTAAGGTTAGGATCCGTGTTGAGGTTAGGATCAGGGTTAGTGCTAGGATTAGGATCAGTTAGTATCAGGGTTGCGGTTGTGATCAGAGTTAGGGTTCGTATCAGGGTTAGTTTGAGGGGTTATGGTTAGGATCCGTGTTTGTAATCAGATTAGGATCAGGTTTTGAGGTTGTGAGTCTCAAATATAGATAGGGTTTAGCTTAAGGCTAGATGCCCTCCCTCTTCCCTCTTGCCCTCACCTTAAAAGCCTCCGGGAGCTGTGTTTGCTTGGTTTACCTGTGGCTACCGTGGGCAGGGAGGCTGCCGCTTCACACATTCTCACCCAACTGGTCTAGGCGGCGGGTGACGTGCGTGTGCGTGCATACCTGTATAAAGTCAAAAACAAAATCCTCCTGTACCCTTTAACAGACTGTTGTAGCACACACACACATCTGACTCTGCCTCTATGTGCTGCGAAGAAGGGCCATTGCCCGAAACGTCACCGATTGTTTGCTTTTTCCTTTGAAGGCAGTGTTTTTTTGATAAATCCGTTGAGTTGTTTTGTCATATAAAGACAAAACAAAGTTCAACGATTCCCCGTATAGCCTTTACCAGACTGTTGGGGCAAGTGGTGTGAGCAAGTACCTATGAAGGGCGGCCAGCATTGCATATAAGAATAATACTCGGCCGCCTTTTTTTCCCCATTGCTGATGAGCGCACACCACATCAGGTACTCGCATAAGAGAGTCGAACTCGTGTCGCCGGTTTGGTCATGTTATTCTCTGGCCACTACGCAAGTGGGTGGGCACGCCTTGACATCTGCAACTCCCACGGTGTGGAACACACTCCCGACGCTCCATATTTGCCAGATGTAGCCCCTTCCACGATGTAAGTTCCATCTCAAAGCCTTATTCTCTACGTCGGGCTTTAATTGAGTTGACGATGGTTGGGGTGCCCCATGTGGCTTGAGAGGTGCAACCTTCTTTCTGTGTTTATTGTTTTGCCCTTCTGTCTTGTACGGCGTCATGAGCTGCCGTTTTGCTTGAATTACGACTTACAGAAAATATTTTATTATTCCACAACCGCTCCACATGTACACCAACACAAAGACAGAGGCGGAGACTTTCCCTCGAGGCTATAACTGACCCATGGGGGAATTGCTGTTAGCGACACGAGGGGGTGGTGTGGTCAGAAACCTCTCTGCTCAAACTTTACCTCTCTGTTCAGGGTGGAAGAGGGCTGAGATTTGTGCATGGAATCTTGCACACGCCTGAATGTGCAACTGTGTGTGCATAGGAATTTTCCAACGGGCACGCGTGTGCGCGTACGTGTGTGCGCGTACGTGTGTGTTCGCATAAGTATGACGCACGTGTGCAAGTGCAATTGTGTACGTGTGTGTGTGCGTGTATGTGCACATAGCCTGGCACAAGCACCATGGTAACATCACCGCCACTTCCTGGTGAATGACGGTTGTTGTATATAGGTCAACTTAGCCTCAATTGAGTACCCTGGTCCGGTGTGTAGACATCGCTACTAGGGAGACAAAGGCGGCCGAGGGTGGTTCTGGCCACCCACCCCCTCGTGTGCCGTGCCGGCCTTCAAAAGTGCTCGCAAACAGCACTTGCCCCAACAGTCTGTTAAGGCTATACGGAGAATCTTTGTCTTTTGTGTGTCTGTGTGCATGTGTACATTTGACCGTTCCACTGTCACATTCCTCGGCATGGTGCCGTGTCGCCCATTCAACCGGCCACCGCGTGGCCGCGGTACTTTGAGACGAAAAGATGAAAAGCGTGGAAAATCACAGCACGGACCATCGGCACTCCAAAAAAAACCCACACCACCCCCTCCTTACCCGCATCTCCTCCACTCCCTGCCCTGCCCCCACGCCCATCCCAAACCACACACAACTTTTACCGGACGCCCCCACGATCTTCCCATCGGTCCGCTGCACAACGCGGGCTTTATTTCAACTTCTGTTCCTTTTCGTTTGTCCATTTGAGCTCTTTGTGCTCGACTCGCAGCTTCGTTCTGAGACGCACAGCCCGTCCCCAGGTCCCACCCCGTTGGAAGCCCGTGGGCAGCGTAGACGCACGGGTCACAAGGGGGGGGGGGGTGGTGGAGGCGACGGCTGCAGAAAGGAATGTCGCTGACTGTCAGAATATTCTTCCGAACCAAAGTCCCACTGTTTACGTGGGGGTCGACTGCCCCAATTATTTCTCTCCCTGCCTGCACATCTCATTCTGTGCCTCTGCGCTCATCACGTCCATCATTTTTACACGGAGATCCGTACACTTACGTAGACACCAATATACTCGCACACACAAATAACATGACGGCAATGACGATGATGATGATTTTGCATGACCAATGAAGAGCAACTATTACACATACACGAGCAACACTTACGTGATCCATAGACTTGTATAGAAAAATACATACCCATCGACTTCTTCCAAGCCCTAAGTCACACTCGCATGAGGTCAGCGACTGATGTTATTTCTCCATGTGCTTCCATATTCTGTTGCTCCTCTCTACTCGCATCCATTACCTTCATACTTCGTTCTAGCGGGTCTCTGTGTGAGTCTGTGAATCTCTCTGTGTGAGTGTGTGGGTTTTTCTGTGAGGCTCTGTGTGACTTTGTGGGTGTCTTTGTTAATCTGTTGGTCCCTCTGAGTCTCTGTATGAGTCTGTGAGTCTCTGTGCGAGTCTCTGGTTCTCTGTGTGAGTCTGTGAGTCTCTGTGTGAGTCTGTGGGTCTGTGTGTGAGTCTGTGGGTCTCTGTATGATTCTGTGGGTCTCTGTGCGAGTCTCTGGTTCTCTGTGTGAGTCTGTGGGTCTCTGTGCGAGTCTGTGGGTCTCTGTGCGAGTCTCTGGTTCTCTGTGTGAGTCAATTGGTCTCAAGTCTCCAAAGTCCTTCTTGTGCATCGTCCTCGTCTCTTCTCAACACGTGCCCAAACAACCTAACTCTCTCCTCCGCGACCTCGACAATATGCTTCCTATTCTTGGTTCTTTCGGTAAAGTCACGTAGAATGGAAATAATAAAATAATCAAAATACAACATAATATTATATTATAAAACATAATATAATACAAATAAAACAAAATATAATAATCTATTATAAAATATAAGAATATTATAAAATTGTATTATTTTATTATTTCCCTTCTACGTGACTTTACCGAAAGAACCAAGAATATGAATCCCTGTAGTCGCGAAAGCTTTAAATCGAAATATGCTTCCTGTCCCCATTGGCTGTACGGTCAGTGTCCTTGCCCAGGCTCACTCTTGCGAATCTACAAAGCGGCGCCGGCATGGAAATGCAGGTTCGGATGTGGCGGCCGAACAAATTGTGGGGCGACGCGAGTCAACGTGACGTCTCTAACGTGCATTACGCTCTCCAACCCGAGTCTTCGTCTGTCCGTCTTTAGGCGTGAGGCCAAGTGCGCGCCGTCCCCTCCCACGTCCCTTTGCACAATCTTCATCTTTTGTTCCGTTTTCTTCGGCGGGGGCGGGGGGAATGAAAGTCGCTTCTAAAAATCCCGTAAACGGTGGCACGTCCACTGTCCCTGCCCTTTCTCCACCCTCGTTTGTTCACTTTCCCCTCTGCCTCCCTCAATTTCTCTTTCACGTTCCTTCCTGCTGCACTCTCACCACCTTTGTATCCTTCTATATCTCTGCGTCTCCCAGCTCTCTCTCTCTCCGTCTCTCTCCCTCTCTCATCGTGCGCTTCTGCGGCCGTCTGGAACGCTCTTCCTTCCGATATTAGGAAGCCACTGGAGCTATGCACTTTTAAATTTAGATTAAAAGCTAATTTCTTTAGAACTGCTTTGTGTGTTTAGTTTGTTGTCCTTCCCCTGCACCTCCGATTAGCACGGTTGGCTACGTACGGTGTATAAGAGGTTCAACATACATATATACTCTTTGGTTCTTTTGGTAAAGTCACGTAGGTATAAAATAAAATAAATCACGACGTTTCGGGCGGACGTTTCGGGCGGAACACAAGCGCTTGTGTTGAGCCCGAAACGTCGTGATTTATTTTATTTTATACCTACGTGACTTTACCGAAAGAACCAAAGAGTATGGATTCCTGCAGTCACGAAAACTTCAAATCAAGATCATACAGAAATACATAGCCGTCTTTCTCACACAGACGCTCAACAGCTTATTCACTCTTGTTCCTGTACCCACAATTCCCCTTTATCTCATTGTTCTCCCCCTGCTTTCCTGCCTCAAAATATCTCTGTTTTTGTCTCTTCACGTCTCTCATATCTGTGTGTGTGTGTTCTCTCTTTGTCTCTCCATGCCCCTCTCTATTTCTCTGTCTGTCTCTCGATTTACCTCCTGGTCTTTGACCTCTCTATCTCTCTACCCTGGTCTCCCGCCCTCTCATGCACAACGGGAGTGCCACCACACAAAGCTTATGAACCACACCGCGACGCAGCACCCTGGAGGCTCGGGTTGATGGGTTGCATAGAGATGCTTGCACGCTATGGATACTGTTCGCCTGTCGAGCTATGACATGGGCAGCAGTTGGCCAGGACAGCAAGCGGGTTGCTGTGATTTCCCTTGCAACCCCTTGTCTGCATGTATTTCTCTCGGTGTGCTCCAGTTTTCCCGCACGCACAAAAATACTCCTCGAAAAAAGGAATTGGTGGTCCTAAATCAATGACGTAATTATTAGAATCATTCACAATTCCTATCCCGGTCTCTCTCACCCTCGGTAATTCCCTTTACCTACCCCTCTATATTTGTCTGCGTCTCTCTGTCTCTAACATGGCTGCCTTCCCTTCTGTCCCTCGACCCCTATCCCTTAACCCCCCCCCCCCCACTGACCCCCCCCCCCCCCACCAGATGCAAGGAGTGCAGCAACACCCTCATGCCGGGGACGTACAAGGAGGGCAAAGAGCCGGGCACCTATGTGTGCCAGCACCACCGGGCCAGATCCATCTACGCCACCACCATCAACGCCGGCACGGGCACAACCACCGCCACCACGACCACTCCCGGCACAGCCACCACCACCACTACCGGCACAGCAGCCACCACCACCACTCCTGGCACAGCCGCCACCACCACCACTACCGGCGCAACCTCACCACCAGCAGTACCAGCTTCCTGTCCTCTCGGCTGATGTCACCAAGCACAGCCAGCAGCAGCAGGGCCACGCCAGGCCGAGACGTGCCGACGATCGGCAAGTTGAACGCCACGGCCACCCCCACCATCTCTCAGCCGACCACGCCGTCAGCAAGAGAGGGCAGGGGCATCGGCGCAACCTCCCCGAGCCCGGCCGCGCGTCTCACCGTGTCGCCCGTGCCGGAGAACAGCCGCACCAGCAAGGCCAGGGACACATTCTTCTTGTCGACGCCGGCGTCAGGGCAGACGGCGCCGGGCTGGGATAGATTTGAGCAGAAACTTTCGGGTGGCGGGAGCTCGGACACCCCCACCTCAGGCCGGAGCGGGACCCCCGCCTCCCCGCGCTCGGACAAGAAGCGACACGAGGAGAGAGACAAAGCCATGGAGAACGCGCGGCAGCTGCTAGCGAGGCGCCTGCCGATTGGGCAGAGGTCAACGGTGGCGCCGACCACCAACGACCTCTCACCACCGTCTTCCGGAAAACTCTCACCAACTTCCAGGAAACGCTCGCCGGCCTCCGGTAACCTCTCGACAACCTCGGGCGAGACCCCCACGGTGACGCCCGCCGGCCACACGCCGATCCCCTTGCCACGTCGCACCATCCCCGAGCTCGTGCCGTCAAAGTGGGAGTCGTCAGTGTCTCCCGTGCCCAAATACACGCCCAGTGCCACTCCGGAGAAGTCTCCCACCAGGACGAGGTTTGGCACGGGCGACACCGGTGTCGGTGGCGGCAGCGGCGGCAGCGCCGGAACTAGTCGCTCCCCGGTGGCTTCGCTCGCCGATTCTTCCGTGAAGACTCCCGGTTCCATCTACGCGGGTGAGACGCTCGCACCGAATTGTGCTTGTACGAGTCGGCGACGTTCAAAATCGCGCAAATGTTATGCCCTGCTGTATCTCCCGAACAGGCATGTTCTCTCCTTCAGCGAACTTGTAAGGACGCGACTTTTGTTGAATTATTTTTAAGTTGTTCGATCACTGCTAAACTATGACCCCTGAACCGTTACATTTCGTGAAGTTTACAGAGTACCGGGGGGAGACGCGTGCAACACTCAAGTCTCGTCCCCCACGGTGGCGAGATGTTAACTACCTCGCCTGGTATACAGGAGCTCATGGGATCCATCCAGACCTGGACGCCTGCTGTATACTTGGAGTTTGCATGTTCTCCCCGTGGTTGCGTGGATTTTTCTCCCGGTCCTCCGGTTTTTCCCTCCACATTTAGAAACGTGCGTTTAGAGTACTTTGCTGCTATAAATATCCATGTGATGATGAGCCACTTCGTTGAGCTATCATTTGTGATGGCCAGGTCACTGCTGAAAAAGAGCTACATAGATCAGTGGGCCTTACCTGGTAAAATTCAAAATAGTTTATTTTCTGCCCCACAACTTACGTCCTCTGCCCCATGACCTGTGCCCAATGCCCCTTGCTGTCTGTTCTATGACCTCTCCATATTTACTTCCTGCTCCCCTGTCCCTTGCTGATAGTTTAAGTTTGTCCCCTTGCAGACATCGTCCTGCGGAAGGCGACAACACCTGGGCAGCCGGCCGGGTTCCCAGAAAAATCCTCAGCGTCGAAGAGCGGTGCCGGCGCGTTCGGTGTGAAGCTACGTCCCACCAAATCGCCCACTCCGGTTGCGGGCGCGGGCACCACCGCCACCGCTGGTGGCACGACCCCGGCAGCCACCAAGACCCCCAGCGGCACTACCTCCGGCACCACCACGTTCGTCCCGGAGAGTGGCAGGGCTCAGTCGGTCACCGTCACCGTCACCATCCCCGAGCAGCCGAGGTTGGTACCACCGTGCGGCGCCCACACCCGCGTGTACGGTCAGGCCCGGCACGAAGATGGAAGTGAAATAGATGTCGCTAATTTATTTTTACCGGTTTTAAGCCACACGGCGTGGGATGGGGGTGGTTATTGTGATGTGCTGCAAGAGGCCAGCCTGTACATTCACCGCAGTGTTAGAATAAACATTTCAAGATGTGATTCTTCAATCAAATTGCCACTGAATCGTGAAGAATTCAGCTTATCTCTGGGACATGGCTGAATAGCTCCACCTGCAAATAACATTATTAGCCACTCGGGGCTGGTATATTTCTTGTTTTTGCATCACCGGTTTGCCACACACATAGATACGTCTTACCACAATCATTAAAATATTTTACTTTCTGTACCGAGAAGCTGGAGGCAGCTGCCACCACAGTGGTGTAATTGTTAGCAGCGCACTGCACTCGCAAGTCCAGGGGTCGCCGGTTTGATTCCATCCCCTGGTGGCAATGTTGCCACTGCTGTGTGTAATTCACCCAATTAAGTAATTTGCAGGTAATTTTTTTCGCCATTGGGATTATTGGCTAACACCAGTTACACTGTGCGTGGGTTTTAGCTCCTAAAATTCCACTGGATTCCAAAAATGGTTACCGGTTACCATTTAACAGCCCTGTTACCAACAGAGAGAGTTGTGTGTGGGCATAGGTGTGTGTGTGCATGCATGTGTAGGGGGAGTGGTAGTATAACGATTAGCGTGCCACACAACGAACCTGGCGACCCGAGTTCGATTCCCGCTCACGGCCAACACCAGTGACGATTATCTGAACTGCTCTTGGGCCTCCCCTAAGTGGCCTCAAATGAGTACCCGGTGCGGTGTTTAAAACATCGGCACTCGGGAGACAAACGCGGCCGGGCATGATGCTGGCCACGCACCCCCTCATGTATCGTGCCGGCCTTCGTAGGTGCTCACTAACAGCACTTGCCCTAACAGTCTGCTAAGGCTATACAGAGGATCTTTGTCTTTGTTGTTGGTACGTGGCAGTGTGTGCGTGCTTATGTGCATGCGTGCGTGCTTGTGTATGTGTATATATGGGCCCTTTCATCAGCCCGTGAATGAATGAATGTATGATTGGGTGTGTACGTGTGAAAATATGTGTGGGTGTGTGAGAGCGTGCATGCACGTGTTGAGGGAGCGGTAGTGCAGCGGTTAGCGTGATGTACGAAGAAACCTGGCGACCTGCGTTTGATTCCTTCTCACGGCCAATATCGGTCCTGGTTCTCCCCTAGGTCGACTTAGCCTGAAATGAGTACCTGGTGCAGCATGTAAACATCTCCACGATGGAGACAATGGTGGTCAGGCGTGGTGCTGGCCACCTACCCTCTTCGTGTGCCTTGCCAACCTGTCATAGGTGCTCGCGAACAGCACTTACCTGAACAGCCTCTTAAGGGTGTGTGTTTAGGTATGGGTGTTTTTATGTACCTCAAGGTGCACCTAGCCTGGCACAAGCGCCGTGGTGATGGCACCACCACTTGGTGGCAACCGACAGTGGTTGTTATGTATGTACTTTTATGTACCTGCTTGTGTCTTCGTGTGGTTGCTTAGTTATGGTTGTGTGTGACTTTGTGTGATTGTGTGTGACCTCGTGTGGTCGTGTGTGTGTGTCAGGCCGGTCGATGGTGGCGGCCACCGCAGCACGGCGCAGTGGGAGGTGCCCGTCTCTCCGCCCCAGACAGGGTCTCCAGGCTCCGCTCTCTTTGGGCACGGAGACACGAAAGGTGCAACCACCTCTTCCCATCGTTGTTGCTATCGTTGTGTTCTTTTGCGTGTCTACCCAAGAAAAGCATCACCGAGTCAGGAGGGTCCCGAAAAAATATATTTTGGTGGTGGCGGACGGGGGGTGGGGGGGTCAATGATTGCTGTGTGTACGCTTTAACTGAATAATTTTCGTGTCATCTTTAGAATGTGCTAAATCTTTGAGCACGACGCCAGCACGCGATGGACTGCTCGCCACGGGATCTTTAACGTCCACGCAGTATTAGTCAGGGCAGCCACTCAATTCGAACCGTCCCATCATCGCCGGCATCTTCATCATCGCCATCGTCATCGCCATCATCGCCGGCATCTTCGTCATCGCCATCGTCATCGCCATCATCGCCGGAATCTTCGTCATCGCCATCGTCATCGCCATCATCGCCGGCATCTTCGTCATCGCCATCGTCATCGCCATCATCGCCAGCATCTTCATCATCGCCATCGCCATCGCCGGCATCTTCATCATAGCCATCGTCATCGCCGGCATCTTCGTCATCGCCATCGTCATCGTCATCATCGCCGGCATCTTCGTCATCGCCATCGTCATCGCCAGCATCTTCATCATCGCCATCGTCATCGCCATCGTCATCGCCAGCATCTTCATCATCGCCATCGTCATCGCCATCATCGCCGGCATCTTCATCATCGCCATCGTCATCGCCATCATCGCCGGCATCTTCGTCATCGCCATCGTCATCGCCATCATCGCCGGCATCTTCGTCATCGCCATCGTCATCGCCATCATCGCCGGCATCTTCGTCATCGCCATCATCGCCAGCATCTTCATCATCGCCATCGTCATCGCCATCATCGCCGGCATCTTCCTCATCGCCGTCGTCATCATCATTTTCGGCGAGGACTTGTGGCGCTGCACCACCAAATGTCCCTTTGTGTGTGTGTGTGTGTATGTTGAACTTTATTCACACCGCGCATAGCCAATCGTGCTAATTGGCCCGGCCAAGCTCACTCACGCACTCTTTAGCGGTGAATCTCTCCCTGTGATGGTGACCAGCCACACGATAGCTCTGCTGCTCCCCTCCCCCCCATCTGAGAGGAGCTGGAGACAGGCCTGGGTGATGGGAGGGTGACAAGGCTGGTTTCAGGTATCACTCACCACTGTGGCTGGGAGTCAAGTCAGTCATTCGGTATCACCACTGTGCCACTTCTCCTCCCTGTCTAACAACTTAATTCGATTTACCATAAGACACTCACACTCGGCTCACAGTGACCCGGACACTCCTGACATACTCGCTCACCTACTCGTTTAACGTAACTTACCCAACACACTCGCCCAGACACACCCCACACATATCTGGTACACCTCTATAACTTTAACACACCTGACACACCTCTTGCGCACTGACACACATCTAGCTCTTGACACTTCCAGCATGCTTGCCTAATTACTTAACACTCACACTTAGCACACTCACTCACCCCACTCACCTATAGCTCTCACTGGCACACCAAAGACAAAAGTTCCCCCCCGTATAGCCTGAACAGACTGTTGAGGCAAGTGCCGTTAGCGAGCACCTATGAAGGCCGGTACGGCACACGAGAGGGTGGGTGGCCAGCAACCACACCCAGCTGCCTGCCTTTGTCTCCCCAGTGGTGATGTTTTCACACCACCCCAGGTACTCATTTGAGGCTGAGTCGACCTAAGGGAGGCCCATCACCAGTTTAGATCATCGTCACTGGTGTTAGCCATGAGTGGAAATCCAACTCAGGTCGCCAGGTTCATAGTGCAGGGCGCTAACCGCTACACTGCCGCACCCTGACAAATCTAGCACACCATCTGGCATATGGTTAGGATTCTAGAATACCTCACCAGCATATGCTAGCCCACTTACGTACCCCTCGCCCTCATTGCACACAAAGTGCTTGCCACAAATGAACCACAGTAACTCGCTGATCTCGTCAAGGAGCATGAACTACCACGAGAACTCCGGTCGTCATCCTCACAGCGGCGGCTTTCAGCTGGCCTCTGAACAAAGACGTTCACCGCTTCGCGCGCTTTCAAATGTGCTTCTGCGGCCATCCGGAATGCTCTTCCCTCCGATATAAGCAAGCCACTGGAGCTATGCACTTTTTAATCATCTAGATTGAAAACTCATTTCTTTAGAACTGTGTTTTGTGTTTCGTTTCTTGTCCTTCCCCCGCACCTCCGATCAGCACGGTTGGTAACGTACGGTGCAAAAGAAGTCCAACATCCATAAATACACACCCAACCAACCGACTGGTTGACCCGCCGCCCCCTTACCAACACAGAATTGGAAATCAGAATATTGATTGACACTGGAGGAATCCAATGAGCTATCAAGCTCTTGTGCAGTAGACATTTCTTTTTCACACACTGGAGCGTAGCCAGGACATGCGCAGCAGTGAGTCACAAAGGGTTGCACGTGCTTCGAGGGTTTGATCTGCCCCCTGTGAACAGCGGCTATAAATAAGCGGTAGCCAAAACACGTGAACTGTCCGCCCCAGCCTTCTAAGAATACGTGCGTGGTGCCACGCGTGACCCTAATGAAAACCCCACAGAGGTGGGGTCGTGGGTGGGGTGGGTGAGGTTGGTGGGGTTGGTGGGGTGGGCAGACAGCCAGACAGACAGGCAGGCATGACAGAGGGACAGACAACAGACTGACAGATTGATAGAGGAACAGACGAACGAACAGATCGACGGGCAGAGGAAAGGGCATGCGAACAAATAGACAGAAACACAGATGAATCGAAGGAAAGCAAGACAGGCTGTATCTGACAAGTAGATGGACATGCAGATGAAGACATGCTCGGACGAACAGATATATGCACATACAGTTAGATGGACAAACAAACAAAATGATGGGCGGATGAATGGACCGACATACAAGCAGATCTTGCTGACAGAACCACAGACAGACATCCCCGATGGACAGAGGCACATGTGAATAAACAGACAATTCGAATGGACGGACAGACAAGCCCGATCATGCCCGTGACACAAGGAATGCGTGCACTGATTCAGGGACTCTGCCCGCACCCCCATTAAAGCCGTCCGGCAAACACTCCCATTGCTGCCCGGGGAGAGACGAGAGGAAGTGAGACGCAATTTATTATCCGTCCTAAATATTTCTCTGACGTGTAATGTTTTCCGTGGCGATGTGGTGTGCCACGCTTGGTGGAAACCACAGCTGCTACTGTCTCACAATGTCACCTGACGAGCAGACCTTGTCTCCCATGTCTCACAGTGTCAACTGCAGCACAGTCCTACTTTGGGAAGTCGGGCCAATTCTTCAATGAGTGTTTTGCTCATTGAAGAATCTGCCACGGACATATCACGAATCAACTTGCTGTACTGCCATCTCATGGCCACCGTGGACCCCAGCTAGCTTTGGGAGTTTCATGAGAGAAGAGTCCCTGCCCCTTTTCACGTGGAGGCTCGAGACCATCTACTTATCTTCTACCCATGACCATATCTCTTCTCTAGAACATATATCCTGTATATATTATCATCTACACGTGTGTGCATGTCACACTGTTTCTATACAGCGTCTTGACATGTAGTTGTATTAAGACACGAGATGAGTGCATGCCGATGCATCCACTGCGAACGACCCCGTTTCTGACCCCAACCTCTGCCCCACTCAGGTCGTGGCGGGTCTCCCTCCAAGACCGCCGAGACCCACAAAAAAACGTTCTGGAAGAAGAATCCTGCTCCGGGATATGGATACCCCCCAAATCGCATGCCGGTAAACTCTCTCCCTGTCCCCCCCCAACACAGTACAGTGCCCACGCTGTCTCGGGTTGCGATAGTGAATGGAAAAACATTTTCTGCAGAAACCTGCATAAGCAGGACATGTGGCTATAGCAGCTGTACACTCAACAAACGAACCAGGCAGCTGGACACACAGAACATAGACCAGAGAGCTGTCCACACAGCAGACAGATAGATGTCCGCACAGCAGACGGACCAGACAGCTGTAGACACACACCGCAGAGACAGCTAATCAAGGAAGACCCGTTCCTAAAATAGAATCTGACTTCAATTCAATATTCAATTGAACGTAGAATAAATATGGTCACGTGACAATGAGCACCCAATATCTCGTCTGCGTTGTGTGCTGCAAATGAAGTCTGGGTCTCGGATAAGCTTGGTTCTCTATAAACGACTTGACGGTTAGAGCAGCAGGGGTAAACGTGCTTCGATATGCAAACACATGCCCCCCCCCCCCACACTAACCCCCCTCCCACCCTCTGCACTCCCTTACCGACATCAGCGACGCAAGCCGGACACGTACATGCCCCCGGAGCAAATCCAGGCGGAGTTGAACTCCATTTGCTTGAGCCTGGATGAGATGCAGCAGAGGGGAGTGCTGCTGGAGGCAGAGCTGAGGAGCTGTGAGGGAGGTGCGTACGCACGTGCACACGTACACGCACAACAACAACAACCGCCATTCGCCACTAAGTGGCGGTGACGTCACCACGACGCTTGTGCCAGGCCAAGTGCACCTTGAGGCCACGTGAAGTGTCGAACGCCCGCTGGCATAAGGTCACGGGGCAGACCCAGCAGGTGCCACGGGTCGACTGACCGATATGACTGAGATGACTGGCTGATGCACCACCTGTGCCCCCTACTGCACGCACACGTATATACATACATACATACACATACATACACATGCATACACATGCACGTGCGTATGCACACGAGACGAAGCCTACACAGGCTGTTGGGGCCTGTTCGCAGCGAAGCACTTACTCCAGCCGGCACGGTGAGCGAGATGGTTGCGTGGCCAGCACCATTTCCAACCACCTTTGCCTCCCCAGTGCGATGTTAACACTCTAAACCAAATGCTCACTTGGGGCTGAGTCGGCCGAGGAGATGCCCAGGAACCTGTTCAGATATCACTGTCCTGTGATGATAGTCATGGACTGGACTCAAACTCAGGTCGCTGGGTTTGTAGCACTGGGTGCTAACCACTGCATCACTGCTCCAGCCTCTTATTTACACGAAGATAAAGACAAAGATCCCCCTATAGCCTTTCACAGACTGTTGAGGCAAGTGCTATAAGCGAACACCTATGGAGACCAACACGGCATACAAGGGGGTGAGTGGGCGGCAGCACCACGCACGACTCCCTTTGTCTCCCCCAGTGGCGATGTTTACTCACTGCACCGGGTACTCATTTGAGGCTTAGTCGACTTAGAGGAGGCTCAGATGACCGTCACTGGTGTTGGCCGTGAGCGGGATTCTCACTCGCATCGCTGGGTTCCTAGCACGCTGCGCTAACCACAGCACTACCGCTCTCCATACACACGTGCATACACACACATTACATACACACTACATGCACACACACAGATGTTTGTGCGTGTGCTGATGGGCGCTGCGTGCTCGCATGCAGGAGATGGCGAAGATGAGCTGCTCGTCAATTGGTTCCGACTCATCCAAGAAAAGAACCTGCTCGTGCGAAAAGAATCTGAGCTGGCATACATGTAAGGCTCCCTCCAGCACGGTGGTGGTGACAACGATGACAACGACGATGATGATTGATGATTGAAACTAGAGGCTTCATTTATAAAATAATGATTTCCAGGTCGCTGGTAGACTGGATTTAGTGGCACGTGACTAGCAGGAGCCACAGTCATAGATGTGCTGTGCCGGATGTGGAATGTTTTACTTCGGGTTGGTTACCGGGACAGATGATGATGACGTAGAAGTGACTGATGGTTCCACAGTTGGTGATGATGATGATAAATAGGCATTGGTGAAAGATGAAAAGGAGATACATTGATGTTGCCAATGACAATTATTATGGTGATCACAATGATGGGGATGATAAAACAGTGAAAATAATCAAAATTAGAGTGTGATTGTATGTACGTATGTTGAACTTCTTTAGCACCGTACGTAGCCAACCGTGCTAATCGGAGGTGCGGGGAAAGACCAAAAAAACTAACACAAAAAGCAGTATATAGTGATAATGACAATGATGGTGGCAACGATGACTGTGATAGTACCGACGATGATGATGACGTTGGTGGCCAAGTTGTTGGAAAGGATGGAGATGTTGACATTAATGATGGCACCAATGCTGATAGTGAAGATACTGATGATCTCATTTATGCCGACGATGTTGGTGGATGATGATGATGATGTCTCGTGTGCAGCTCCAAGCAGCAGATCCTGGAGGAGCGCCATGCCGAGGTGGAGGACCAGATCCGGCGGATTATGGGGCGGCCCGGTGAGATGCGCACGGCTCACGCAGCACGTGCAGTGCACGTGGAATGTGTGCATGCGCGGGCGTGCGTGCGCTCGTGTATGTGTGGTCGTGTGCACTCGGGGAGCGGTCGTGTAGCGGTTAGCACGCTGCGCTACTTACCCAGCGACCCGGGTTCGATTCCCACTCATGGCCAACACCAGTGACGATTATCTGAACCGGTCCTGGGCCTCCCCTAGGTCGACTCAGCCTCAAATGAGTTCCTGGTGCAGTGCGTAAACATCGCCACTATGGAGACAAAGGCGGCCGGGCATGGTTGCTGGCCACCCACCCCCTCGTGTGCCGTTCCGGTCTTCATAGGTGCTCGCTAACAGAACTTGCCCCTACAGTCTGTTAAGGCTATACAGGGGGATCTTTGTCTTTGTGTATGTATTCGTGTGTGTGAGTAGAGGCGGAGAAGGATCGAGCACACGAGCAGGAGCTGCTGGATGAGCTGATAAAGATCGTGCACGATCGTAACCTCATCGTGGAGAACCTCGAGAGGGACCGTCTGCGGTGAGAGGGCGTGTGGGAACACAGGCTTGCAGACTGACAGACTGGTATAAAGTCTGGTACACAGGTAGACACAGATACTGGCAAACAGGGGGAGGTGTACAGCTCTCTATCAATTCACTGAGGAATGAAAGACTGCCCATGCATGCCACATGGGATTTAGAAGTTGTTTGACCATACATCAGAAAACTGGCGAGTGTAGAATGCTAAAGGGAGGGCAGGGTGCAGGACCGGTTCAGATATCCCTCGCCATGAACGTTAGCCGTGGCGAGGTTTGAACTCGGGTTGCATGAGTTCGTCGCGGATTACGCAAATCACTGCACCACCACTGCACCCCCTAGATAGGGAGACAGGCGATTGGATTGGTAAACAGACGTACACAGAGGACAGGTATGCTAAGAACTATTGCTTTTATTTTACCAGGTAAGGCCCACTGAGCCATATAGCTCTTTTTTAGAAGCGACCTCATGTACAAATGATAGCTCAATGAAGTGGCTTATCGCGTGAAAATTTAAAGCAGCCAAATACTCTAAACTCACGTTTCTAAATGCGGAGGGAAAAACCGGAAGACCCAGAGAAAAATCCACGCGACCACGGGGAGAACATACAAACTCCAAATATACAGCATGTGTCAGGGTCGGAATTAAACCCACAACTCCCCGTGTACAAGGCGAGGGAGTTACCATCGACAAGTAGACTGACAGTTGAAAAGACAGGCATGTATGCACAGATAAATGGGGGATGCAGAGATACAGAAAAGGTGTGATCTGGTGCCCTACGGATGGAGAAACAGAGGCAAGTGGGTGGATAGATGGACTCGAGAGGTACACGGGCAGATACACGAGAAGGTGCACAGGCTGTTACAGAGACAGGTACGCAGATAAGTATGCAGGGAGAAAGGCATACAAGTGTAGTGTCCTCCTTCCTCTCGGCGTGTGCGTGCGTGTGGTGTGCGGCGCACACACTAGTTGCAGGAGGCACCATCTCTCTTTATTATCTTGTTCACACCACCAACTCCGGCCTCCTCTCTCACGACCACGGTGACGTACAGCCCGGCCCAGACACGACCCTGTCCACGTTGCACCGACGGCAGTTGACCGAGACAGCCAACTACTGTCCGGCCGCGCAATGATCGGGCGAAGGCGGCAGTGACGAGGGCAGCGATGACGACAGCGACGATGAGACGAGTCCAATCCCAGAACCCGCAGCCCGGAGCTCTCGCTCTACGCTGCTTTTATTCCCCTCGGTGCAGCTTGGCTCCGCCCTAGCCACGCCTCCCTTCTCAAACCCACCAGAGAGTTCCAGGGGCTTCCCCATGAGGTCTACCGTGACCCTTGCCCCAGTTCCTCCGCCCTGCCGGCACACACACACCAGTGTACATGCTCAACGGCGTGTGCGCTAAGTGTCCACCGCAGTTGCTGCTGCTGGACAGCAGTCGGCGCTATGTCACTACACAAGTATGCAGTTAGTCGAGAAGATACACGGAGAAATAAACATATGTAAACAAGTATTTACAGCCAGCCTGTTGTAGTTAATTTAACTTTTTTATTTTTTTATTCCTTCTCAACAGAGAATTAGAAGAAGACAAGGCATTGGAGGACATGCTGTCTACAAAAGGTATTTATTTGCTGTTACATTGGCTCATGTTACATAAAACCTCAGCACAGAGATTAATGCAGCAGCGATGGACATTCACAATCACTGCAATTCGATGTTCATATTCATCACGTTCCTGCGGAGGCAACCGCGGAAATAACGGCACTAAATTTTACTTAGTCAACGTTGACTTACAAATAACATCAGAGCAACAAGTGTATGAAGTTTGAAATGAGTAAAATAATGTGGAGGTGACGTACTCGGGTTAATTGATGTTTATCTGATAAATATACACTGCACCGCGCTCTGCGTATGCCAGTGTTCTTCATTGCAAGGCCCGCGGGCCACTGGCAAGCCCATGGTGGCCTTTATTGCAGCCTCTGATGTGCGGCCCCCAAAAATACACAAAACGTGAAAACACCCCATCGAGCTGTCCAAACCACAATGGTTTCAAATGTGTGGCGGCCGCCACACTGATGTCTTATCAGCGAAAGTGGCCCCCCTCTGAAAATTCGTGAAGGACACTGGTGTTATGCGTCTCACATTGACTGTCTTGAGCAAAAACAGTGCAGCGTCAAGAGGTGTGGTCTTGTCGACAAACCAATAGGATCCATAATGTAGGATTTTTTGGGTTAGATCGTGTAAATATAAATGTATCGTTAAACCTGCCACCACCCGACACAGCCAATTAGAAAGGTTTCTCACGTAAACAGAACATGCCAATTCGTTACGAGTAAACGTATTGGAGAGCAAATCCACAATATTTACAATCTGAGTAAACCAACAGCAGATGATCATTACCGGTTCCATGCCCCACAACCCCTGGCCTGTCGATAAGAAAGTACAGTATTTCCTCGTTATTCACGAACTTGCTATCCGCGAATCGCATCTGGAAATTCTACACGACTGCAACGAGAGAGATAGAAAGAAAGTGATGAGATAAAGTAATGAGAGAGAATGTGATGCGAGAAAGTGAAGAGATAAAATACTTATCGACGCTTTAAAAGCATATGCAGACGTTGCACGTACGATAATTATTATAGGCCAATATCAATATCTGCAAAATGTTGTCTTCACGAGCGTCTCCAGAACATCCCTTGTAAATAATGAGGGAATATTGTAGCATTGCAAGAAGTGGCATCGCAGGAAGTGATGTAACAGCTCTGTCGATGCCCGATGCTTGCCTACTTTTGCTGAAAAGTTTCAGAGGATGATCAAAATGAATTGCTGGCTTCAATGGGCGACACTTGGGGCAAAGCTAGCCGCGTAACAGTCACTCTCGCATCGAAGGCTGCGTGAAATGTCTTTTCTCGGGCGTCAAACTCGGTTTCCTCTTACTTTCAGATATCTTCAAGAGCCAGGAGGCGGGCCAGGAGACGCCCAAGGACACTGGAAAGGAGACGCCCAAGGAGAAGAAAGAGAGGAAGAGGGCCGAGCAGGAGAAGAAGGACCTTGAGAAGAAGGAGAAGATCAGGGCAGAAAAGGAGCGGCGGGATCAGGAAAAGCAGGAGAGGCTACGAGCCGAGAAGGAACAGAAGGAAAAGGAGAAGCAGGAGAAGGAGAGGCAGCAGAAGGAACAGAAGGAAAAGGAGAAGCAGAGAAGGAGAGGCAGCAGAAGGAGAAGCAGGAGAAGGAGAAGCAGGAGAAGGAGAGGCAGCAGAAGGAGAAGCAGGAGAAGGAGAGGCAGCAGAAGGAGAAGCAGGAGAAGTCAAAGAAAAACAAGGAAAAAGCTGAGAATAAAAAGAACAAAAGTGACACCCTCACCAGCGAGACGGAAAACGGAAAGATCGAAGCCTGACCGCCTTGAAGGTGGCTGCATCATCGGCAAGCGAGACTTAAAACGATAACGGCGGTGGGGGGGGGGTGAGGTCACAGCGCCATTGCAACCCACCCCCTCCACCATCGCCGTCCATGCCTTCCCAGTTAGCGCCACTCACGGCTTCATTTCTCACCGAGTGTTTTCCGAACTGCTGATACACTGGAGGTGGCACGTGACTAGTAGCCACAACCATAGCGAATATTTTCCGGCTTCGGACCCGGCAGAAATTAATCCCTGACCGCCACTTCTTCCAGAGTACGAGTTTGGGGGCCGTCGGGTCGAGGGTGGCGCTTAGACGTGGTTTAAACTAAACTAAAACTTTTTATTTTACCAGGTAAGGCCCACTGAGCTACGCAGCTCTTTTCAGCAGCGACCTGTCCACAAATGATAGCTCAAATAAGTGGCTTATGTGGAAATTTATAGCAGCCAAATACTCTTAGTGCATGTTTCTAAATGTGGTGGGAAAACCCAGACGACCCGGAGAAAATCCCCACGGGAATAACATTGCAAACGCCAAATATACAGGCATTAGAGTCAGGATGGAACCCACGACCCCTGTATACCAGGCGAGGTACTTAACATCTCGCCACCTGGGCACCAAGGGGGGTGGCGCCACGACACCGACGGCGGGGATCCGCTGTGTTTTCATTTTTGAACCCCGGCCGTTTTGATTTTAGTTGTTTTTGTTTCCTTTTGTGGTTGCACTTTAGGGGTTTTAGACTGCAGTAGTTGTCTGACCGTCTGGGCTATTTGCACAGCGGCCGGCAAGTGCATGGGCAAGCTTCAATTACACTTTACAGTATATTTCCCGTTTCTAACATGTTCTCTTCCTTTTGTAAAATGTATACACTGCGATATTAATTGCTGCTTTTGGGACTTAGAAACTCTCTGCAGCCTTAAGCTAGAACACTATTGTTGCTTCCGAAATAAAGTTGTGCAGTCTTTGTTAAAATGGTGATTTTCTTTTTTATATATACTAAAAAAGACACACACACACATCGACTTACACAGACATCGACCAACACACAAGCAAAACGACCCACACACACACATCGACCCACATGCACACACATGCACTTACACACACATTGACTAACACATGGACTTACACACACATCGACTTACACACGCACAGAGCCACACACGCATCCACTCACACGCAGACATATCGACGTATACACACACAGCAACTCACACACACACATAAGCTGACACACACATGAACTTATACACACAGCGACGTACACACACATTGACTTAAACACACACATGGACCTACAAAAAGACAAAGACCCACACACACACATCGACTTACAAACACAGCGACTCTCACACAGACACATGGACTTATACACACACATACACATCGAATTACAATGCACAGTTATGTTTTTATTTTCACTTACACACATACATGGACTCACACAGATCGATTTACACGCACGCATTTTTTTATATTTTAACTTACACACACAGACTCGCACACACACATGGACCTACACACACACACACACAAAGAAATGGACTTACACACAGACATTGACTAACACACACATCGACTAACACACACACATATCGACTCATGCACACACACATCGATGTATACACATACATTGACTTATATACACACACACACGGACGTACACACACACACATCGACACACACATATATCGACATACACACACATCGACTTACACACACACGTCGACTTACAAACGCACATGGACTCACGCAGATACACATTTTGACGTACACACACATCGACTGACACACATGGACCCACACACAAACACATCGACTTAAACACACACATACATAGACTCACACGCACATGGAACGACGCACACGCATATGGACTTACACACACATCGACTGACACACATCGACTTAAAGACAAACCGCACACACATTTACGTACACAAACACAGCGACTGTCACACACACAAACATTGACTCGCACACACTTTGACGCACACACACGGACTCGCACAGACACAATGCACACACATATATGGACTCGCACGCACACATGGACGTACTCACATTCTTTTATATAGACTAAATAAGTTTGTAAATAATAGTTTTCTATGTAGGTGACTTGAGCGAAAGAAGCAAGGGAGAGGGGGAATGCGTGCGTGTATAAGAAGTAATTAGGAGCGACTGCGAGGTTGTTCCGCCATTTTGGTGCAAACATTTGCCGCAAGAGTGGCAAATTAATGAAAGTCAACTAATACAAAATGAACCTAACCTACCTGTAACTATGAGCAGATGCACACCAATCAAGCGTAAGTGACATAACGTCAATGCTCAACCCCCCTACTGAGGGGGCAAGTGTAAATATGATAGAATGAAGACGTAATCTCCATATATATAAAAGGGAAATTTGTGAATCTGTGTCTGTTCAAAATGTTTAGCGTACTTCTCGACATGCAACAAACTTGAAATTTGCCATATGGGTACTTTCCAGACTGTACAGCATGCACAAATTATAAAACTAGACTTTTGTTTTTTTTAGGGGGGGGGCGCAATAATGGATATTTTGCACGGCAAGTGAGCTGTGACGTCACATCTGTCATGTCACCCGCATGCGGAAGCGTCACGCAGTGTGCCTGCTGACGTCACCCCCCCCCAGCCCTCCGCGAGTAAAGTGCCATACAAACGTGTTGCAGGTCTAAGGCGTTCTTCGCGCAGCATTGCTGCTTTATTATTTCAGTCGTTTACTGCCCTACGCACCCTGAAAGTTGAGTGTGTCTGCAGCAAGCGTGTGTATGTGTACCTATGTACGCGTGTGTGTGTGGGGGGGGGGGGCGATAGTGTAGTGGTTAGCGTGCTGTGCTACGAACCGAGCGATCCCAGTTCGATTCCCACTCACGGCCACCACCGGTGACGATTATTTGAACCGGTACCGGGCCTCCCCTAGGTCGACTCAGCCTCAAACGAGTAACTGGTGTGTGAACATCGCCACTGGGGAGACAAAGGCGGCCGGGCGTGGTGAATCCACTGTCCCGGGTGAAGCCGGGTAGTAATAACGCTAGTTGAGTATATTTATTGGTTTGGCTTTGTGCAGTGATATTGCGTGGCTGATTATGCCTCAAGAGTACAGAAAAAGGCTATTCTTCAAAAACATTCGTTCATCTACTGTCAATTAAATATAACCTATGAAAGGCAGTTTGTAATGAGTAAACAGTCATGGTAATAAATGTTTGAAGGGAGCTGTAAATCTGCGGTGGTGAAATGGTTAGCACCCTGCGCTATGAACCTGGTGACCGGAGTTTTGATTCCCGGCCACAGCTCATATCTTTGGTGAGTGATGTCTGAACTGGTCCTTGGGTGCTTCCTTCACCAACCTGCACTGACCAGTGTAGTGAAGTATGGTCAAACAACTCCCGATGACCAACACTATGTGGAGTGGCCTTCATCGAGTAGTGCATTGACAAGGTTGTAAAATAATGTTCTATCTCGTCATACTAAGCTCACACTCTCTTCAACCAATGATAATTCCTATTCTTAGGTTTTTTCGGTAAAGTCACGTAGGTAAAAAATTAAAATTAATAAAAGTACAAATAAAATAAAAATCACGACGTCGTGATTTTTATTTTACTTTTATTAATTTAAAATTTTTACCGAAAAAACCTAAGAATATGAATCCTTGCAGTAACGAAAGCTTCAAATCTAGAATGATAATTACTGTCAGCGAAATAAAAATTCACAGGTGAAGATATAAGATGTGAAAGGCACAGGGCATATTGAGAAGCTCCACTCACGGAAACATCCACCTGATGCAACTATCATAATCGCTAACGACACGTTACACTTCTTATGCATGAAGGGGAAATCACTGGCTGCAGAGTGTGGTGCATAATTATTCCATATCTGTTACGTATGCAAGTGAAATCAGCAGTGTGAATTTAAGATTCAGTTGTTACACAGTCAAATTTATTTATAATTTAACAACTTGGTATTCGGGCTGATACAACAGAATACAATGCCCTACCTGGGGTTTAATTTTATCACTCAATATTTTTCGACTGTTAGGCTGGCAAGTGGCACGTGACTGGTAGTAGCCACAGCCGTAGTGAGAGGTAGACCCAGCTACAAAAACCCCTGGGCCTAGTCTTATCCAATGTCACAGGACCTGTGAGGTCTGCTCTGCAGCACGTGTCACAACTCTGATAATTCCCTGGGTGGCTTCGCTGGGAGTGAAACCTCTTGTTTATACATCGACCCATCTCCGTGGCAGCTGCAGGGACTGCGAGGTCACTCGGCAACTGTGACTCTGCCAACATGATTTGAGTTCCGCTCCTCATCTTTATCCACCAAAGCTGTGAGCTCCTTCGTCCTTTTGCGGTCGATATCCTCCATCTCGCGGATTTTCTGTTGGTGAGAGCCAAAGAGATTCGGTATCCGGTCAGGTGGCACCACGTGCAGAATGCCTGTAGAAGGCACTCCAGCAAATTGGTTCAAATAACCTAACTTCCCAAATGTCTAATGCTGCCAAAAAACAAGTCATAAAAATATTTATTTCATAGGCATTGACCAGAAGCCAGTTTTCCTCCTTATCCCCCTTTTATCACTACTACCACTGGGTGGGTAAGTTGGGTGGGTGCATCATGCTGCACTTGGAACCACCTGGGAGATCTGCGAGTGGATGAGAGGTGCGTACTGCTTGCTCCGACCTAACACCTCCATCTCCTGCAGGAATACTCGACGCTCCTCAATTTCCTCCATCACTGCCAAGACACACCGAGAAGAATGGGAACAAGGATGAGAGGAGGCCATGGAGGCAATGGTTGCAGATATGGTAATGTCAGATGGTGGTGGTTGTAGTCAAGGCATTGCTGAGTAGTGATGATCACAGTTATGACTGCAAGTGGTGATGGCAGTGGTAATGGTGATGGTGGCAGTCATGGTGGTAGCAATGGTGATGGTCATAACAGTAGCTTGTAGCAATGGTGGTAATCGCAGCAGTAAAAATGGTGATATTGGTGGCACTATTATTGGTGATAAAGGTGGTATTGGGTGTAGCGGTGGCGGTGGTGGCAGTGATAGCAGTGATATTGTTGGCAGTTGCAGCGGCGGCAGTGTTGGTGTTGGCAGTAGCAGTTGGTAGTGACAGTGTCACCCACACTCCGTAAATCTGTCAAGCTCTGGCTCCGGTGGCGGAGGGGTCCTGGGCTGCCGGGGTCGATGGGTCCCGCCCTGCTCGTCAGCTTGCCCCGTCGCCATCAAGTTCTGCAGCCGCTGCTTCTCGGCCTCGGTGTTCTCTGCCATGGAGGCATATGACCGCCACAGTGCTGGCTCAAACCCGCGCAACCACAACCATGACGTGTGGTGTTGGCTCGCGGCTCTGGGTCCAGGAGGCGATACAAACTCCACCCCAGGTTTAACATATCTCAGATGGATTCATAACGTGTGTGGGTACTCAGTGAGTAACTGAAATACGCTGGCAGTGGTTTCATCACTGACTATTTCTGCACCAGACGCTCAAATGCATGCCTCTGCAATCATAAAAAAATAAAGCAAGATGAGAGCCCATTCAAAAGTTTCTTGCAAGGGGAGAATGCAGTCCATACAGCATCACAGAACTCATCTGGAGCCCAGCAACTAGTTCCTCATCATCGTCACTCCCTGTCATTGCGTTCCACTCATCACTGAGTTTGGAGCCTCCTCAACCTGAAACCCATGAGAAGTGGTCACTGACAGCAGGAGGCGGGGGGTTGTGCTGAAAAGGAAAGGGGACTCACTGCCGGGCTTTGGGCGGTACTGCTCCCTCTGGTAGGCGTCGCCGGCCATGCAGTCACTCGCCGGTCGTAGGTGGGGCCTTCCCCTGGAGGCCGCGGTGGAGCGAGCCGGTGGCGGTGGCTGTCTGTTCCGCCTGGCGCTGGTGGGCGCATGGCTGCTCAGCGGCAGGCTCTCGCCATCTGCACAAGTCCCGTGCATTCAATTGAAATGTATTCCCGTGATATCTCTGTATGCCACTTCCATTGGCACCAGGGCTAAGCTGTAGCCCCCTCACATATAACACAATGGGCCCCCCAATGCACATAGCGGTATATGGCCCCCCCAATGCCATGGTGAATCCGAAATGCCACCACGGGCCCCCAATACATGGCATGATTCGCTTATGAGACCTGATGAAAAGAAAGATGCATATAACACAATGAGCTCTCCTTGGCAGTCTGCAGCTTGACATGGCTGACTGATGAGCTTTAATGATGATGAGAACCCACGCAGCTCTGTGGCCTCCCCATGAAATCTGTAACTGGGTATGGGTCACTTAATAATCTAAATGAACGGGGATCCATCAAACACTGTGTGCTTCCCTTGATAGTATGTGATTGAATATAGTTCAATGATAAGCTGCAATGATTCCATATGGGTTGATTTGACATTTCACTTTTGCAAGGTGAGCCAGTTCAACAAGTGCAATTTAGATCTAAGTACACAGACTTAAAATATATTAGGTGAGACGATCAGTTGCTCATTAGCAATAAATATACTGTTCTGTCAAAGCAGGAAAAAACATAATGTAAACACAAGTCACAACAAACGAAGGCACAGATCATATTCGACTTGAAATTACTCATCAAAATGCATTAAAATCAGTGGACCAACATTTGATAAAGAAATGTGATTGGAGACACGAACAATCAAACTTTTTTAAGCAGAGCGATGTTGCTTCATGTACTTGTTCTAGACCTTCCTCTTCTCATTTATCCATGACTGCCTCTCAGCTTAAACGCCTCTGCCATTAACTGCACCAGATCCTCTCATAATCTTTGTACCAGACCTCTTATCCATCCTTTCATCCGCCTTCTCCCCACAGCTTTGGGTTCCCATCTCATGTGCATTGTCTTAAGATGTTTTTTCATTGTAATTTAATTGTTAAACGGGTGCAGTGGTGGTGTTGTGGTTAGCGCATTGCGCTTTTAACTCAGCGGTGTAAGTTCGCTTCCCAGCAATGAATCAAAGTTGATGTGAGTGATATCTCAACCCACACTCAGCAGCCCACACTGGCCAGTTTGGTTATGTATGATCAATCAACTCCCGTGACCGATACGGAGTGGAGAGGCCATCAAAGGAGTGTCAATTATGAATAAAAATATTACCTACTGATTACCCTCTTATTTTTCCTATAGTTTTTCTACAATTGATTAATTGAATAGCTGTATTTTTTGACAAACTAATAAAGAGCAGGTGTTCAAGCTGCGGGAAAATGAATAAGAGCACTGGCATTGCCACTAAATCCAAATACAGTAGTCGAAAGAGTGCTTCCGTCTGCCACTAAGCCTTGGGCAGGAACAATAAACCGTAATCCTAAAGATGGCTCTGCGAGCCTATAGAAATGTCACTGAACCTTAATACTGTAATCCTGAAGGTGTATGCCTCTGCGAGCTTCAGGCATGACCACTGAACTGTAATACTTCTCAGGGTGCATTCGTCTGGCTCCCTGAGCTGTGGGAATAAGCAGTGGACCATAATGACCCCTCAGAGTGCCTTAGGGTCTGAAATAGTGGTGCAGCAACAAGTATAGTGTATTGTAGTTATCGTATTATTGTCGGGTTCGCTTTCACCTTGGTCCCATTGTTCTTCGATGTAGGGGCAATTCGCAATTGGATGGGCAGTTCATCCAAAAACAATGGGGAAAGCTCTGATATATTAATAATCGCCATTTACCACCCATACAGTACATAGCTTGGCGTCAAAACAAATCGTTTTTTGAGATAATTACTCGGTAAGGAGGTGACTGCAGACCAAATTGGACGTTCAAACAAATGTGGCATTTACCACATAGAGTAAACAATGAATGAGAATCAATGCTGAAACATCTATAATCTGTGCTTGAGACGACATTACTCTGTAGGTGGTGCACAGGGGAGCCCAGAGGGGGGGGTCAATAGGTTAAATTTTCCGAGGAGCTCACACACAAAAAGAGGACGTGCCACAACTTGGCTGGTTTTCTGTTGTGTCATTTTTTGAACAAGAGGGGCCCCCACGTGACATTGTGACCAGAGGCTCCAGGAACCTTCCGGGCGACGCTCGTGGTGGTTGTGGGAAGTCAACCCGAATGAGATACTGAAATGATGAGATAGTTGTTCGTCGATTATCCTGCGTGCTTCGGGGGTGGGAGTGGGCACTGGATTTTAGAAAATGCTGGATAATCACATTATTTAAAATAGCTTATTTTTGCACATTCTTGTATGACGTGTTTTATGTGTTGTATGTTTTTTCAGTGTTTTAAATGTGTTTACTGTGTGAAATTGCCATAATTAAACATACAAATGGACAAAATAAACATCCGACTTTAAACAAATTACTGTATTTAGTGTAACGTACTTACTGCTCCAATCTCGCAGACTGTGCATGGGGTGATGTATATCCGTTCAGTATTTTCATTGTTTAAGTTGTATGTAGTGTATAATGCACTGTATATAATATTTGAAACTGAAATCAAACAGAGCTCCTTTTTATCTGTCACGCACATGGTGCCGATCGCCGGACTGGCCTTTGGAACATTTGTTTTGCCAGTTTCACCGGATTGGCCCCGGACCACTGGATAATGTTGGAAGCCAGATAATCGATTATCGAACTGCAATAACTCGGCAAAGGGGGAAGGAAGGGTGCTCGAAGAAAGATGGGTGTGCTTTTACTCGCGATCTTGGCGGTGAGGTGTCTCTGCTGGAGGTTCGTCAGGCGGGCCTCTTTCATCATCACTGGGAAGAGAAAGGGATCAGCAGCACATTTGGAGAGAGAAAAGAATATTCATCACAATTGCTGGAGTTATAATTGTACGATTATCAAATGGCTGCATTTATACGCCTGAAAGGAGATGCGGATTTGCAACAATAAAAGAGGCACGATTGGCAAGTGGAAAAATGAGAGGCAAAATAAGATTTATTTTTATAACTTCATTAAACAAGTGTACTAATAAGTTTGTGTTTAAGTAACCTCCTTAAACTGTTAGGCAAAATGACGGTGATATCCAACATTAAAACTGATTTTTTAAAAACCGGTAAAACAGAACCATTTCCAGCCGCGGTGAGGCGCTGTTTGGCAGTAAGTTGGAAGTTAAAAGCACCGCTTTCCCATCAGCAACGGGTTTCGATCAAACTCGGTTTAAACCTCGGTTTTATGGGCGAAACGAATTAAACCACTGCATTAATAAATCCAGTTAAATATGTTTAACCATTTAAACCCCGTAAAAAATGCACATGTAAAGAAAAACAAACTCTCCCACAACCTTGGCTAAAGGCATCGCCATCACAATCGTATGTACAATCAAGATTAAATCGTATGTACGTTGATTTTTTTCGCGCCGTACGTAGCCAACCGCGCTAATCGGAGGTGCGGGGGGGGGGCACAACAAACTAAACAAAAAAGAGCAGTTCTAAAGACATTCGTTGTTCAATCTGGCTGGTTTAAAAGTGCATAACTCTGGTGGCGTCCCTAATATGCGTTCCAGACGGCCGCAGAAAGCGCGCGATGCGGTGACCCCCACCGTCTTTGTTTCGATGGTTTAGCAGCCAAAATGCGGCTTAGGTTTTTTCGGTAAAGTCACGTAGGTAAAATAAAAAATAAAATAATAAATGAAAATAAATCAATTAAATCACGACGTTTCGGATGCAACACAAGCTTCCTTAATCAGGTGTAAAAGGGCACAGCAAAATAACTACAGTTATTTTATAGCAAAATAACTACAAATAACTAGTTATTTTGATTTAATTGATTTATTTTAATTTATTATTATTATTTTTACCTACGTGACTTTACCGAAAAAACCTAAGAGTATGAATCCTTGCAGTCACGAAAGCTTCAAATCTAGAATTAAAAGCCGGCTTCATCTTTACTGCCATCATCACTTCGTCGAAGTTTGTCAGTGGCATACCTGTGAACCCCTTATTACAAACCAATTCAGACCGTATTGGTCACCCCGTGCCCTTATAAATATCAACGTTCATCCTACAAAGTCCCACCACCAGGAAAGTAACACTAACAAATAGACAGCAAAAATAATATAGTTTTTTTATTTACCTAGTAGTTTTTGTGTACTCATACCTGTCAACCCTTCATCTGTGCCCTACCTGATTACAGACAAATTCGGACCTTATTGGTCACCCCGTGCCCTTATAAATCTCAACGTTAATTCTACAAAGTCCCATCACCAGGAAGTAACACTAACAAAGACAAAAAAATTATCTAGTTTTTTTAAATTACCTAATAGTTTTTGTGTACTCATACCTGTCAACCCCTTACCTAGTGCCCGACCTTATTACGGACCAATTCGGACCCTATTGGTCACCCCGTGCCGTTATACATCTCAACGTTCATCCTACAAAGTCCCATCACAAGGGAGAAACGCAAACAAATAAACAAACAAAAATTCCCGCATTGAAACGTCTTTACGCCGTATGGACTTGAAAACTCGATTTCCCTCGAAAAGATTACGGGGTTAACCCGTATGGGTGACACAGCTTGGCTAGTCGCGTAAATGTCCAAAGACTTTGCTAATGACTCGCCAATTGCACCAAACCGGTCCACGTCTCCTGCGTCGTCTCATGCAAACATTGCGCCTCGCAGCTTGCGCACTACTAAATTCCAATTACGGCAATACAATGTTCTTAATAGAATTAAATTGAACATTTTGACGTGAAGTTCTCACCTCTCAGTAGGTCTCGGGTCGCCGGACTGAAGGCCGCGCCGGCCGGCGCCCAAAAGCCACCTTCGGCGCCCCTCCCGGCCATGTCCCTGCCTTTATTATCTTCAAATTTTAACTTTAAATGTGTTTCTCACTTTGCACAAATGGCTCTTAAAAACATCTAAAGAGTGAGGCGCACAGGCCTTAGGCTCCAATCGAGCACTAGGCCCGAGCTTCTCGTCTCCTAGCAACCGCGTTGCCGTGACGACGGCGAGTTACGGACAACGTGGACCAATCGAGTTCGCTGTTATTTTTGGAACGACGAGTCGCCGCTTGTGATTGGCTGATGCGAGGAATAATAATTAATTATTATTCACACGACACCTGACTGCCCACGTGGGTGGGTCGTGCAGCTGACGGGGAGCGGTGGTGCAGCGGTTAGCGCAATACAATACGAACCTGGCATACCCGGGATCGATTCCCGCTCACGGCCAACACCAGTGAAGATTATCTGAACCGGTCCTGGGCCTCCGCTAGGTTGACTCAGCCTCAAATGAGTACCTGGTGCGATGTGTAAATATCGCCACTAGGGGAGGCAAAGGCGGCCGGGCGTGCTACTGGCCACAGACCCCCTCGTTTGCCGTTCCGGCCCCAACAGTCTGTTAAAGGCTATATGGGGGATATATGTCTTTGCAGCTGATGTGGATGTTGACAGCGTGGAGAATGGCTGATTGTGTATTGAGACTGCTGATTATAGGTTTCGTGAAGTCCCACCCATGTATTAGGGAGTTTCATTTGTTACACGGATGGTCCCGTTTTGCCGGGTGATCACAGCAAAAACATCAATATTGTATTGCAGAGTGTTTTATAGGATGTCTTGTGACCTCCATTTCATTATTTAAAACTGAATCTTTTTAAAGTAAGGTTTATTAAAAACAAATATGCAAAGGAAATACATTGTTGCGGGTCAATTAATTATGGGGCTCACAAGACATCTGGACTACCCTGTAACAGCGTCCTTGTAGTAGTCAGGTCGCAGGGGTTGAGGGCTGTGCGTGTATCATGACCGTGATAAAGACTTCAGTCTGTTTCAACGACGAGGTTTAATGAAAGCAATACAACTTTAACAATAACTTTAAATAAATGTATCCAAACGCAACGCTATCTAACATGCGTCGCTATGTATATGTGAAGTTGTGTGATATATAGAGTAAACAAAGCAAGTGTAGCCCTTTAACTACATTTTATCAGTCTCCGGCTGAGCTATCAACATAGGTTAAATGAACGATTCCTGTATTTTATTTGTATCCACAATTTCACGTCTTCCTAATCTCCCCTCTAAACCTAACCACTCTCGCCAGGTGCCAAACACAATCGCCACTTTCCTCTCCTTTGTTTACCCACCGTCCCCGAGGCAACCAACAACGGTCCTTTCCAAACCAATCCCACGCCATTCGCCACCAAGTGACGGTGACGTCCCCACGTGGGCTCCTGTGCCAGGCTAGGTGCACTTTGAGGCCACGTGCAGTGTCGAAGGCATCGCTGACAGGATGACTCGGGACAGACCCAGCAGGTGCCATGGGTTGGCTGACTGAGATGACCGGTGGATACACACCAGCTGTACCCCCCCAACTGTGCCCTTCCAAACCGGCCACGTCTCTACAGCCCAACCACAATATATCCCCCTAACAACACCAGCTGTAACCACATACACGTGGGCTGCCACATTTATATATGGGCTGTTACACTGTTAAGTAGCAAAACAACACAAATTCGTCAACACTTTCGTCTTAAAAGAACAATATATACAACAGGCGACGTTTCGGACAATAGCCCGGTTTCATAACACATAAACAGGTCAGAGAGACGGAGTGTGTGTAAGAGTTACATGTAATGTAGTTGCACGGGACTGGGTGCCATTGATCTCCAATAGGTAGTGACTATATCAATGTATTATTTCCATATTTGTCTGACAAAATAAAGATTTTCTTTTACACATTCCATCGATCACAAGGCTTTCGAGAAGTGCATTAGCAGAATGTCTCGCACCTCCGATTTGCACGGTTGGCTACGTACGGTGCGAAATAAGTTATACATACAGCATTGTTTCAATCCAAGAAAAAGATTTTGACAGAACGTTACAACAATACAAAAACACGACAGCAGTGCAAAGTATAAGGAAAGGTAAACAAATCACCTGAAAAAATATACAAATAAAACGAAACTTTTTTCTTTCATCAGGTAAGCACACTGAGGTATTGACTTATTTTCAGAAGTGACCTGGGCACAAATGATAACAAAGTGTATTAATTATTACGTGCAAATGTTTCCCAGCTAAATAATATATATCAGTGGTACTTTTCCTGGGGTACACGCGCCCACTGAGGGTGCGAAATGCCCCCTTCTGGGCGTGCGAGACTTTGCATATTTTTTTAGAAGGTAAATCATCAAAACACAAATTAATTGTTTCATCAACCCCTTAAAATTCTTACTAACATTATACAATTTTCCGCAACGATCGACAACCAAATGGGGTTGTGCAAGGCTGCAGTAAAGATTAATAAGAACCGCCGATCTGAAGGCACGTTTCTGAATGTTTTTTTCTACATAAGTTTGAGAGCCCAAGTGCCACGTGGAAATTTCGATTTAAAGCTTTCGTGACTGCAGGGATTCATCTTCTTGGTTCTTTCGGTAAAGTCACGTAGAATGGAAATAATAAAATAATGAAAATAAAACATAATAAAATAATTCTCACGACGTTTCGGCCACAACGCAAGCAGCCGTCCTCAGGTGGAGAACAGGTCTGTCGAGAAGACAGAGTCTGAGGACTTTACCGAAAGAACCAAGAAGAAGATGCCACGTGGAACTTCACCGAAACCGCCACGCCACGTGGTGCCGGGTGGGGGCGCTGCAGGGCAGAGGGGCGGGGGGGGCGGGGGGGGGCGGGGGGGGGCGAGGGGGGCGGGGGGGGGGCGGGGGGGGGCGGGGGGGGGGGGGGGGGCGGGGGGGGCGGGAGGGGGCGGGGGGGGGGCGGGGGGGCGGGGGGGGCGAGGGGGGCGGGGGGGGGCATGGGCGGGGCAGGCGAGCGTGTCAATGTTTTCCCACAATGCCTCGCGAGCCTCGGCAGTAACCAATCAGCAAGAGGCTTCGGCTCGGGGTCAGGGGTCAAGTGTCAGAGCGGCGACGGCGGGTGGGAGGTGGAGAGAAGCGGAAGTGGCCACGGTCGCGCCCGGAACGTCGGACTTCGTTCCGAACAACCAGAAGAGGATCCTAGAACGCAGGCGCGAGGTCGAGTAGCGGCGGCGCTGCCGAACACGATCCGCTTCTCACCGAGAACTGACGGCGATCTCGAGCACGAGTTGATTTGGAGGCGAAACAACAACAACAACAAAAACGTCGAGGGCCAGTCCGACCCCGACATTGGGACGGGACCCGAATCCGGAACTCCGCACCCCCCCCCCCCGACTCTGGACGGGACCTCGACGCCGACCTCACTCGGGGGGTTCAACGCAGGACGCGGCAATCTCTGACGGACCTGAAGCCGACCCGGCGCTGAAGCAGCAACCGTTGCGTCGCAGCCGACATGGACTTCGACTATGAGGAGGATAAACTGTGAGTGGCTCGAGAGGGATGCACGGGGGACCCTCATCCCCCCCCCCCCCCGGTCTCTGGGTCCTCCACCCCCCCCCCCCCCCCCCAGTCTCTGGGTCCCCCTACCCCCCCCCACCCGGTCTCTGGGACCCCCCCCCCACCCGGTCTCTGGGACCCCCCATCTCCCCCCCCACCCGGTCTCTGGGACCCCCCCCCCCACCCGGTCTCTGGGACCCCCCATCCCCCCCCCCCACCCGGTCTCTGGGACCCCCATCCCCCCCCCCCACCCGGTCTCTGGGACCCCCATCCCCCCCCCCCCACCGGTCTCTGGGACCCCCCATCCCCCCCCCCACCCGGTCTCTGGACCCCCCATCCCCCCCCCCACCCGGTCTCTGGGACCCCATCCCCCCCCCCCCCACCCGGTCTCTGGGACCCCCCATCCCCCCCACCGGTCTCTGGGCCCCCCATCCCCCCCATCCCCCCCCCCCCACCCGGTCTCTGGGACCCCCCCCCCCACCCGGTCTCTGGGACCCCCATCCCCCCGGTCTCTGGGACCCCCCATCCCCACCCGGTCTCTGGGACCCCACACCCCCCCACCCGGTCTCTGGGCCCCATCCCCCCCCCCACCCGGTCTCTGGGACCCCCATCCCCCCCCCACCCGGTCTCTGGGACCCCATCCCCCCCCCCCCACCCGGTCTCTGGGTCCCCCCATCCCCCCACCCGGTCTCTGGGTCCCCCCATCCCCCCCCAACCCGGTCTCTGGGTCCCCCCACCCCCCCCCACCCGGTCTCTGGGTCCCCCATCCCCCCCCCCCCACCCGGTCTCTGGGTCCCCCATCCCCCCCCACTCGGTCTCTGGGACCCCCTAAAGGGCCACCACCCCCATAAGTTTTGGTGCCCCTGTCGGTACCGGTCAAAAATGGACTGAACCCTCCTGCTCCCCCCCCCCCCCCCCCCCCCCCCCCCCCCATGTTCAGAATCAGAATGTTTTTTTTTTATCCCGAAGGAATCTGATGATCTTTAAAGCTCTCTTTCACAGATGTCCAGTCGGGGCGCGGGGTCAGAACGTTACCCGAGCTGCTATTGGGACTGAGGCCGTTGTCTTTTTAGTCCGTGAGGCCTTCTAGGAGGGAGTGGTCCCGTTAAGGTCGTGATCCCAGATTTTCTGTCAGGACTGGTCTCCTTGATCTTGGTCCCCCTGAATCTCAGCATACGGTCTCGTCAACCGGAGTGTGCCAGATTGCGTTCCACATTGGACGCTGAAGCAAGGTTGAGCATCGTTAGTGCTCTACTAATATGGGAGACCACCATGCATGAAATGTGTTCTGGGCTGCTGTGGGGCTATGCTGTGAGCATCAGAGGACAGTACAACAACATCCACGATTGTACTTCACTTCTATGCTCCTACATATTAACCTCCTTTCCTTCACCAACCCGCACCGACCATCGTGGTAATAAAATGCAAGGCAACGACCCTCAGAGCATGGGGAGGGCTCTCATCCATCAGTGGATTTATTTTTTAAAAAATACTGTGCATGTACAAATGTCGTCGTCATCACCGTCCGCAGCGTTAGCCTTATTATTACGGTTGTTGTTGTTCTCCACACACAGGGGCATCCCGACCATTCCCGGGAAGGTAGTGATCCAGAAGGACCCGCAGAACATGATCGGCATCAGCATCGGCGGCGGCGCGCCGCTCTGCCCGTGCCTCTACGTGGTGCAGGTGGGAGCCCGAGGGGGCTGCAGGCAGCCACGTTAACAAACTCGCCCACGCTGCGCATGATGAGCTCACTGTTTACTCTCTGCGATAACAGAATCTACACATTCATTTCAATCGGGCCCAAATACAGAAACTCAAGTTGGTGCGCGTGGTGTCGGTGGGTGGGGTGGTTGGCGCTGTGGTTAGAGCGCTCGACTTAATCGTCGATAATCAATCGGCCATTGTAATTTTATCGGACGTATTGTTTCGGTAGCCGCTCATAATTCGCGTGTGCTTGGTCGTCTGGTCAAAGCCATGCGTTGAGTGTTTATTCCCAAGAATTTGTAATCACACACCACTGCGCGCATCTTCATAAGTTGAATCATCGTCATTGCATCATCGTTATCAAGCATCGTCTTATTTTCATCTCGTGTTTCGTACCATGTCTTGTCCCCATGTACTTGACCATGTCTCATCCCGTGTCTCTGACCGTGTCTTATCCCGCTGTTTTGTCCATATATCTCGTTGCACGCCTCTGATTATACCTCGTCCCACGTCTTGTCCCCTGTCCGCCCGTGTGCCGGACCAGGTGTTCGACAATGCTCCGGCAGCGAAGGACGGCACGCTGATGGCGGGCGACGAGATCGTGGGAGTGAATGGGAAATCGGTGAAGGGCAAGACTAAAGTGGAGGTGGCGAAAATGATTCAAGCTGTGAAGGTCCGTGTCTTTCTATTAAATGCACAGGAACGTCATCAGCATTATCATCTGCCATGATGAATCCACTGGTGGATGAAAGCCTCCCTGAGCCACCACCGCCTCTCACACAGTCTTGCGATGTGACATTTACTGTCAAATGGCTTCTCTTCTTCGTTTAAGCTGCGGTCAAGAGGTTGTCACGTCCATTTTCTGAGCTCAGTAATGGGCAACACAAGCGACCCTCCACCTCAGTGGGCCACAAGCTTGACAGCGTTCTTGTGCACTAATTGTGACCCCAGACATCACCCTAGAGACACTGAGACCAGGACACACGAGCAGTCCTCCTTCACCTCGGTGGGCCGCAAGCTTGACACTCTGCTTGTACACAAATTGTGACCCCCACATATCACCCTAGAAACACCTAGACCAGGCGGATCCATGGGACGCAATGCAGCTCCCGGGCCGCAGGTTTCCTACCACTACCATAGATTCTACCACACCTCTCCATTGCTTCCTTTTGCCAGATCCCAAGGCTGTTGGCCAGAGTAAAAAAAATGGTGCAACTGGATGGAGGTGGCTGTTGTTTAGTCTGACGGATTTGTTAATTTTGCTCAGTAAATGTGAATCAAGTGGTCACCAATCGAATTGTATGATTTATATGCTTTTTGTTCTCGAGACAAAAGCTACTGCTACGTTCTACCTGTGGTGATTTTGGGGCTGGGGGATCGCATTGCGCATGTAACTGCATGGAAATGTAGCTTGATGTTGCCCACTAGGTGGCGGCATCACCACCGCTAAGGTGAATGCTTTGCATGCCAGCGAGAGGTGCAGCGCATTAGTTAGCACAGCGCACTACGAGCACGGCCACCTGGGCACGTTGTTGTCTTGAACCACCGCATCTGCGGATCGTGTGCCATGCCAACCTTAATAGTTGTTTGCACCAGCCCCCTGCTGTATATTAAACTAATCTGTGAATGTGTGTGTCTGTATCGCAGGGTGAAGTGACCATGTACTACAATAAGCTACAGGCCGACCCCAAACTAGGGAAGACCATGGACATTGGTGGGTCTCAGGAACTCGCACTGACCACTGGATCCTACCCATTGTTTTATTCATGTTACTAATATACACCACTGGTGGTGGGTTTCACAACACATCTACGCGATATAACCCAAAAACCTCTTATGGATAATATTGGTTGTTAAAGCCTGTGGGTTAAACCAATATACAACCAAGTCGAGGTGTCTGCCTGCTCCAATGAGCAAGAGGGCAGCACTCATTGAGGCAGCATCCATTGTCAAGCCTCATCGAGTTTTCGGCAGGAGCTCAGTTTATTGTAGCACAACCACTGCAGACTGAACACAAAGTGTTCCTCTTGTTAATAAACCCCGGAGGGATAAAGGGGCTTAGCCAATGCCCACCTTGGATTTGAACCCATGATATTCTGTGGGTGAGTCGCATGCTCTTTTGCAACAGCGGCTGACCAAACATCGTGGCAACGATTGGTTAATTAACCGCCACAACCCGCACGACATGACCGGGGACTCGCCCAGCAGCAGGTGACACAGCAGAGGGACTGTACGCGCGCACAGCTGGTGTCGCAACCACTGATTGTGTTCTCTCTGCTTGCACCCTCCACCCCCACCTCACTCCCAGTGATGAAGAAGGCGAAGCACCGTCTGGTGGAGAGCATGAGCTCGTCGACGGCCGACGCGCTGGGACTCAGCCGCGCCATCCTGTGCAACGGTAACAGCGCAGGGTGCGGCGACGGCGCCACACCACCGTGTGCCGAGCAGCCGCCGCCGCACCCTCGCGTGCCGGTGCACCGGTGGCCGTGGTGGTTTTGCACGGGGAGGAGGGAGGGCGGCATCGGTGCCGGGATTTTCACTGCCCATCGCAGAGCCCTCCCCCCCCCCCCCCCCTCACTGGAACTCTCAATGCTCCCCACCCCCCCACTCCCGGTTGCAATCTATCAGCCAATGAGTCAGTTGGTTGACCGGCAATCTATCAGTCTGATGTTCAGTCATTCGGTGGGTCGGTGAATTGACCACTTGGTCAGTTAATTTGTTGGTTGGTCAATTGGTCACTCAGTCAGGTTGGTTTGCCACATGTTGTTCTCTGATTCACATGTTGTTATTTCTGTTTGTCTAATTCCAAGGATGCATCTCTCAACACTTGGCACTTTTCAGTTTTTGTTCATTTTTCTTTGTCCATGGAGCCTCGTAGGTAGGATGTTGGGGCTACCAGTGTGGGATAGTAGGACTACCAGTGTGGGATGATGGGACTACCAGGGTGAGATGTTGGGGCTACCAGGGTGACGTGATGGGGCTACCAGGGTGAGATGTTGGGGCTGCCAGGGTAAGGTGATGAGGCTACCAGGGTGAGGTAATGGGGCTACAGGGTGAGGTGATGGGGCTACCAGGGTGAGGTGATGGGGCTGCCAGGGCAATGTGATGGGACTGCCAGGGTGAGGTGATGAGGCTACCAGGGTGAGGTGATGGGGCTAAAAGGGTCAGGTGATGGGGCTACCAGGGTGAGGTGATGGGGCTACCAGGTGAGGTGATGGGGCTACCAGGGTGAGGTGATGGGGCTACCAGGGTGAGGTGATGGGGCTACCAGGGTGAGGTGATGGGACTGCCAGGGTGAGGTGATGAGGCTACCAGGGTGAGGTGATGAGGCTACCAGGGTGAGGTGATGGGGCTAAAAGGGTCAGGTGATGGGGCTACAAGGGTGAGGTGATGGGGCTACCAGGGTGAGGTGATGGGGCTACCAGGTGAGGTGATGGGGCTACCAGGGTGAGGTGATGGGGCTACCAGGGTGAGGTGATGGGGCTACCAGGGTGAGGTGATGGGGCTACCAGGGTGAGGTGATAGGGCTACCAGGGTGAGGTGATGGGGCTACCAGGGTGAGGTGATGGGGCTACAGGGTGAGGTGATGGGGCTACCAGGGTGAGGTGATGGGGCTACCAGGGTGAGGTGATGGGGCTACAAGGGTGAGGTGATGGGGCTACCAGGTGAGGTGATGGGGCTACCAGGGTCAGGTGATGGGGCTACAAGGGTGAGGTGATGGGGCTACCAGGGTGAGGTGATGGGGCTACCAGGTGAGGTGATGGGGCTACCAGGGTGAGGTGATGGGGCTACCAGGGTGAGGTGATGGGGCTACCAGGGTGAGGTGATGGGGCTACCAGGGTGAGGTGATAGGGCTACCAGGGTGATGTGATGGGGCTACCAGGGTGAGGTGATGGGGCTACCAGGGTGAGGTGATGAGGCTACAAGGGTGAGGTGATGGGGCTACCAGGGTGAGGTGATGGGGCTACCAGGTGAGGTGATGGGGCTACCAGGGTGAGGTGATGGGGCTACCAGGGTGAGGTGATGGGGCTACCAGGGTGAGGTGATGGGCTACCAGGGTGAGGTGATAGGGCTACCAGGGTGATGTGATGGGGCTACCAGGGTGAGGTGATGGGGCTACCAGGGTGAGGTGATAGGGCTACCAGGGTGAGGTGATGGGGCTACCAGGGTGAGGTGATGGGGCTACCAGGGTGAGGCGATAGGCTACCAGGGTGAGGTGATGGGGCTGCCAGGGTGAGGTGATGAGGCTACCAGGTGAGGTGATGGGGCTACCAGGGTGAGGTGATGGGGCTACCAGGGTGAGGTGATGGGGCTACAAGGGTGAGGTGATGGGGATACCAGGTGAGATGATGGGGCTACCAGGGTGAGGTGATGGGCTACAAGGGTGAGGTGATGGGGATACCAGGGTGAGGTGATGGGACTACAGGGTGAGGTGAGGCGGCTACCAGGGTGAGGTGATGGGGCTACCAGGTGAGGTGATGGGGCTACCAGGGTGAGGTGATGGGGCTACCAGGGTGAGGTGATAGGGCTACCAGGGTGATGTGATGGGGCTACCAGGGTGAGGTGATGGGGCTACCAGGGTGAGGTGATGAGGCTACAAGGGTGAGGTGATGGGGCTACCAGGGTGAGGTGATGGGGCTACCAGGTGAGGTGATGGGGCTACCAGGGTGAGGTGATGGGGCTACCAGGGTGAGGTGATGGGGCTACCAGGGTGAGGTGATGGGGCTACCAGGGTGAGGTGATAGGGCTACCAGGGTGATGTGATGGGGCTACCAGGGTGAGGTGATGGGGCTACCAGGGTGAGGTGATAGGGCTACCAGGGTGAGGTGATGGGGCTACCAGGGTGAGGTGATGGGGCTACCAGGGTGAGGCGATGAGGCTACCAGGGTGAGGTGATGGGGCTGCCAGGGTGAGGTGATGAGGCTACCAGGTGAGGTGATGGGGCTACCAGGGTGAGGTGATGGGGCTACCAGGGTGAGGTGATGGGGCTACCAGGGTGAGGTGATGGGGCTACCAGGGTGAGGTGATAGGGCTACCAGGGTGATGTGATGGGGCTACCAGGGTGAGGTGATGGGGCTACCAGGGTGAGGTGATGAGGCTACAAGGGTGAGGTGATGGGGCTACCAGGGTGAGGTGATGGGGCTACCAGGTGAGGTGATGGGGCTACCAGGGTGAGGTGATGGGGCTACCAGGGTGAGGTGATGGGGCTACCAGGGTGAGGTGATGGGGCTACCAGGGTGAGGTGATAGGGCTACCAGGGTGATGTGATGGGGCTACCAGGGTGAGGTGATGGGGCTACCAGGGTGAGGTGATAGGGCTACCAGGGTGAGGTGATGGGGCTACCAGGGTGAGGTGATGGGGCTACCAGGGTGAGGCGATGAGGCTACCAGGGTGAGGTGATGGGGCTGCCAGGGTGAGGTGATGAGGCTACCAGGTGAGGTGATGGGGCTACCAGGGTGAGGTGATGGGGCTACCAGGGTGAGGTGATGGGGCTACAAGGGTGAGGTGATGGGGATACCAGGTGAGATGATGGGGCTACCAGGGTGAGGTGATGGGGCTACAAGGGTGAGGTGATGGGGATACCAGGGTGAGGTGATGGGACTACAGGGTGAGGTGAGGCGGCTACCAGGGTGAGGTGATGGGGCTACCAGGGTGAGGTGATGGGGCTACCAGGGTGAGGTGATGGGGCTACCAGGGTGAGGTGATGGGGCTACCAGGGTGAGGTGATAGGGCTACCAGGGTGATGTGATGGGGCTACCAGGGTGAGGTGATGGGGCTACCAGGGTGAGGTGATGAGGCTACAAGGGTGAGGTGATGGGGCTACCAGGGTGAGGTGATGGGGCTACCAGGTGAGGTGATGGGGCTACCAGGGTGAGGTGATGGGGCTACCAGGGTGAGGTGATGGGGCTACCAGGGTGAGGTGATGGGGCTACCAGGGTGAGGTGATAGGGCTACCAGGGTGATGTGATGGGGCTACCAGGGTGAGGTGATGGGGCTACCAGGGTGAGGTGATAGGGCTACCAGGGTGAGGTGATGGGGCTACCAGGGTGAGGTGATGGGGCTACCAGGGTGAGGCGATGAGGCTACCAGGGTGAGGTGATGGGGCTGCCAGGGTGAGGTGATGAGGCTACCAGGTGAGGTGATGGGGCTACCAGGGTGAGGTGATGGGGCTACCAGGGTGAGGTGATGGGGCTACAATGGTGAGGTGATGGGGATACCAGGTGAGATGATGGGGCTACCAGGGTGAGGTGATGGGGCTACAAGGGTGAGGTGATGGGGATACCAGGGTGAGGTGATGGGACTACAGGGTGAGGTGAGGCGGCTACCAGGGTGAGGTGATGGGGCTACAAGGGTGAGGTGATGGGGCTACCAGGGTGAGATGATGGGGCTACAGGGTGAGGTGATGGGTCTTACAGGTGTGGGTTTATGTAGCTGCTTGGGTGGGTTTTTTGGGGCTGGTTAGCCGGGTGTTGGCACTGCCCGTGTGCCTCCTGCTGTTTTATAATTGAGCCCACTTAAGTGCAAATTGGTTGCCTGGGGATTATACATTCTTGGCTGGCTTACAAAGAGCACGCTCCTTGGTTTGTATGTTTTGATTTTATCCAAAACACAAGGAAACCCCCGACAACGTTTCAAGTGGAAGCCACTGTCAGTGTGCTATTGATGAATTATTTTTCTCTCTTTTATCAGCTGTAGGCAGTTGAGTAGCACTTGTGCTAACAGTGTCATGTAAGGAGACAAAAACAACAAACTTTAGAAGTGCTGCGAGTCATCAGGCGACTTAGGGGTGCAATGTCAGGGAACAACACCGGAACATGTTGCCCGCAGAACTAACACAATAGGAGTCTTCTCTTCATTCGGTTGCTCTTGTCCAACACTGGGCACAGCGCTCTTTTTTTCGTGCTGCATGAAGAATGGTTCACCATGTTTCTGTCTTCCAATATCCAGGTTGTATGCATTTCTCAAAGCGAGCTTTGCTTACCCATAGGAAAACCGAATTTATTACAAGTGTATTTATGTGAAACGGTTGTAAGTGAATGTGCTGAGACCATCATAAGTTGGCCACATGAGATACTGTAGTAGAACCATATATTGGGTGGAGCCTGGGATTTACAGCCTGACACGGCCATTATGAGCCTCCTTATAGTCCCCATGAAGTTAAAATGACCTACTCTGCTGCACGTTTTGTGGCATTGTTAAAGTAAAAGGTGTTGCCATTTTTAGAATTCTGTCGCATGTCTCTTAACAATAGTCAAGTCTTGGGCATCTCACTGCTCAAATGATCCTGGGGTAGCACCCATCTCTGTTTGCGATCTTGGTGGAAATTCCACATTCTCATGGTGGGGGGTCATTCTCTGCTTCAGAAAACCACTGTCTACTTCCCAAAAAGTCGTACAAACTTTATTCTATCAATTATAAAGGACCGATGATTATACTGCTGCAGCTGTTGGTGATGATAATGCTAATAGTCAAGGGCTGCGTTGACCCCAGACAAAAAGAGCTGAACTCGCAACTCTTAGGCTTCTCCTGCTGCCTCAGTAGAGACATGAGAACTTAAATCCTGGAGCAGCAGGGTTCGGCCCGGGCTAGAGTTTTTCTGCCGGTTTGTGCCGGAGCCCCTTGCCACGGTGATTTGGTTTCCCACGCGGGGTCCGGGATAATTGGGTCCGTGCGGCTGCGGTGACCTCGCGTGTGACCATGGGCGCCCGTGACCCCGCAGCGACGCGCGCTGCGCTAATCGGGGCGACGGTGAAGCGGCCGTTTCTACGCTCGAGCGAGCGTCCTTCATCCGGCTCGGCTGAGAGCGCAGCTCTGTGACCGCAAGAGATGGCGACAGCTTGGGGAGGCCTTTATCCAGCAGTGGATTGATCATGGTGGAGGATGATGATGATGAGAGGCCCATGAGGGTTGAAGGTTTTGCGCTGTCAGTGATGCGCATGTCTGTTTAGGCTATACGGAGGATCGTTGTATTTGAAAGGTGGGGGTTTGTGGATCGCACGGAGTTTGCAATGTGTTGCAAGACTCTACACACTAGGCTGGGAGGTGGCCAGGACAAGGCGATACAGAAAAAAGGATGTTGTAAAATGTATTCGGTAATAATAGTTTTGATCTCATTTGTATTTATCCAGGAAAGCCCCACTGAGTCTCCATACTCATTTTCTTCAGGAAGATGCTGCATTAGGGTTTGTCATTGAATTGTTGAGGAGTGTTTTTGCAAGTGGGAGAAGAAAACGCTTCACATGCATAGACAAACAGGCTTGGTGTACTGCCATCTTCTGGTTCACCTCGCAGCCTAGCGGGTGTGTAGGACTTTCGTAAATCTGCGTACTGTATATGATCCACCAACTTGCATTATAATCGCTGACCCACAGGTATGTGCTGCCACATTTCAAATTATAAGGATAACCCGACTCGCTTACAATGATTATCACAGTTCACTTTTATTAGCCATGTAAAGAAGTCCCTTCTGTATAAGAAGGGTTTTTCCATCTTGCAGATTCTCTCAATGTCTGTTTCGGTTCGTGGACACTCATGATCTACAGCGGCAACAGCGGCAGCAGCGGCAGCAGCGGCAAGCCTGAAGTGCGTAGGAGGGAATTAACGAAGTAGCGAGAGTGGCCGTGAGTTGCTGGAAGGTCATGCGGGCTGTGGGTTCGCCGCTCGCCAGCACGCGCGCCCACGTGGGAACCGCTCAGGCTGATTTACATATTTTTAATGAGGGTTGTTCGTACGTGCTTCCTTACATACTTTGCGCCTGTCCCTCGTACCAACGAGAATCGACCCGGGTGGAGTCGGTGGGCAAACGGGCGGGCGAGTAGGTGACGGGACAATTGCCCGGCCTCTAGCGTCTCTTGCCAAAACGGGCGGCATTCACCGGCAGCCAGAAAGGCGGCCGCTGGTCAACAGACACTGCTGGGATCTGCGCTGGAAGAGTGGCCGCTTTGTGCTGCTCGGGAGTTACGGGTTGGGCCACGGTGGGGGGGGGGGCGGGAGGGGGTTGGGGTAGTGAGTTAGCAGGAACCATCTTACCGTAAGTCTGTGCCACGTGGCTGTATCCCTGGCGACCACGGGGATCCACGGTGCCGTCGTCGCATTGCGGGACGCGTGGAGTGGATTCCGCTTGGGGGAGGGCGCAGTGCCTCCTCATTATCTGTGTCCCCTGCTGACCCCTTCTCTCTCTCTCCCTCTCTCTCTCCCTCTCACCACATCGCACCTGCACTCACCGCTATCTGCCTCCCTTGCTCCGTCAACACACCTCACCCACGCACACCTTACCTGTCTACCCCTCACCGCACATCACTCTCGATCACTCCATCTCCCCGTTCGCCTGATAATTAATGGTGCCCCCACAGATGGCCTCGTTAAAAAACTGGATGAACTGGAACGCACGGCTGAGCTGTACAAAGGTAAAGGCACTTTGTGACCCCCTGGGGTGTGTGCATGTGTGTAAATACCTGCACGTATACCTGTACGCACACCAGTACACACCCTTTAATGAACGCACTCTGGCACACACCTACCTGTACGCGTCCTGCAGTGAGATAACATGCTCATCCAGCGTGCATTGAATACACACAAGATACAAAGATTCCCCACGTGTAGATTTTGGGCACATTTGTGGTTAGCGAGTACCTATTAAAGGCTGGCACTGCGTACAAGGATATGGTGTGGGTTAGAACTACATCCGGATGCCCGGCCGCCTTTGTCTCCTAGATTACGATGTTTGCATGGTTGAAAACGAATTTATTCAGAACTGCTTTTTGCGTTTAGTTTGTCCTCCCGCACCTTCGATTCACACGGTTAGCAGGTCACGTACGGTGCAAAGCAGTTGAACATACAGACGTGCATTTGCTCATTTAAGGTAGTGTAAGATCTACTGCACTACTGCTGCCACCACCAGATAAACTCGTGATCACTTGCTCACTCTAGCGGACACACACCTGCACACACTTAGAAGTGAAAACAGATAATGATTCCCCATATCGCCTTTAACAGACTGTTAGGGAAAGTGCTGTTTGCGAGCACCTATGGAGGGCAAGTATGGCACATGAGGGGGTGGGTAGGCAGCACCATGTGCGGTCGCCTTTGTTGTCGCCCCCCGATGCTGAGGTTTACGCAACGTGCCAGGTACTCGTGTAAGGCTGAATCGACCGAGGGGAGACCCATGACCAGTTCAGATATTCGCCACTGTTATCAGTAGTGAGTGGGAATTGAACTCTGGTCACTGGGTTTGCAGTAACTACAACACCACCTCTGGTGTGTGAACACACACACCTGCACACACCCGAACACACCTAGATGTGAACACACCTACACACACCCGCACTCATTCTGCATTGCAAACAAATAGTGCACTGCATTAAGTTGATTTATCTTTAACACAGGTCCCTACTTGTCCTCAAATACCTAGCTATACTCTGCGTGTTTGCCAATTTTGTGTCCCTCGCCTTAATTTATTAAAAGGCCAGCCGGGCGAAACATTGGCTCCTGTTTGCCTGAATACTTTGGTAGTTTACCTAAATCCCAATATCTAATGGTTGTAACAGTCCCGCTTGTACAATTGCACATTAATCAGTGCGGCATTGTGTGTGTGTGCGTGCCTACAATCGTGCGTGCACGCACGTCCATTTGTGCTACACTTTATGAAAGAACATTGGCATTTGGCCGGGTCCCCCTTTTTAATTGTGAATGGCTTTTTTGTTTGCAGGCCTGATGGAGCACACCAAGAGGCTGCTGAAAGCCTTCTTTGAGCTCTCACAGACTCATAAATGTGAGTTTGTGCGTACGCAACAGTGTGCGCGCGCTCGCGTGTGCGGTCTGCGCATTCGTGCATGTGTGTATGTGTTTGTATTTGTGGCAGTGTGTACGAATGTGTGTGTGCATCTCAGTGTGTTCGTATGGGTGTGTATATGTTTGTATTTGTGACCTTGCTGCTCGCTAACACAGCACTTGCCTCAACAGCCTGTTATGGTTATACGGGGAATGTTTGTATTGGTGATGAAGTGTGCATCTGTGTGTACATGTCCATGTGCGTACTTTTTCGTATATGCCCCAGTCGGAAGGAGGTCGTGGTATGGAGGAGGTCGTGGGTTCGATCCCGACCCTAACCACCTGCATATTTGAAGTTTGCATGTTTTCCCCGTGATCACGTGCAGTTAGATTATATTTTACTGCTATACACTGTCACATGATAAGCTGCTTCGTTGAGCTATCATTCGTGGCTAGGTCACTTCTAAAAAAGAGCTACATCGCTGGTAAATAAAATAGTTCAGTATGGTTTATGCTCTCGCATCTGCCCATTAGTTTGTTAATCTGGCCGTTCGTTCGCCTGCCCCGCGGCACTAACATTCAGCCAGTGCAGCCACTGAGAAATAAAAGGACGTGGGGGGGTGGGGTGGTGTTCAGCGATCGCCAACATTCACAGGGCAGAAAAGCAGCTCAAATAATTCCGTTGTCCCTCCTCGAACCCAGGTGTGAGAGCCCCGTTGAGATTCACTTTCTCTTGGGGAAATTCACTGCACTCCACTTGTCCTTTGTTCTGGGTGAAACCACTTTGTTTATTCGCTGTTTCTTAATAAGTTCGGCTTCATTTCCTTCAGTTGCCCTTCACTTATCCAGGTTAGAGTATGGGCAAGATTCCCTTGGCAACAATTAATTTTGCCCCATTGTCTCACATTTAGCCACGTGAGATCCCTTTGAGATTTACCCCCCGACACGGAGTTCATTTTAATCGTTGTGCTTTAGCCAAGTGAGATTCACTTTAGCCTTGGCAAGTAAATTACTAATTCCTTTGTCCCTGTATGTAACAGGTGAGAGCCCATTCAGATTCAGTTTGTAAAAACGAATTATTTGCTTTCATTGTCCTTCGTTTACCCAAAATCACTTAAGCCGAGCCCGCATAAAGCAAGGCAAATCAGTACTTTGTAAGAAAAGGTTTTGCTGGCTGGGGTGTGGGCGGGCAATTGCACGGTCGTGACATCACCGCGCACATTTGCATGATGAAGTCACCCGCAGCCTTGAGCCGATTTGGTGCGTCAGCGACGTCACTGCTTCCCCACCTACCCCCCCCCCCAGTCTCCACCTTGGATATGTGTCCTGCACAGATGTGTGGGCAGTGCTGGTTAATTTAAAAACATTTTTCGAATCATAATTCTTTAGTAGCTACAGAGTACCCAACAAACCCTTCAGTTATTAAAAACTTGTTCCAAAATATAAAAATGTATTTTAAAATGGTTTTTCACAACTCACTTTCATCGGCCGTGTAAAGAATTCATGGCTGTACGAGGAAAGTTTTTACCATGTACCAGATTCTATCAATGTCCGCTCTGGCCCATAGACCCTACGATGTAGAGCCACAGAAGTAGGAGCAGCAGCAAGCCTGAGGCATGCAGAGGAGGAATGAACAAAGTAGTAGTAAGAGCGCGCCCCGCTACAGATCGATGAATTTTTATGGCATGTGTGCGTGCTGGTGTGCAATCGTCAAGCTTGAATTCGCGAATACATTATCTATTTTTGACATGTGGCGAGTATGGAAATGACCGTGGTGTGGCATGGTGGAATCTAGTCGCATTGTTTGCACTCAAACCAGATCGCTGCATGTTAAAGCGCAGTGTAATATAACCTCGGTGACGTGGTTACAAAACTATAAGCGTTGCGTGCATAGTAAACAAACATTATTTTGCGCGCTCGAATTACTACACGTATCGTGAATTTAATCATCGACTCTTAAGCAACGAATCGTTATGTTTATAGTAATCCGTAATAATAGGCCGATTACTTTTCCAAATTCATCCTCCTAACGCTGTCGCGTGAGGTCCCGTCCGTCACAAGCCGCCGAGCGGACGCGTGCATGTGCATGCGCGCACTCGCACAAGCACGCGCGGCAACGTTCGTTTCCGCTTCTCATCGGGATCGCAAGCATCTTGAGCCAATAGCCGCTCCCAGGCGGAGGTTGGCACATCGCTCCGTGACCCCGTCCACGCGGTCCTGGCCAATCCGCCTCCGCTTGCTAGAGCCGCGAGCAAGACTTTGTCTCGGCAGCAAGTTAAAACTCAACTAAACTCAAACTATTTTTATTATACCAGGTAAGGCTCACTGAGCGATATAGCTCTTTTTCAGAGATGACCTGGCCACAAATAATAGCCTTAACGAAGTGGTTTATCATCACGTGGAAGTTTATAGCAGCCAAATTCTCTTAAACGCATGTTTTTAAGTGTGGAGGGAGAAACCAAAGGACCTGGAGAAAAATACACGCGACCACGGGGAGAACATCCAAACTCCAAAATATACCAGCCGAGGGAGTTAGCATCTCTCCACCGAGTTATTACGAGCCGGGCGTCATGAGCGTGACGGCTCGCTCGGCGCCGCGATCGCCGCTCGTCCTCCGCTGAGCCGATTACAGAAGCTCTCGTGAAATACGCACAGCCATCAATGGCAAAGTCCGATCGTCGCCACCGAGGTGTCTTCCATGTCCTCCGTCGCCCCCTCCCCGCCCCCCCCCCCAGGAATGAAATCCGCACGCAACACTTTATCTCGCCCGTTGTCAAAAACTAAAAGGGCAGTCATGAAATGCTCGCAGACGACGTCGTCGTCTCTGACGCGCGCGGGTTTCAGCGGTTCATCCGTCTCTCCCGATTTTGTCATATATTCTGGCCGAGCTTGGGAACATGCGGCCATCTTGGCGAGCCCCGACTTGCGCTTTCACTGCTGGCATCTGCCGAGCGATCGGTCACGCCGCAGAGGACGTGTCCAGACGCACCGTGCGGCCGAGTCGAATGGGGTCCCCCCCCCCACCTATTTTTAAAGGTTGGAAAGTGTGCACCGAAGCGTGGAGAGAGATACATGCTTAGGGATTACACTGGGAGACAGAAAGATAGAATAGTTACAGAGGCTTGAACAGGATATCGGTATGAGTATGGGTGCCCAGTGGGTGCAGCTGGTGTTGAAATGGCAGCAAAAGGATGAAACATGCCCTAAAGGATGACCACTGCAGAGATGGAGGGACAAGATTGTCTCATGCACGTGGCTTGTCCCTTTGCAAGACAGTGAAGGTCGCAAGTTCAAATACTGGTTTGAAGTCGGCCCGTCATCAATATCCATCCGCGGTTGTGCGAGTCCTACAATATTATTTACTCGGGAAAGCCTAGACTCTTTCAGGAGGCTGCTGCTAAATTGCGATGATTGTGTTCTGCGTGTCAGACGATAACAGGAGTACGCGGAGAAAGCACGTGCATACAAGGGAGTGGCACTCAAAGTTCCGCACAGATGGATTAAAAAATCCATAACTTTATTGCCATCTCCAGCTCACCTCGCAGCGCCAAGTCTACAATACCTGATATTTTCAGGCAGTCTCCTATCCAAGTGCTAACCATCTTCAATTCCTGCTTATCCACAAAAAATATCGGACAAAATCGGCCACATTCAGTGTGATTTGGTCTCAGGCCAAATCTGACACAAATCCTCTTTGCAGGCTCCCCGATCTGCCTCCACCCCCCAGGCAATTCTCTTGGCCCAGTTTTGTAGGAGGTGAAAGCCTCCCCCAGCCCCCACCGCCATCATCATCGGCGTTCCCCCGCGGCCCAGTGGAGAGAGCGTCAGCGTGGCCAATCGATCGTGGGTAAAAATAGAACGAGGGGAGGAGGAAGAGCTGCGCATGGCCATCGGTGGGAATTCGACTTGAAGAGGGGTGACATTTTGCGCAGCTCAACGGTCAGGGCGGCGGGATTTCGGGGAGCGTGATGCGACGTTTATTTTGTCTGCGCGTCTCATCTTAAACGCGTGTGCTTATACCAAATTTTGAGTTCCGTGCGAAATGACATTCATAGCAGTAGCAGCAGTCACAGCAGTTGGCCAACTTGCCATACCTTCCCTCTTTTAGGTGGATAAAACGGGTGCCACTGTGAGATAATGTCGACTATGGTTGTTCTCTAAGAGAGGCTGCCCTCACCAATGGGAATGTTGGGAAATGTGGGATTTGCTTCACTCGGCCAGGGCTGCCGGAGGATATGACCACCGCCCGTTTGGTCGTTTTGAGCAGATAGAAACGTTGATGGTTTACCCGGGAGAGTATCACTTAGTCACAGGATGCTTTTCGGTGTACCGATGCAAAGGTTTGTTAATTCTACATGAATTCTTAAGCCCAGAAAATACATGCATCGAATTGCACGTAAATCAATCGATGCTTTCCAGAGAATGCATGTGGTTTGTAAATGGGTTCATGTGACCCCTCACCAATGAACCCGACGGACAGATGGGCAACCGGGCAATGCCAGTGAATCATGGAAGAGGTAAATTGTTACAAGCCAAGTTGACAGCACGTGCATGCATTCCAGCTGTGTAACAGCACATGTGCATCTGTTCACACACAGTGGTGTAGCAGTTTGTGTGCTGCGCTACTAACCCAGCGACCAGAGTTCGATTCCCACTCATGGCCAACACCGGTGACGATTATCTGAACAGGTCCTGGGCCTCCACTAGGTCGACTCAGCCTCAAATGAGTAGCTGGTGCGGTGTGGAGTAAACATCGCCACCGGGGAGACAAAGGTGGCTGGGTGTGGTTGCTGGCCACCCACCCCCTCGTGTGCCGTTCCGGCCCTCATAGGTGCTCGCTAACAGCACTCGCCCCAACAGTCTGTTAAGGCGATACGGGGGTCTTCGTTTTGTTAACACTGTGTATGTGTGCATGTGATTACTGTGTATAAGTCTGCACGTGTGTGTTTCCTGTGTATAAGTATTAGTGTGCATGTATGTGTGTGTGTTTACTGTGTGTATATGTGTTTGCACGTGTGTTCGTGTGCATGTGGAGAGCGTTCTTGTAGTGGTTAGCGCACTGCGCTACGAACCCAGCGACCAAATTTTTAATTCCCGCTCACGGCCACCACCCGTGATGGATTTCTAAACCAGTCTTGGTCCTCCCTGAGGTCGACTGAACATTAAGTTGAGTATTTGCTGCAGTGTGTAAACACCAATGTTGGGGGAGACAAAGGCGGCCGGGCGTGATGTATGTATGTAAGTTGAACTTCTTTTGCACCGTACGTAACCAACTGTGCTAATCGAAGGTGCGGGGGAAGGAAAACAAACTAAACACAAAAAGCAATTTTAAAGAAATGAGTTTGTTACTGTCCCATGACACCAACCCGTGCACCGTGCCGGCCTTCATAGGTGCTGCTCGCTTAACAGCACTTGCCCCAACAGTCTGTTAATGATACACTGGGGACCTTTGTCTGTGCGCGCGTGCGTCCAGCGTTTGGCGACGTCTTCTCCGTGATCGGGGTGCGGGAGCCTCAGCCTGCCGCCAGCGAGGCGTTCGTCAAGTTTGCCGAAGCCCATCGCAGCATCGAAAAGTTTGGCGTGCGGCTGTTGAAGACCGTGAAGCCGGTACGCCCCCACCCTAAGTAGTTGGTGTACGAGCAGTCCCACCACTGAGGAACCTCTCTCCAAGGTTCAAGCCCTGGCTCAGGATGACTCGCTATCTCGGGGAGGTTCGTAATGGTCGAGTCGGACACACTTGGCCCACCAACACTGCTGAGATCGTGGGTTCGAATCTGGTTTTCAACGGCCTGTGATGAAAACTGGGTTCTCAAATGTGGCAAGTTGATGTCGCGAGTTGTTGATCTTGACTGCGCAAAAAACGTGATTGGTGGTAATGGTGATTAAAGTGTTGATGATAAACTAAACTATTTTTATTTTACCAGGTAAGGCCCACTGAGGTATATAGCTCTTTTTCAGAAGCGACTTGGCCACAAATGATAGCTCAACGAAGTGGCTGATCATCACGTGGAAGTTTGTAGCAGTAAACAAATACTCTTAACGCAAGTTGCTAACTGTAGAGGGAAAAACCGGAGGACCCGGAGAAAAATTACCCATGACCTCCTGTATACCAGGTGAAATAGTTAACATCTCGCCGCTATGGCGCCTATTAGTATAATGATGATTATAGAAATAGGGGTGCTGATGATGGTCACGATGCAGTTGAGTCAATCCAGGGTGAGTTATTAACATGTTCCCGCCACGATCATGAACGTTTCCAGCTCATACAGCTGGGCTATACATCATCAGTTTGAACAAAAATTTAATAAATCCAAACGGAATGTGGAATTCCCACCAGTGGCTAGGAACTCGCCAACAGTGACGTGCACCACCCCACTTGTATTTGAGCAGAGAGACGCTTGGGCCTTGTGTCCGGCTGTGCGGTGGCTTACATTGCGAATACGTTCCCGGCCACCTGGGTTCAATTTCAATACTCTTGATAGACAACTTAATTTACAGGCCATTATTGAGCCTGTCCTGAGCCAACTGGACCATCCATGGGTAACCCAAGACAGTGTGTAAAAGCATCTGGACATGCATTGGTGCTGGCCACACCACTGTCTCATGCTCCCATGCAAGCCTTAAACAGGTGCTCGCTAACCGCGCTTAGTCCTGCAGTCTCTCAGGCTAAACTGAGGCCCATTTGTCTCTATAGATGCTCAGTGACCTCAACACGTACCTCAACAAGGCCGTGCCCGACACGAAGCTGACCATCAGGAAGTACGCCGACACCAAGTTTGAGTACCTGGTGAGTATGCCCGGCATGTCGTACACGTACCTGCTGCATGTGCAGTCAGTGTTGGTTTAACCGGGACTCAAATTTAAGCGCTGTGTGCGCCTTCTATTTGGACACATACATTGAATGGACAACAAAAGGAAAATGAAAAGTGCATTAGGAAAAATGGAAAAAAGTGGAAAGAGTGGAAGACCTATACTCTTGGTTCTTTCGGTAAAGTCACGTAGGTAGAGAAAATAAAACGAAACACGACGTTTGATCTCTGATCTTTTCGTCCAATCAATGATAGTAGCGCTAACATTTACCTTTTAATGTGCATATCATTTCCATGAATTCCAAGTAATCAATTCTCTCACACACGTGTAACACAAGCGCCCGGAACGTCGTGTTTGTTTTATTTTATTTTCTCTACCTACGTGACTTTAACGAAAGAACCAAGAGTATGGATCCTTGCAGTCACGAAAACTGCAAGTCTAGTGGACGACCTTGCAGATAATGGCTTGATGACGACATCATAAGAGATTGGTGCCAGAAATATGTGCAGTACTTGAGTATATTGGCACAAGACAGGAAAGTGGAAACAAATGACGACATGTGCAGTGGACACCCATGGGCTATCTACCCATGGATTGTGATGATGATGATGTCCCGTCTTGGTGGCAGTACATTGTGTTGGCAGTGCGCGCTGTTATGGTGTGGGTGTAACGACCAGCGCCATTCTTATGATTATTCGGTGACTTGCTGTGGATCAGGAGCAATAGAGCGTCATCTCTAATTCAGCAGCCTGTTGAGAATCGACGAGAGAAAAACAAATGACACTTTTGGCTTCGCAAAGTGGTACTCGTTTTATCATGGCATTGGTCAATCCCTGAATAGGATGTGAACTGATTGTGAGTCAAGGGCAATGAGTACAACATCGCTCGGCCACATTAAACAATAATACGAGAACAAATGCAAGTCAGCTTGACAGCATGTTAACCATTAATAAAGACAAGTGGCTTGGGCAGGATACGTTGCTCAAAGGGACGGGGACCGATGGTTGAAGTAAATTACAGAGGCAGCCAAGGGAAGGAACACGCCCCACGAATGCGTTCGCTTTGGAGGTGGAGCAATGAAATTGGTGCGTGCGCGCCCGCCAGGCGGATCGCCGCACCGCGGCACCGCGGAAGATGACGACGGTGTGGGATAGGGCCTACATCCAGCAGTGGATTGGTGGTAGCCGACGATTATTATGGTGATGACGACGACTATCGGAGAATGCGCATGAATGAGAGTGAAACTACCGAGGGCCTGAATAATACTATAGATGGAATGTTCGAGTGGGCTCCGGGCCATGTTCGTTAATGTTTAATCGCGCCGGCGCTGCCGCCCTGAGTGAGACGTGCCGTGCGGGGGCGGCGGGGTGAATACACGCGTGTCTCGTGTGTCGTCTGTGTGTGCGTGTGCATCCGAGTGCGCGTGTGCATCCGAGTGCTTGTACGTGCGTGATGTAACGTCTGAGTGTGCGTGCGTATGTGCACGTCTGGAGAGCGTTGGCACAGTGACTAGCGGGGACTGCGCTACGAATCCGGCCACCCGAGTTCGATTCCCGCTCGTGGCCAATGCCAGCGATGAATATCTGAACCGGTTCTGGGCCACCCCTTGGTCAACTCAGCCTTAAATGAGTACCTGGTGTGGTGTATGAACAGGTGGCCACCCACCCCCACGTGGGCCATTTTGGCCCTTAATAGGTGCTCGCTAACCTCACATGCCCCAACAATCTGAAGGTTATACGAGGGATCTTTGTGCATGTCTATGTTTAAATGTGTGTATGTGCATCACCTAAGATATGCGCATGCATGCATGCCAGTGCACGGGTCTGCGATGTCTTTGTGTGCCTGCAGCACATGATTGCATGCGTGTGTTTACATCTGTGTGTTCGCGTGCCTGCACATGTGTTTGTAAAATCGTCTTTGTGCCTGTACTGCAATGCGTATGTGCGTGCGTCTGTGTGACACTGTTAGTATTCGTGTGTGTATGTGTGCTGGTATACGTGTGCGCGTGTGTGCCAGAATGCTCGCCACGCCCGTGTGTATCGGCACACACGTAGCAGCATCGTGAACCCAGTCACCCCGCACCCCGACTCAACTGTCGCCCCTCCCCCCCCCCACAGTCATACTGCCTCAAGGTGAAGGAGATGGATGACGAGGAATACAGCTACGCGGTGAGAGGGGCGGCGCGTGCTGCCTGTGCTGCCTGCACACACTGTAATGCCGGTGCTGCCACCTGTGCTGCCACCTGTGCTGCCACCTGTGCTGCCACCTGTGCTGCCACCTGTGTTGCAAGTGCTGCCAGTGTTGCCCTTGCTGCCAGTGCTACCAATGCTGCAGTGTTGATTTCTGCTGATGATTATAATGATGTACTGCAGAAAATGCTATAGTTTAATGTTTTCGTTTATAATGGGAGGCAGTAGAGTAGTGGGGAAAGCAGTGGTTAGCACACCCACTGCATTAAGAACGCGGTAATTGGTAGCGACTGATATTTGAGCTAGGAGCCCATGAACCAGACCGGATGTTGGATAAGTTAAAAAGGCCATAATGATTATTATTGGGGTGGAGCAGTGGTGCAGTGGCTGCCTTCCTGCATTATCAACCCAGCGATGCGAGTTTGATTCTAGGTCATGGCTAACATTAAAAGGTGAGTGATATCTAAGCCGGTCCTGTGTCCCTCCCCCCCACCTCGCCCATTCACCAACTCGCATTGAGCAGCGTGGTGAAGTATGGTCAAACAACCACATTGCCAAACCCAGCATAAACATACACGGCATGTGGATGCCTTCATCAAGCAGTGGGAGTGACATTGTGATTTGTTCTGGTGTCGTGATCGATATGGTAATCGCTGTTTAGGCGCACTGTATGTTGCATTTGTAATATTGTGGTGGTTGTAGTTTTAGAGATGGTTATATTTGTAATTGTTGTGGTTGTGATAATAGTTGTTGTTACTCAGGCTATGTAGGAGCCACTGTAGTAGCATAATAGTAGTTGCAGTGGTGGTGTTGTATGGTGGTATTTGTAATTGCGACTTTAGTAGTGGTAGTATTACAACAGTGGTAGTTGTGGTGTTATAATGATGGTAGTAGTGGTATTGTAATGGTAATATTGGTGGTATCATAACAGTGGTAGTGGTGGTATTGTAATGGTCGTCATGGTGATGGTTGTTGTTACTGCTGCTCAGGCCTTGCAGGAGCCGCTGTACCGTGTGGGCACCGGTAACTATGAGTACCGGCTCATCCTGCGCTGCCGCCAGGATGCGCGCGCTCGCTTCGCCAAACTGCGCAAGGACGTCATGGAGAAGATCGAGCTGCTGGACCAGAAGCATGGTGAGGGGTCACCACTGGGGGTCACTTGTGGGGGTCTCCGCTGGGGGTCACCGCTGGGGGTCACCACTGGGGTCACCACTGGGGGTCACTTGTGGGGGTCGCCTCTGGGGGTCGCCTCTGGGGGTCGCCGCTGGGGGTCACCGCTGGGGTTCACCGCTGGGGGTCGCCGCTGGGGGTCACCGCTGGGGGTCGCCGCTGGGGGTCTCCGCTGGGGGTCGCCGCAGGGGGTCGCCGCTGGGGGTCGCCGCTGGGGGTCGCCGCTGGGGGTCGCCGCTGGGGGTCTCCGCTGGGGGTCGCCGCTAGGGGTCGCCACTGGGGGTCGCCGCTGGGGGTCGCGGCTGGGGGTCACAGCTGGGGGAGCGCAGGAGTAACGACAATTAGTCCAGAGCAAAGGGGTCGTGAGTGGGCGTGCAACGACGCATCGATTAGTACGCTCACGATAAGCGCATTGAATTGTGTGTGAGAGAATTGATTACTTGGAATTCATGGAAATGATATGCACATTAAAAGGTAAATGTTAGCGCTACTATCATTGATTGGACGAAAAGATCAGAGATCAGACAACAGTATGGACGAGACGGTAGACATTGAACAAAAAAACTATTTAGTGAATTCAATCACAAACCTTGGTCATGATGGTTCCAGCCAGGGATACTGGGGTGTCTACAGCGGACAGGGTGGGTGGAAGGGTGTCCAAGTAAGGTAATGCACCACATGGTGCCAAGCCCAGCATAAACATTTTCAATACGAGGAGACCGTTACAGTGAATTACAAGGTATCGTCATTAAATATTCAACGTTTAAAAAAAAAAAAACTCGCAATCAAAACTGGTGAAGGACGCTCGTTGGGTTGCTAAGTAGACCAAGGTGGCGAGATGTTCACTATCTTGCCTGCTATACAGAAGGTTGTGGGTTTGATTCTGACCCTGATGCCTCTATATTTGGAGTTTGCATGTCTCTCCCTGTGCTCAGGTGGATTTTTCTCCAGGTCCTCCGCTTTTTCCCTCCACAGTATTTGGCTATTATAAATTTTCACGTGATAATAAACCACTTCGTTCAGATATCATTTGTGGCCAGGTCGCCTCTGAAGAAGAGTTATATATAGCTCAGTGGGCCTTACCTGGTAAAAAATAATTTTTTAAACAGTAGACGCCTGGCAAATGCCCCCACTCACTTGACAAACACAAATATGAATTATCTTTGTTGTCATTCATGCACCTTAACCCTTTCCCATTTCGAGACGTCTGAAATTCCAGGGTGGGGTCCCGTTCACACCGCTGAATCTCGGGACGCGCAAGCGATTAGCATTAATTTTATTTAGAGAGATGTAGCGCCATTTTTTTAAGGACATTGTACTCACCGCAGAGAACCATGGCGACATGACCGCAGTCTATGATACCTGGCGCCAAACTGTGCCACACGCCCCCCGCATAGCCATGTGAGATCCTTGGTGTACGTCTTCCGATCCGAAGACGTACTGATAAAGTTTATTTTTCTTACAAAAAATACACATTTAGAGGCGTGAATATCTGCCCTCGTCTTGAGTGGGATTATTATTTATCCAATAAGAGGTGTAATATCCCCTCCCCCCTCCCCCAATAAATTTCCTAAACCTCTTTGTCAGCTCAAATAAGCGGCACCTCAGCACAAAGTTTAAGATACGCTGCTGATTTTTGCTGGGCAGGTCGCATCTTGCCGTGGTGCTCTGTTGTTCCGGGTCGTGCTATGTGCTTGCATGTAAATGCTGTGTTGTGTGTGTGGTGTGTTGTGTGTGTGGTGTGTTTGTAAGGGTTCCGTGTGCCCTGGGGCGCGTAGAGTCTCACGGTAGAGATGTCTGCTTCCAAACGTCCTCAACGACCTCGGGCAGAGGTCCTCTTGGCTCATGTACCCTCTGCGTTATTAGAGTGTGTGTATGTGTGTACGTGCATGGGTGCTTGTGTACGTGCACCCATGCATGTGTATGCATGTATTGACGAGTCAGCGCGCTGCACTACAAAGCCGGCGACCCGGGTTCAATTCCCGCCAGTAACAATTATCTGAACTGGTCCTAGGCCTCCCCTAGGTCGCCTCAGTACCTGGTGCAGTGTGTAAACATCGCTACTGATGAGACAAAGATGGGCGTGATGCTGGCCACCCACCCACTCATGTACTGTGCCAGACTTTATAGGTGCTGGCTAACAGCACTTGCCCCAACAGCCTGTTAAGTCTATACGGGGGATCTCTTTTTTTATGGTGGAGCGGTGGCACAGCGGTTAGCGCGCTGCACTACACTAGGAACCTAGCCAGCAAACCCGAGTTCAATCACCCACTCAGTGGCCAACACCAGTGCCGATTATGTGAACCAGTCCTGGGCCATCCCGAGGTCGACTTGGCCTTAAATGAGTACCTGGTGCTGCGTATAAATATTTCCACGAGGGAGACAAAGGCGCCGGGAGTGTTGCTGGTTCACACCACCCCCTTGTGCACTGTGCCAGCCCTCATAGGTGCTCGCTAACAGCACTTGCCCCTAGCAGACTGTGAAAAGCTATATGGAGGACCTGTTTTTTTTAAGTGCATGTGTGTGTGCGCATGCGCATACATCTGTGCGTGTGTACGTGCGCATATTTAATCGTCGTGTAGATCAATGTCGGTGATATTTTCCAAGCGGCTAATGGGACGTTTTATGCTGCGTCTGCCGCCTCCTCGCTATGAAAATGCATTAAACGCACGCGTGCACATGCACACACACACACACACGTGCGCGCACACGTGTGTGTACATGCAGACACAGGCATAGACGCCTTGTGTAGCATTTAAGCCGCTGGGATAAGCGCTGCGAGCGAACACTACTTAAGACCGGCACAGCGCTCGTGGTGGGGGTGGTGTGGGCAGCATCACACATCTGTGGCTGCCTTTTCTCTCCCCATTGTCGATAATAATGATCGCTCCAGATGCTCGTTATAGGCCAAGTTAATCTAAGGGAGCATCTGGACATATTCAGGTGGCATATGCCAGCGATGATGGCCGTTATGGCCAGGAATTTATTCCAACTTTGTTCTGCTGCTGCTGCTCAAAACACTACTACACTCTACACCTTTATACTGTACATCCATACACTGCACTAACCACTACCACACACCAAAAGCAAAGATCCCCCGTATAGCCCTAATAAACTGTTGGGGCAAGTGCTTGTAGTGAGCACCTATGAAGGCCGGCACAGCACACGAGGCGGTGGGTGGCCAACACCATGCCTGGCTGCCTTTGTCTCCCTAGTGGCGATGTTTACACACCACACCAGGTCGTCATTTGAGGCTGAGTCGACCTAGGGAAGGTCCATGACCGGTTCAGATAATCGCCGGTTCGTAGCACAGCATGCTAACCGCGACACTACCGCTCCCCACACCACACACACCACTTGCATGCACACACACATACACAATGTTCCGCCTACTACAATACCACTTGTATCCACACACGCACGCCACACTAAACACGACCACACACCACAAACGAACTGTACACACGCGCCACACTGACCGCTACCGCAGCGCGTGGGTGCACGTAATCGAACGTGCGCACACACACGCACCGCGGAGCCACTCGCTCTGAATTTGTTACCCAAGACACGATTCCACGAGGCTCGGATTTTAAAGATGTGCGTGGGTGTCTGCAGGGAGAGTTGTAGGGGGTGGGGATGTAGAGGAGGGGCAGAGGTGACCTGCCTCTAGGCCAAAGAGGGGCCATGTGGGTTCATGGGGATCGCTGCTCACAGCGGATGTGAACCTTGGCCCTGCACCCGGCTCTCTGCTGTCCTCCCTGTGTCCCCACACACTCCTGTGACCCCCGGGTTTCTGGTCATCCACAGGATTCTCACCTTGTCCACACGCACCCATTTCCAGACGCTTGCCCGCGTGTCACCGCACTAACCCTCGCATGCCTCGTGCTCATCTCCATCCCTTGTGTCCCTGTATCCATGTGTTCCTGCGCTCATCCCTATCCCTTGTGTCCTCGTATCTCCATGCCTCTGTGTTCATCCCTATCCCTGGTGTCCCCATATCCACGTATTCCTGCGCTCATCTCCATCGTTCGTGTCCCCGTATCCACGTGTCCCCCTATGCTCATCCCCACGTCTTCATGATCGTGTCTCCGCAGTGCAAGACATTGTGTTCCAGCTGCAGCGCTTCGTGTCGGCGATGTCGCGCTACCACGACGACTGCAACGCGGTGCTCAAGGAGGCGGACGTGTTCCCCATCGAGGTGGACCTGGCGCGCACCATGCTCAGCTACGAGTCGCAAGGACCCTACGCCGAGACCGGCCACCGCCGCCGCCATGACGACGAGGACGACGGCGACGACGACGACGAGGAGGACAACAGAGGTGGCGACGACGAGGAGGGGGGTGATGGAGGAGGCCAGGACGACGGGGCCGGGATGATGGCCGACGACGGGACGGAGGAGAACGGGGAGAAGCTCATCGATGACTTGTGATGCGGTGGCGGTAGGAGGTTGTTGGCGGTGGTGAGGTTGGAGGAGGTTGTGATAGAGGAGGAGGTCGTAAAGGTGGTGGAGGTCGTGCAGGTGCAGGAGGTGTTGGTGGAGTTGGAGGCAGCGATGGGGAGCGGTGGTTGAGATGGAGGTATCATCGGCTTATTATTTGGTTACTTTTCTGATTTTAATTGAAAATGTATGCACACCTGTTTGTGCAAGCAAGTGTGCATAAATGCATAAGCCAGTGCGTGTACCCACGGGTACACGCAGCGGCTGCACCTCTTATACCTACACGTACATACATGTAAATAAATCATTGTATGCGCATGCATGTACATGCATGTGTATAACACGTGCACGTGCATATGTGTACCACATGCCAATTACACGTGCACGCATTCCAGTAACACGTGCATCCTTAGCATGAACGGCACAGCACATGTGCACGTGTCGCCCCACATAGGTTCTTCGAGGCGTGCAAGACGCACACGTGTACACGCATTCATGTGCATATGTGCAAAGTTCATATCTGTACATATGTGCGTGCCTGGACGTATAAAAGTGTAACGCACACACGTGTATCCCTGTACACATGTGCATGTATCGCATGTTTACCTGTGCTAGTACGACTGTGTGGGATGTGAACATGTGTATTACACGTGGCTCACGTAGATGTATGCACAGGTGTATACTGCACAGGTGTATACTGCACCTGTACACGTGCACGTACGTACAAGTGTATATCTGTGACTACGTGTAGTCATGTATGCAGTCTACGTTAACGGTGCATACATGTGCATTGTATGTGCATATGCATATAACAGTAAATCGTCATATACACAGTGTGACACGTCCTGTGGTGTACATGTATGTAGACCTGTACGCATACACTTGTACGCATACGCCTGTGCACATACATGGGTAACACCTACTGCAACTGGACACGTGTATATCATGGACACGTGTACGCCATCTACTTTGCCGTCTCGTTCGCCAGCAATAACTTTGGGGGGGGGGGAAGGGAGGGGGGATTATTGTGGCAGGGGGAGCTGTCGTTCTTACCCGAAGGCGTTACATTTCTCTGAGTAAATTATTGGGCGGTGGTGGTGGTGGGGTGGGGCGTTAGGCACAGATGGGAGCACCAGAGCAACCCCCCCGCCTTTTCTGGTCATGTCGTTGAATTCAAAATGTTCGAAGGGGTTTCCTAAGGGGGGTTGCCTGGTCTGGGGTTACAAACCCCTTGACGTCCACGTGCAGTGGGTGAATGTGTAAATATTGGGCATATCACTCCACAGTACTAACGATAATCCTTAAACTAAATCTTGCGTCCGACTATAAAGCTTCCCAAAGCTTATTTATGCTGCGTTTTCTGTATTTTCAACATTCAATGTTTAGAGGTGAAACCCTTGAAATAGCAAGCACTGGTTGAGTGGAATAACAACTACCTTAAGCACATGTTAGGCATGGGATGGATCATCCTGCGCGTGGACCATTGATGATTTTCTACGACTGTTTTGTGCAATTGGTTTACGTGAAACCTGCAGCTCGCTACATTCAACAACACGACGTTAGGAGTGTAGAACATTGAATAGTGACTCCCGAGTTGTGACATTTAATTGAATCAGCAGGGGGATAAATTGTTACTTGCCTAATGTGTGTGCGCACGTGTGTATATACTGTGTGTACATGCGTTCACAACAACGAGTGGAGCACTGGGCGGCTAAAACGCAGCAACTTGACATTGCGGAGCAGAGGTGGTGCACGCTCCAGTCATCCCAGTCAATCAACCTATGGCACCTGGGTCTGTCCCTTGACCACCTTAACGTGGCCCCAAAGTGCACCTAGCCTGGCACAAGTCCCGTGATGATATCACTGCCACTTAGTGGCGAACGGCAGTTGTTGCTGTCCAGCGAACTACGTTCACCGAAGTCCGTTGTTAGTCCTGGTGTCGGGAGGAAAGCTCCCACGCTGCAGTTTCCTCTGGGTTGTGGGTTAATATTAACCCACTATCCAGGAAGGTTCTGTGCTGAGTGAATTATATGGTTTAAAGATAGGGCTAGGGTTCGTTTTCATTGTTTGGGCTATGAGGCGAGGCTTCGTGATATGGTTACAGATGAGTGCTAATATGCCGAAGATTAGGCTAATGGTTTAGGGTTAAGAGGCGAGGGGTATGGATAGTGCAATATTACAGCGAGGATTATAGTTCTATACGGCGAGGAAGGCTTTGGGCTCTGATAGCTGGCAGCGCTCGTGCCCACGGGGTCCACCGTGTGTCAGGCTGGAGTCGATGAGAGAGACCGCGTCTCTGCGTCATTGTCCTCACTGGAAGAGGCGGGGGAGGGAGAGACACGTGCCACAGGGCCACAGGGTTCACATTTGTTTATGCGAAGTGGCGCGCGTGTGTTTGTCTTTGAGTCACTTTGTTCAAAGCAACGACGTAGCCAAGGGAGTGGCACGTGTGCGGTTACGCACGTACGCACGCGTGTGTGTGTTACAGACGCATGTGTTGCTTACGCGTCTGTGGGGAGCGGTAGTGTGGGGGTTATCGCGTTGCGCTACGAACCCAGGCTATCCGGGTTGGATTCCCGCTCACGGTTCTCATTGGTGACGATTATCTGAACTGGTCCTGGGCCTGTCCTAGGTCGACTCGGCCTCAAATGAGTACTTTGTGCGGTGTGTAAACATTGCCACCGGGTGTCGTGTTGTCCACCCCCCCCCCCCCCCCCCACTGCTTCGTGTGCCGTTCCGGCCTTCATCGGTGCTCGCTAACAGCACTTGCCCCAACAGTCTGTTCAGGCTATAAGGGTGATCTTTGTTACAGACAGCTCTCTTGTTCAGCCTTATAGACACGTGTTTGCAAGCACCTATTATAAGGCTGGCATATTACCAGTTATTGTGTTGGTGTGGCCAGCCCAACACACGTCCTTCATAATATTTGTCCTAAATAGGTGCTCACTTAATCAAGCACTGGCCTCTAACAGTCTGTTAAGGCTGTATGGGGGATCTTTGTTTGAGGTTTTTTTCCAACAACAAAAGAAACCTAAGACCACTACTGATGCTGTTCTCTAATGCATATCATTCAATAAAAATGTTATACTGGGATGTGAATGTGGAGGTGTCCAATTGTGCATGTGGCCAATGTTGGCAGTGGTATACAGGTACTTGTCTGTCGTTAATAATAATATATCCAGGAAATCCTCAGCCAAGTCCCCTGCGTTGAGGTGTCTGGCCAAGTCGTTATGTATTATTAGATTTTCGCATGTGGGAGGAATCTGGAATACGTGGGGGACCTCGTATACCAACCCGCAATGACCAGCGTGGGGAAGTATGACCAAACAACCCCAATGACTGACACGGCGTGGAGAGAGAGGGGGGGGGGGCTACATCCCGTGGTGGATTGAATTTAGAAACAGCTGTAAGTTAAATAATCCCAACCCTGCCCGGTTACCACCCCCATGACCCTATCCCCATTCCATGTGGGAGGAGGGGGGGTCTGTGGAAGGGGTCCTCCTGTGAACTCCAACTTCATCTCTCCCTTGGCTGAGACCCCGACACGGTGGGAGCGGAGGGGGGGGGGCACGCTTGGAGGAAGGTCCCCTGCCTCTGTATTCTCTCCACGCCCCCCGCCCACCTCAACCATGCTGGGACGATGCCATTGTTTTGTGTTTGATCCTTCGCAGTGCCGAGATCCAGTTCAGAAGGAGGAAGCACTCTTCTCTGTCCAGAGGCTTTCTTTTGTTTCCACGGCTGACTGGGGGGGCGGGGGGGGGGGAGAGAATTCCACGCGAGATGAAAGGAGCCGAGTCACTTGATCCAGTCCCCGCGATCCCCTGCTCGAGGTTTATTGGGAACAAACTCAAAAGGGAACTTAACAAGAATAATAATAATAGCGTGTTTATCCGGGAAAGACGCACCGAGTTGTAAGGACTTTTTTTTCAAGAGGGTCACGTATTTTTTGTGTGTTTTCTGGAAATTCACGATGTGTTTATTATACACGCGGGAGGAATCCCAAGCGTGCGGAGGGACCACGCTCAATCTCCGTACAGATGAAAACAGATGGCGATTCGTTCACTCGCTGTAGTTTCATTTTAGTTTTACCAGATAAAGCCCACTGACATATAATAGCTCATTTTCAGAAGCGACATGACCACAAATGATAGCCGAATGATGTGGCTTATCACGTGGACATTTATAGCGGCCAAATACTCAACGCATGTTGATTCTAAATATGGAGGTAAAACCCGGAGGACCCGGAGAAGAATCCACACAAACCACGGGGAGAACACATAGATTTGAAGCTTTTGTGACTGCAAGGATTCATACTCTTAGTTTTTTAGGTAAAGTCACGTAGGTAAAAAATGAAATTAAAATTAATAAAAATAAAATAAAAAATCACGACGTTTCAGAGGCAACACAAGTCTCCGTCATCAGGTGGGACCGTCACAGCCAGATGTACTGCATCACTTGAGTTTTTATTTTATTATTTTATTTTTATTAATTTTTATTTCATTTTTTACCTACGTGACTTTATCGAAAAAACTAAGAGTATAGAACACACATACTCTAAATATACAGCAGGTGCCAGGGTTCGGGATCGAACCCACGTCCTCCTGTATACCGGGCGAGGTAGTCAACATTCTGCCCCTCTCCTGGCGAGCTAGGGTATGGCGGCACCTTGACGTAAAAACAAGTTCAGCATTTGAATTTCCTCTCAAGTGCTGTGAAGAAGCGTAATTGCCCGACAAGCTGCCTATTTCATGTTCACTTTAGGGGCACAATGTTTTGGACGAAAAACAGATGACTTAATTTGTTAATTATATTTTGTGCACCACTGCCAGACCTGTTCTCCACCTGAAGACGGCTGCTTGCGTTGTGGCCGAAACGTGAGAATTATTTTATTATGTTTTATTTTTATTATTTTATTACTTCCCTTCTACGTGACTTTACCGAAAGAACCAAGAAGATAATTGGTCTATTTCAGGATGATTGTGCTGTGTGTGTATAGTGTAGCCAGTCTGGTCTAGCCATTGCATCATCATCATCAACGCAATCATAAAAAAAAATATTATAAATATATTCATCGTTGCAATCGTCATCAATTAAATCATCTCTGATCGAGTCTCTAGACAATGATAGACTGACAACACCGGGCATCTGGATATGTCCGAAAAAGTGCTTCATAGCTCATCGGATTCCTCCAGTCTAAACAAAGATTCTGATAACCTGAAACTGTTACATCACAGGGCTGAGTGAGATGCGGACGACTTGGGGAGGCCTTCATCCAGCAGTGGATCGATCACGTCTAATTTCGGTGCATGTCCCCGCTTGACTTGTTATCTCACCCCGAGTTCCTGCCCCTGCCCCGACCCCCCCAATTCCTACCCCGTCACTGGAGCCGAGTCCTTTTTATCAGCAGGAAACAAACTGGCGGCGTGGCACGCTGTGGTTTCAGCGAGTTCGCGATGACCAGAGAAGATTGACAACTCGAGGCATAACTCGTCTCATAAAGTCGTCCCCCAGCTCACACGAGCCATGGGGTAGCCAGCCCTAAGCCAACGGTGGACATTGCACCAACGGTGGACATTCCACCGTTGGCTTACTCTCTTTAGGCAGTGGACCTGGGGTAGACACATGCTAGCTCATGGGTCCAGGTAACCAAAATAACAAGGGCTATTTTCTTTTTCAAAATCAGGAAAGAAAAACTCTGTTCCAAGAGCCGCAATGCACTGTGTGGTGAATTACGAGACGGTGGTGGTCTTTAATAAATGACGTCACGGATCAGTCCTTCAAGAGCCGCAGGTTGCCGATTCCTGGCCGAGCTCCTAGATACGAATATCCACGGACGTGCATGCAGTGTGGGCAGGAGTTGACACCATATCACAGGGATTGTAAGGAAACTGAGGGAATCGTGAATCGGTCTGATGCTCATATTCTTGACGAGGTTATTTGATGGAATGCTCATTGTGTATAGATGGACTGCTCGATTCTAAACTATTAATTTGCCAACCTTCAAAACATTTCCAAGTTTCCCCACGGGCCTCAGTGTTAAAGTGTGACCTCCAACTACAAGTCAGTTCCTCTCTCTGCCCCCTCTCTCTCTCTGAAGAAGAGCCAGTGCCCGAAATATTAGTCATTCATATCTCACTCTTGATTGTATTTTGCCGGTTGAGCCACTCGATGGAGCAAAACGGCCAGCGTCGCCCATGCTGGCCGTGTGGGAGTGCAGTGGACGTGCCAGCGTCCATTTCTGATGATCGTTAAAGTTAACAGAATGACGTGGCGTGTTTTCTTTTTAAATCCTTTATATTAAGTTCGCTTGCTTGCTTAGGACCGTGCAAATCTTGTGGTCGTTTTTTAACCCACTTCCCGTGATCCAATCGAGCTGACATTTTCCACACAGACTCGTTGTGCGTGACAATTGATGTTCCTGAAATTTTTTTTCCAAAATTGTACACTTTTTAGGACAAAACTATATCTAATTACCAATTGCTTAATGGTGCAATGCAATCATCTGACCCATAGGTGGCAGCCATCTCAAGCCAGAGAACGAGAAGACTCTAGCCGCCACGCATTTAAAGGATTTATAGTGAAAAACTTTGTTTTTACGGGTTATACTTATATTCGTTACGATTACATCGCAACGCTAACTAAACCACGTACGCTGAACTTCTTTTACACCGTACGTAGCTAACCGTGCTAATCGGAGGTGCGGGGGAAGGACAGAAAACTAAAACACACAAAGCAGTGCAGCTCTCGGCTAAAAAAAAACCTGTTTGTGATATCAGCATCGATGATGCGGCTCCGATCATTCTCGCTCGATGAAGATGGACCCGGGCGGTTGAGGTTGGGGCCAAGGGATCAAAGACTCCAAAGTCGCAGCTTCGTGCAAACTGCGTGTGTGCGCGTGTGGTGACCGCACTGACCGTTGGGGTCAACCTGGGTCCCACGCCGTCGAGCGCAAATATCTTTCATTGTTCACTCAAAGCGGGGGACCTGAATCTCAGCAGCGACACTTCCCGTCCTCCCAGCGCCGTGTCCATAGTTCCACGTCACCTCGGTGAAAACCTGTTTTTGTTTCCGTGGACCCGACTGGGCAGCCGACAAAGGGTGGCCACGTGGAATAAAACAATTTCTGGGGAGTTTGTTTACGTTTGAATTTAGCAACAAAAGGGGGATTACAGTTCTTTCTCACAGCTCTTGTGAAGCAATGGGCAGTATTCCAAGAACCTGTCATCTCCATTGGAGAAATCTATTCCTTCAACAAAAGATAACCCTAATGGTTCAGGTTTTGTCACCGTTGTTCCTTCAATTCATCTATCATCACCGGTCTCAAGACGAGGTGGTTGGGGCAACGTGTTGGCAGCTCTGGTTGTGATCTCCATCCACCTTGCTCGGCCCTCAATCTCACTGATCAGCTGGTTTTAGTTTAAGCCCGTTAGGATGCGACGTTCTGCATCAAAGGTTTGCTTCGGGGTTGTTTGGATAGTTTTCTGCATCTATTCATACACCCAAATAACTACAGTTTTCCTTGCGTAACGTTGACTACAAGTTCTATGTGGACTGGATGATATAATTGTGCCCCGTACATATTCATTGTGCGCTGTTCATAGGATTCATTGCCAAATAGTGTATAAAAGGTGGTCCCTCAATGTGCAGTTGTTCATTTCGAGATACGCGATACTGGTTCTCGTTTGTGTCAATGCCACTTTCAATGGAACGTGTCAATGGGCTCCCACATGACCAGATTAAAAATAACTGAATGAACCTAAGCTCCAGACAATATTTAAAACTAAATTGTTTATTTTACCAGGTAAGGCCCACTGAGCTATATAGCTCTTTTTCAAAAACGATCTGCCCACAAATGATAGCACAACGAAGTTGCTTGTCACATTGAAATGTATAACGACCAAATACTCTAAAATACATGTCTGATTCAAAATGTGGAGGGAAAACCCAGAGGATCCGGAGAAGAATCCACGCGACCGCGGGGAAGAGAAACATACAAACTCCAAATATACAGGCGTCAGGGTCGGGATCGAACCCACGAACGCCTGTACACCAGGCAAGGTAGTTAACATCTCACGCAACCGCCGTACCTCCAGGAAAGGATTTAACCTCCAGGAACCCGATGGCTACTTCTGGACCTCCCGTCGCTGTCGTCAGAGATCTCATATGCACGTTCAACACAACCAGTTTATTCAGTCAGTGGCACGGAACAACAACACGTTAAAAAAATAACGATTACATTGAGAAATTATTTTTAAAGATAACATCACGATCCAAACACTCGGACCCCTGTTTTGCTCGCTTCCCTTCCCCCGGCCCCACATTGGCAAACAATTCGAGCTTATTCTGCTGTCCACTAATCTCAGAATGGATAAATAAATACATCTTCTCTGTTCTCGAAAAACGTATCCACGGGTTTGGAGAAACAGTGCCTCACGGACACCCTGTAACTCGAGACGACCTTTGTCTCTATCGATACCCATTCCTCCTCACCTCTCTCCACATCTCCCTCTCTCACCTCATTTTTTTACGTTTCCATTTCTCTAGTCCTCCCTTTGTCCACCTCCAATGTTATGTATTTATTCTATCTCGCATTCACTCTTCAATTACACCTTTCATGCACGCACGCCGTTGACCTTCACTTCTACTCGCCTCTTGCTCTGCCTGTTCCACTCTCTCTTCCATTATCTCCAAGTTCGTCGGTCGCTCTCAACGTTTTCCTCCTCCACCGCCTCTCTCTCTCTCTCTTGTCTCTCCATCTCTGCCTCTCTCTCTCTCTGCCCCTCTCTCCATCTCCCTCTTCCATCATTCCCAACCATTTCCCCCTCCCCAATCTCTACGTTCCCCCCGTCCTTCTGTGTCGTGTTCACGTGAGGAGTACATTCAGTGGTGAAACACAACACACTGTGACGACATGTTGAAACACAACACCCACGGTCCCCCCACCGCCGCCCCACACACCTAACCCACATTCACCACACTAACCTTCACCCACACACTCGGGGCACGAGTTAACATCTACCTGGGGCCAAGCTCCAGGATTAAACAGAGGGATTAAAGACAACCCTAGAAAAAAAACACAATCAGATCTTCACTAGTAGCTACACACATGGGCTGTGTCCCGGACTGTTTCCGCGTGAGTGTGGAGTGCTGTTAACTGATTAAACGACCTTTATGGTGACTTTCACATCGAGTGCTCGTGATGCAGGTGGTGCAGCGACACTAAACAGTACACAACGATTTATAACACAGTTTTAAATTGACGAAAGCGTCTAATCACAGCAACTGAAACCTGGATACAAAGCGATTTCTTAAAAAAACTGAGATGACAATCACGTGAGCGTACTACCCGAGCAACTTTTTAAAAAATGTGAATTAACAAAGCTTCAAAACTCGCGTTGGATATAGCCCAGGAAGCACAGCCCACATGTGTGTATCAGATATCTCGAGGATAAGAGGCGTTTGTTTTCTGGGTTTTTGTCTTCAGCCAAGCTGGCTAACGGGTCACATGGATGAAGCCCCATGGGACTGTGAAGACTGAAATACCAGTGTTTTCTGCTTTTGTGGTTTTCTTTGCTGAAAAATAAGTACTGTAATATAAGAAGAGTCTATACAGCTCGCAACACTTGAGCTGCAGCTTGCGCCTGGAAGTGTGTTTCCGTTGCCGCACAACAGGGGAGTCGGTTGCAGGAGTTTGTGGGTCGCACACAAGGGGGGAAAGCAAAGGCTGGAATGACAGTAATTGCATGAAAGCAAATTAAATAAATTTAATTAGATCAATAAAACCAAAGTGGTCCGTTGAAGGATTCTCGAAATATGATCACTAAAGGTATTCAATTAAGGCTGCTGCCAGTCTACAAATGCAGCCTAAAGCCACTTCCATAAATTGTGAAGACAGTAGATTGTTTTCCCAAAACCTTTGTCTTTCAAAGGCAATCTAAGGGGAACGCTCACGTAAGCCGTTTTAAGTAATAGCTACAAGATCCCAAGTGATTACTTGGTTTGACTCTTTTTATTCTAATTTATATTGGAAATCCTTACGGAGCCTAAATTACTTTATTCAGGCAACGGTGCAATGGAAGGTTTGGTTTATTCCATTAGGGGCTTAAAGGAAACTGAAATGCCCAGAAAAAACACAAATCTCACACGAAGGGGGTAATAATACTCAAACCTCCAATCACTTGGGGATTCAATAATCCATTGCTATACTTGAATCTCGTGGCTCCCTCGCAGCTCGGGGAAGTGCAAATCTGCATGATCCACAAACCCTACCCAAAGTTCTGGATCACGAGCGTGTGCCATCACGCCTAGGCTACAAATCTGAGCCTCGCAAATACTCGGGAATGCCCCTTTAATGACAAGGGAGGAAGCGGTAAAGGGGAAACACACTTCGAGATGCAAGAGCAGCTTGGTGCTCTCGCACGGCACCTGTTGATCGCTGGTGGAGAAGTTTCCACTGGCCAGATGAACCCCCATTCGGCCAGAGAGACTAAACCCCACCCAATTCAAATTTGGTCCCAGGTGGAAATAAAAACAAACAAAAATATTATATTTCTAATACTTAATCTAGTTATTCCTTCTGCTGGTATATAATATAATACATTAGTAATTTAATATATTATTTGATGCTTGCTGTGCTGTGAGGTTGCTAGTAAAGGTCTAAGGCTGTAAGATAATTCGTTTTTTTTATATCCGTGACAGCCTGAGGCTCAAGGATTATTTTAAGGAGGCTCCTGCATGAAGTTGTGTCGACCACTTCATTTTTAAGCACATTTTCACGACTGGGCTCAAAAGAAGACTGCCCGGAGAAAACCCAAGGACACGATAAGAGAACACATACAAAATATATCTGTTACACCAAAGTACTTGTAGTACTGCCAAGTCCTGGCTAGTGGTCAAATATAATCGCATATCAATGGGTGTATCACATACATGTTGGTCTGGCTGATCCACCAACCCTGTCCAAACACCAAATATCCGACCACACAAGTTAACTCGCAGCTTATCAATATGCTCGACACTGCTGAATATTAGCGATAATGGCCATTGTCACCACAGATGGGTGAGAATTATGGTTTCATCAACGCTCACCCAAACCCATCACAGCTCTACGCCCACGCTTTGATGATAGAGATACCCCAGGACCCGGCTCTCTCCCCTTCACCTCCACGAGCGACCCCTCATGGCGCCTTCCTTCCCCCGCCCTTCCCCTGACCCCCCGAGGCCTAAGAACTGACCGGGGTAAGGTTTACCGTTCCTGGCCGGGAATCTAGGCGAGGTCAGTGGAGGGAGGGGGGGGGGCAAATGTTTAGTGAGGAAGTTTAGATAAGTAGGGTTTGTTTTAACAATGGGTTTGTTTTTATAAACAATGCAGTTATAAACAATGTTCAAAATATTCTTGGTTATTTCGGTAAAGTCACGTAGAAGGGAAATAATAAAATAATAAAAATATTAAACTATTAAAATTCTCACGACGTTTCGACTGCAACACAGGCAATCATCATCAGGTGTGAAATCCACAGAATGAAAATTTGAAAAAAAATTCTTGCTGTGGATTTCACACCTGATGATTGCTTGTGTTGCAATCGAAACGTCGTATTTTTATTGTTTTATATTTTTATCATTTTATTATTTCCCTTCTACGTAACTTTACCGAAAGAACCAAGAATATGAATCCCTGCAGTCACGAAAGCTTTACATCGAAATGTTCAAAATGTTACATTCCCCTTCGCCGCTCTCTCAGTGGTGGTTTCAACTGTCGTGAAACAAAACGGTCAGGGAGAGGGTGAGGTCAGACACTCATCTGAACTCAGCGCAGCGCTACTTACAAATTAAATTCATGGGAACGGAGGTAGCTGGAGGCAGTCCGGTTACTAAAAACCAACCCGGACCAGAAGGGGGTGGCTCGTCGTGGTGGGGGGAGGGCGGCTGTATCGTTGGATTGTGGCAACAATGACCAAGAAGGCTTTATATATATTTTTAGTATATATATTTTTTGTAGCAATGTTAGTCTCAGAGCGCGACAAAATATGCACGATAAAATTAACACCACGTCTCAAGGTGGTGCTGCTATTGCTACAAACATCGATGAACAGTAGTTGTTTTTTTCCAGTTCACCTTATGCTGATGTTTACCTCACACGCGTGAGTATTAGCAAAGTGGAGAACTGGTAAATTCCCCACGGATGGGGGTCGCACGCCTTGGTTGTACAAAACCCCAAATTATTCCTCTTGAGGCTTGAGGCCTTGCTACACCACTCGCCCAATGGACTGCTCCGCAGCCTCACGTTACGTTTTCAAATAATCCTTTTATCATTACGAACAACTGCATTAAAGTTGTGCCATTAGAGTGGAGTTTCTTACACACAGAAAAATCCAACTTTGGTGACTCCTCACAGATGGTGGAGGGTTGCCTTTGCCAGTAAACAATCCTTCACAGTGGTGATACCACGGAAATGCCAGTCTCCTTTAAAGTCTCAAAAACCTCTCCTACCAGCGCTGTATGAAGAGTAATTCACTGCTCGTTCTCTGATATATTTAGTAATATCTCAGAATGAATCCAATGTTGCGAGGCCAAATTAAGTGAAAAAATATATTCTTTTGGGCAATCGTCAACAAACTTTCTGCACGCAAACTTTGTTAAATCGTGGATGGGTGCTGGATTCGAACCCAGGATTTCAGAGGTTCTCGCCGAATGTCTTGATGGACATCAGCACGCCGAGGCTAACGGAGAGCTTGTGTGCATGCTCATGGAACAAGGCCTCAATGCCACAAAACTCGTTGTTGCAGTCGCTGCAATAACATTTCCCACTGCACAATACGGAAGCAACATCTGTGCCAAGTACAACATGTAGCTGCACCGCTAAGAGATTCCCAGTGACCTCACCATTAATCAAGAGTCGTTCAATAAAACTGACGAGATTAATTGGACCGAAAAAATCTAATGACGTTGATGAAAGCAGCTAATCAAGCGTCTGCTCCTAATCTACAATGGCAGCCTCAATTCTAAATCTCGAGGTAATTGAACAGATTCCAAATTGCAGATGGAAACCAAAGGAAATGCACTGTACAGCAAAGACACTTGCTTCCGGTCACAAATACAGCTGAGAAGTCCGGCTTTAGACAGCTACTATCCATCACGATTATCGCGACAGTGGCACGCGTGCGGTGCACGCACATACTTCACGTTGTAGACGTGAATAAGCCTAGGCCTAGAAACGCAACTCAAATAATCACGGTAAATGCCCTACAGGAACACACGATGCTAAGATGCTAAGACCTGCAACGGGAAAAAATGTTTTAAAAACAAAACGAGAGTTGACGCTGGACGTGCCACCCCGCCAATTGGAGGCAGTGTGAGGTGGTGGCCAGTCCTTCAGGCGTGCTGCTCCGTCTCCACGTTGGCGGATTCTCCACCGCTCGTAGGGTCGTTTGTCTTCAGTTCCTCGGTGGCCACTTTGTTGTCGTCGTTGCTGCCGGTAGCCTCTGCCTGCGGAGAGACCTCGCTTTCTCTCTCCACGTCGGCACGAGTTGTGCCTGGAGCCGGGTCTGGCTCCTTGCTCGACGGTGCCTCTGCCGCCTCTCCCGTCGACTCTGGCTTCGTCTCTGCCTCCACTTTCGGCTCTGCCTCCACTTTCGACTCTGCCTCCACTTTCGACTCTGCCTTTGCTACCACTTCATCAGCAGCGGTTGAAGCCACCGCTGCCGCCACCGCCTCCTCCTCCTCTATGTGCGCAGTTGCTGGTGCAGCATCCACTTTCTTCTCCTCGGGCGACAGCGGCTTGGCCTTGTCCGGGGCTGCATGCACTTCATTTGCCTCCACGTCGGGCTCCGTGGGACCCCGGTTATTGTGCACGGCATCGGGATCTGGCTCGGTGCTGGTTACCACCGTCAGCGGCTGCCCCTCTTCCTTGCCAGGCTCTAAAGGGGGAGCCGCGTGTGGACAAGCTTGCACCTTGGGTAGGCAGAAGAAGTTGGCAACGCCCATGACTATGCCGGAGATGGTGACGAGCGTCCCCGCCATGTACAGTGTCAGCTTGTAGTTCTTGGTGGCATCCACCAGGCGGCCTGGGGCGTAGGGGTCAGAGGGCAGAGTCATGAGATGACGTTTAATTTAACAAACTTGTTTTACTACCATTTTTATTTGACAAGGTAAGGCCCAGTGAGCTATGGAGCTATTTTTCAGAAGCAGCCTGGCCACAAATGATAACTTAACGATGTGGCTTATCATGTGGAAATGTATAGCAGTCAAATACTCTAAATGCACGTTTCTATGGGCAGTGTCATTTTAGACAAATGAATGTTTAAGCTCATTCACACATCAAGTCTTGGTAATGCTACATATTAAAATGCCCTTGATTTCACTGAATGAGGGTATTATTATTTATTTGAAAAGAATTTTCCCAATTTGTATTTTATCTGAAATACCATTAAGGTTGTTGCGTGCAATTACGTCACGAGGTCTTCAACTGGGCAGCAGTTGTAGCACGAATTAAATCACAGACTCCAGGCAAGCCGGCTCAGTGGCAAACGTGAAAAATGTTAAAGCACCCAGCCCCCCCACTAATTGTAGGCAACTCAACCAGACAACAGCACAATTATACCCAACGTATTCTTACGTGTACATTTCAAGCAAGGTCTATGGATGTAAGGGCCTGGACATTTTTAGGTCAGTCGCAGAAACAAATAAAGAAGTGTTCTGCCACCGAGGCATCAAACCAGGCAGTCATGTGGGCGAGCGTGTGTGCAAATGAGATGAGCATGTGGGCGAGCATGTGGGCGAACAAGTGAGGAGGACAGGCACCTGCACTGGGCGGTCCGACCAGCACGGCGCAGGCCTCGCACAGCAGCACGAGGCCGATGGCGCTCGAGAAGACGTGGGAGCCCACGATGGCCATGAGGACCTCGAATTGCAGCGCACCCACCATCCCGTATGAGATCCCGAAGAAGACACAGAAGGTGGCGAGGCCGCCGTACGTGTTTCCGAGTGACCCCATGAGGTCCGAGAACCCATTGAAGAGCATCGCAAAGCAGAAGAGGTAGGTGATGTATGGGCGTATACGCTCGACGCCAGCTAATATGCCGCACAGCGGCCGTGCAAAGATGTCGATGATGCCGATGATGGACAGGAGGAAGGCCGCTTTGGTGTCCTCTACGCCCATGTCCTTGGCGTAGCTCACGATGAAGACGGGCGGCACAAACAGCCCGATCACCATAATGGACGCAGCCACCGCGTAGATGACGAAGCCCTTGTTCTTGAAGACGCTGAAGTCCAGCAGCTTCTTCTTCTGCTTCTTCTTTGGGGACACCGGTGTCTCCCGATGGGGGGCGGTGCCTGGCGATGGGCTCTCAGCGACCTGGGAGCCATTGTCGTCCAGAGGCACGGCCACAAAGCCGCCGTTCTGCTTCGAGGGCAACATCTCGGTGAGCTCTTGTTCCGCAGCGCCGGCGTCCCTGCTGCCGTTACGCCGCTTGCTCTCGCCGGCATTGGCACTTCCGCCACTGCCGGCGTCCTCCTTGGGGGGCACAAGCGGGCGCATTACGGCGCCGCATGCACAGCAGTTCAGCAGGAGCCCCCCCAGGATAAGGAAGCCACCCCTCCAGCCGTACGACTTAACAAGCATCTGTCCCAGCGGCGACAGCGTCGTCAGGAACACGGGGCTGCCAGCTGCTGCCAGTCCGTTAGCCAACGGGCGCCGCTTGTTGAAGTAGCGCCCCAGCATGATGAGCGATGGCTGAAAGTTGAGCGCCAGCCCCATGCCTTGTGGAGGAGTGTGGGCAAGGAATACGAATTGTTCATGTCAATAATATACTTATGAATGCAAGTAATAGATGTGTAAAGTCATTCCCAAACTTGAATACCTTTTCTACTGACCTTGTGGATCAGAGACCCAGTGATACTGTGATCTGAAGGCCTGGTATCCTACTGGTCTAGAGACCTGTATACTCTGTGGCCCAATGACCTGTTGGCCTAGCGGCCCAGTAGTCTTATATTCTTGTGGCCATGTGACCCAGCGGCCTAGTTCCAAAGTGACCCAGTATCTCCACTGCACGTACCTGTGATGACTCCCGCCGTGAGATAGAGCATGATGATGTTGGTGCAGAAGGAGGCAAGGATCATCCCCAATGAAGCGAGCAGACCCCCGCCCAGCATCACGGGCCGGCAGCCAAAGCGGTTCACGAGGATGCTGCACAGAGGACCTGCACAAAAAGACAAAGATCCCCCATATAGCCTTTAACAGACTGTTGGGGCAAGTGCTGTTAGCGAGCGCCTATGAAGGCCGGCACGGGACACGTAGGGGTGGGTGGCCAGCACCACGCCCGGCCGTATTTGTCTCTCCAGTGGCGATGTCTACACACCACACCAGGTACTCGTTTGAGTCGACCTAGGAGAAGCCCAGGACCAGTTCAGATAATTGTCACTGGTGTCGACCATGAGCGAGAACTGAACTCGAGTCACCAGGTTTGTAGCGCAGCGTGCTAACCGATACACTACCACTCCCACACACACAGACATGCCCACACATGTATTGCATGCATGAATACTATGGAGGACCTACACACGCGCACAAATACATGTATGCATGCACACACTGTACATACACGCATGAATACTCGCATGGACGTGCACGCATGCAAGCGCGTACACGCACAGAGAGAACAATAATATAGCCTTAATAAACTGTGGGGGCAGATGCCTATGAAGGCCAACATGGCACATGAGGTGGTGTGGTGCTAGCCATACCATTCGCCTTTATCTCCGCAGTGGATAAATTTATACACCACACTGGATACTCATTTAAGGCTGAGTCGACCTTGAGGAGGCCTCGGAATGGTTCAGATATTGAGAAACGATGTTGGCTGTGAGCAGGAATTTAAGTCAAATGACCAGGTTCGGAGTGCAATGCACTAACCTCGACATTACCGCTTCCCACAAAGACAAATGTGAGTTCATGTAAGCAGGCACCTCCAGTACCTGGTGTTATGATTCTACTCACTGGCCCCTGTATAACCAAGTGAGGACCCTTTGAAATTCATTGTATTTTTTGTGACAGTCCTGTAAATGTATTAATAAAAGCATATTACTGTATATTATTTATTCACAATATATTGACTGGTAATTTCTACATTTAGGGTTATGGCTGAGCCACGGTGAGGAGATGTTAACTACCTCGCCTGGTATAGAGGAGGGCATGGGTTCGATCCCGACCCTGACGCCTGTATATTTCGAGTTTGCGTGTCTCTTTCCCTCCACATATAGAAACATGCATTTCGAGTATTTGTGGCTGCTTTAAATTTCCACATGTTAAGCCACTTCGTTGAGCTATCATTTGTGGCCAGGTAGCTCCTGACAAAGAGCTATATAGCTCAGTGGGCCTTACCTGGTAAAACAAAAATAGTAATAGTAATTAGCATGCAAGATCCTCCTGAAAAGGTGTCTCACGACCCGGTGAGGCTTTCCTGGATTAACAAAGGGCATTGTTATTGTTAATACACGGTGACCTAATTTTGAGGATAATGATATCACAAGGTGTTTACTGTTCCAGCAAATAAGGGGCACTTTGGCTTTAACACCACCACAGAAATTACCAAGCAATCAAGTGAAAAGCACCACTGCTCTTTAAAAAAAAACACAATACTGCTGCCAATCAGATTTAGTCGCGAGAATGGAGGGGTGGAGCAATGTAAGCATTAATGGCTGCAATATAGTAACATGTGGTAACAAGTGACCAGGATAGCGTAGGGATTACTACAACGCGACTTTTCATAGCCACAATATCTTGCGCTTCAACGCATGTAGCAGGAATCGAACCATCAACTCATCCCCATGGCAACAGCATCCCATCACAATACAGCCCACTACCACATACCCCATCACTGCAGGTGTAACAATTCGTCTTCCGTGAATAAATTAATTGTTACAATTCAGTGTCAAAGTTTAATTCAGGTTGTTATATTTATTTTACACTGCGGTGAATGTAGCAGCCTATAATGGCTGGAGGCGTAAACGCATAACAGTAGGTGCAACATACAGTATATGACTCGAATTACACTGAATCTTACACACGCAATTCGATACATGTATTGTGAGCAGCAGAACCACTATTAACCGATGCATCGCGTCGCTACAGCCCTGCCCATCACCACATGGCCCAATTACACCACAACCCCATCACCACCCATCACATGCAACCCCATCACTGCCCATCACACCACAGGGCCATCATGGCCAACCTCAAATCAGTGACATCACGGCCCATCACAGTACAGTGGGGGATTAAACAAATAAGACCCTCAGAGGGTGTGGAGCCAGCGTTCGTTATGGCAATATCCCCCGATTAGTGTTTTGCTAAACAGAGTGCAGCATCCACACAAGAGAGTAGAGTGGGGGGTGGTTCTCCAGCTACAGTGACAGCTGCCCTGAGGCAGCACAGGACTGGTAATTTATCAAACAACACATCTCAAATCTCCTGCCCCTTCTGCAGCCGAGACGGTGTGTAAACTGGTGATGAAAACATTGGGCGAATCTGTGAGTGCGTTAAACGGATCGTTCAGGATTATTAAATCGGGCCCTTCCTCATTGCCTGCCAACGTGGCTCAAGCTGCACCAAAGGTGCTGAGAACTATGGCTGCACCGGCAGCAGACACCCTAGATAGGTTTCACTTTCACCAAAACTCATAAGCAACGTGTGTATCTGTGAATGCTAAAAATATGTCTCATTGCAGTCTTTCACGAGTTTGATTTTACACCTGGTCTTTTCCAACATCCATTAATTTGTTATTTTGCCTTTATAAGACACCCAAAGTAGTCTTTGGTAACGCCTGAACACAGACGACTCAACTTTCTTATAACTTATGTCCATTTCCCAACCTTCCCACCCATACACAGCAAAGCAAAACAAATCTATGTAAACTACATGTTGCACAATTTGCCCGCTCAGCAAATTAAATTTTCGTGATTCAGTCGTGATTCGATACCATAATTATTATAGACACTGGTGAATGTAGCAGCCTGCAGTGGCTGTAAGGGGTCACATTAACCCATTATTTACACGATATACGAATCGAGAAAACATTGATTCTTGCCAACTTGTTTGAGTCATGAGCTTAATTAATTTATGCATAAGTACACCTATAAGTATAACACCTGCATTTCCTTCTCATCCACTATCGCTGATTTAACACATTCAGCCACAAATAAAGGTGAACCATAATAATGTTTCAAGCTATTATTGAACAAAGCAAAGGTGATTGTTAATGTGTGGCCCACAAGAGGTATTTGAGAGTCCTATTTGGCCCTCAGTAAGGAAAAACTTCCCAACCCGACAAATATGTCCTGGCACCACCAAAAAAGCTGTCCTGATGTCCCTAAGCTATTGCGAAATCAAGATGCTGTCCTTCCTGGTAAAAACATATTCTGGCTGCATCATCAACATATATGGGCAAAGGATGGTTCTAACTGAGCAATGGTGCATGGTTGGCAAAGGAGGCAGGGTCTCTATTGTCAAGAGAGTGGGCCAGCGTCAAAGAGTGAGATCACTTGCCGTGTAGGCAAGCCTCGTTATCGAGTTAGCAAAGTAAAAGTAGGTGGGGTTGACGGAATCAGAATATATTTGTTCGACCAGAGGAATCCGATGAGATATGAAGCTCTTTTTTCACAGATGTCCAGCATGGGCGCGTCAGCAATGAGGGGCTGCCATGCTCACGATGTGTCCTGGTTGAGCCTCCCAGAATTATACTATATTTAAACTTATATCTATACGCTTTATTCATTTTGGTAACTCCAGCTGCGGGGGCACCTAGCGGCCTCACCTGAGCCGTAGAGCATGGCGAGCAGGATGGAGGAGAGCCACGCCGTGTCGCTGTAGCCCACGTCAAACTCGTTGATCAGCTCCTTGAAGAAGACGCTGATGGCCTTGGGGAAGGCGTACGAGAAGCCTGTGATGACGAAGCAGCCGAACAGCACCACCCATCCCCAGCCGCCGTCTGGCGGTGGCACCAGCTGGGGCTCGTCATCCATAGGCGCAGCGCCCCCCATGCTGCCCGATCAGTAAGCGCGGCGCGCACCCCCTAAAAAATGAATCAACACAAACCAGAGCCCCCTCCCCAGCAGTCTCCACGTGTCAGTCTGCACGCACGCACACAGGTAGGGGGCACAGAATGGGCAAAGGTGAGACTTATTTTAGCCAGGTCTGTCTGGGTGAAGTTAATATTCCAAACCCAGCACCTCTTATCCAGAATACCTCTCTCTCTCTATGGCTGTCACTTCTCGGCACATCTTAACCTACTCCAGTCTACCATCATCATGGCTTGGCTTCGCGAACGAAGATCTAGGAAGGACATCCACGTCTTCTGCAGGCACGCTGGTGGCTGAAGAGGCCTATGCGGACAAGCAGGTCCTGCCACAACAGCTGCAAGTATAGGTCTGATCTGGGATGGGTGCTGAGGGATCATGGTTCTTCCTAAGTCTACCATCGACAAGGAAAATATTCAGTGAAAAATTGGGTAGGGGCCATCGACAATCATTAAAATAAACGGCATAGTCACCATGGTCAAAGGGCAGAGAAATGGTCATTAGGGTAGCGGTACAGACAGGGTAATTATTGTAAACAGCCAAGAAGGGTCATCAGACAAGGTCGTTGCTTATTAGTTTAGAGGGAACGGGAAGGGTCATTGTTAAATCGCACAAACGGGGTTATTATGGTAAAGGACATGGGCAAGGTCATTTGAGTGTAAGGTAGAAAGACCATTCGGTTACATTTCACAGCCAAGACTATTAGGGTACCTAAGCACCAATATCAGTAAATGTGATAATTCCCAGCGTAGCTGAATGTAGTGGGGTAGATGTTTGTAAATTGACTTGTGATACACTGGGGTGGTGTAACTGAAATGGAACCAGGTCTATGAAATCTACATACACACAGTACTGTGTATTGCAGGGTAGTGTATAAACTCTGTATATTAAAGTGATGTGGGCTAAACACTTTGCATTAAAACCAATTACATTCACGTTTTTGTTGAAATAAGTAACGCTTATGCGATTAAGACTGTCAAAAAATCAATGGGATGGATTAAAAATATATATCTCATACGTTTCTCTTCCAAAATGTAATTAGCTGATCACTCCTCAGGCGAAAATGTCATTAAGTCTTCATTTTCGTGTTCTGGCATGAATCTATTTTAGGACGCATTGAATGATAAAGGGCGTAAATATTGTTTAAATCGGTATAATTGCAGTCACGTCTAGGCCTAGATTTGAAGCTTTCGTGACTGTAAAGATTCATATTCTTAGGTTTTTTTCGGTTAAGTCACGTAAGTAAAACATCAAAATAAAAAAAATAAAAATCACGACGTTTCCTCCGAAACGTCGTGTTGCCTCCGAAACGTCGTGATTTTTATTTTATTTATTTATTTTGATCTTTTACTTACGTGACTTAACCGAAAAAAAAACCTAAGAATACGTCTAGGCCCTATCATTTCCCCAATCCCTGCGAGTTTCCTCCCCCGTTCAAACGTCGCATTATAGATACACACGGCTGCATTTTTAAACATCCTGCTGCATGTACCAAAACACCAAAGTATCTGTCTTATTACGGACCAATTCATACCTTATTGGGTCACCCCGTGGCCCTTATACATCTAAAAGTTCATCCCACAAAGTCCCGTGTCGTCGAAACGGCTGTACAGCCGGATGGACCTGAAATCTCGAGTTCCCTGTACAAGAATACGGGGTTTAAACCGTGTGGGTTGACACGGTATGAACAACTATACACTAATATAAAACTAAAAACATTGTGGCAATACATCAGTGTGTGTACAGTAACACAGGGGCAGCATCTCGCTTGCAATAATAATGAACACCGGGGCACATGCATAATGCATTCGTGTACATTAAAAAACCACACACACACACACAATTGTACTCTTATGTACGGCTATATTTAGAGCAGTATAGTAGTGTCGGGGTTAAATGATCGTAATTTATGCGACTTGATGAGGCTACGTCGTTGAGTTAATGCGCGGATTGTTACTGCTCTTGTACCTTGCAACAACACCGACAAACGAACGCGTAAATTGTATACATCAGAGCGACAAAACAACAACAGCAACACAAATAGCATAATTAATATTGAAGAGTACGGCTGGTTTAAGCGTGTTATATTTACATTTTAAAAAAAACCCGAGTGTATAAAGTATTAAAAATAGCGAGAGATTAAGCGCCTGGCCTGGAGTCAGGCCCACGTGTGTGGGCCACAGAACTTTGAAGTTTTTAATCTCATTTGTTTTAATTGCACACATTATTACGCCTATTTACACTTTACAAACCAATGTGGGCTTTCTTTTCTTTTCTTAAGCTCTGGTCCAATGAAGCCACGGTGTAAAGCGCGCAATGGAATACATTAATAAAATCACGAATCCACCGAACATTGATTATAACCGCTACTTTTACCCGTATATATGTTATTAATCGCTTGTTCAATAGCTCACCGTCAACAACAACATCGACATCAACAGAACCGCGTGTAACACGAGGCAAGGGGGTGTTTGTCGATATTCACAATTAGAACGACGCGGACCTTGCGCGCGTTGATGGAGATGGAGGCACGAAGGGATTGGTGGATCACGAGGTGATCGGCGAGATTCTCACAACTCGAGCAAAGTCTTCGGTGTTTTTGTGGGTGTTTTTGTTGTTGTTGCTGTTTACCGACTCGTTGTTATTCTTAGTTGCGGAGCACAGGTCCGAAGTAGGCGCAAAGAGTAAAAAAAATTAGTGCGAACACGTTTCTGTTGAGCAAGATGGTGTTGTTGTGGTTGTTGTTGTTGTTACAAGCTTGGAGATGGTAGGGGGGGAGAGAAAGAGACAATGATGATGATGATGGGAGATAATTCCCAAGTGGAGCCGTTCGAGGGAAGAAGACGGGAACCACATGGGAAGCGTTATGACCTGCGGTGGGTGATGGTTGAACACGAGCGGTGGCGGTGATGGTGGTGGTTGTTGAGAGCCCTCATTGGGTGAAGTTCACTGGCTAATTCTAGATTTGAAGCTTTCGTGGCTCTGCAATGATTCATACTCTTCGGTTTTTTCGGTGAAGTCACGTAGGAAAAAATAAATAATATTTCTATTATTATTTCTAGTATTTTAACTTTTAATATTTATTTTTTCCTACGTGACTTTAACGAAAAAACCGTCAGCCCTGGCTGCTGAGCAGTGCTAGCATAGTGTGGGTGAGTGTTGTGTGTCACCCCCAAGTCCACAGGGGTGGAGGAGACGACTACAATCTGGTGGAACGAGTCGTGGTGGTGGTGGTGATGATGATGCACCACGTTTCCATTGAGCATCACGGGTAGAAAGAAATACGACTATAAGCTTAACTCCCATTCCGCCTCTCGATACCATATATTTACATTTTTAAAGTTGTTCTGTTGTTAATTCAGCCTATGTATTGTTGTTGTTATTATTAGCAAGTAACATTTGGCGGTATGCATTCAACGGGGCATACTTTTCAAAGTACAGGACTAAAGATAAGTCACGGTCGTTTCGATTGTGGGCATGCAACCCACTATTGCCCTATAGTAAACCCCATAGAGATACACAGAGACTCTCACAAGGGATTAATTGATTGCTCCTTCATAGGGATAAGATTCAAGAATCCACGGCAGTACGAGTGTGGCAATGAAACACAAACTATATTTAATATTAATAAACCACTGCATTCCTTCAATGGTTGAAGAGTTTAAAATTTAAAAAAAAAACTTACATAAACATTCACTCGTCATGCCCAATAGACTTCGAAATTGGCACTTAGCTCCTTATTAAAAAGTCACGCAATAATATACTTTTCAATAACATATGTCAGTGCACACGCGTTATTGTTTATCAAAACACGACTCTGTTGCTGACACCCAGATGGCCAAAACCTGTCCAGAGTATTTGTTTCCTAAACAAATGCGTCTTGTTAATAATATTGGTCTGGAAAGGCTGATGGACTAAAACCCATAGTTTTTTTTATATATGTGGCACAATATTCGGTTTGGAGAAGGCTGATCCGATGCCTCCATGCAGTATTGGTGAAAATCGTAATTTTGCCACGATATAAAAATGTAATAACCTCATTGATATACGCATGTGTCAGTTGAAATCGATAAGACAATAGCGCCTCTATCGTTACCTCTCCATATAAACCAATAAAGAGGCATTTCTTACACAACCCATCAGTGGCCCCATGGCTCTCTGGGAGTACACAATTTTAGCAGCAATAATTCACCACAGTACTATACTGTACTTTATTATACAGGGTGGTTCATATGTCTTGTGCCCCCCCTCCCCCCCGTTTTTCCCTTTGCATATTAATGTATCTTTTGAATAAACCTTACTTAAAAAAAATGTAAATGCCGGTCACATGACATCTGGACCACCCTGTATAACTGTATTTGTTTTTTTTGTTTTGGTCAGCATCGGAACCAGACAGCGCTGCAATGAACCCACGGCATGGGTGTCTCAGGACGACAGATGAGTTGTGGGTTGTAATGTATGACCACTGAATCACAAATGCCTCTGCAGAGCATCGAGTTATGTGGGCCCTAAGGGATTGTGGATGGTGTGCGCAACCAAAGCCAAATATCAGCTCGAATTCACATCTTTAATTCGCCCATTGGCATAAAGAGGCAAGCATTCTCTCATCTATATATTTATTGTCTGCAGCTATCTTTTCTCATGGCAGTGCATCTATGTTCTTTCTCAAACTCTGTCTCTGGTCTATATCTTCTGTCATTTCCCCTATGATTTAAAACGATTGAAAGAGGAACCCCAAAAATATATTTCCACTTGGGGCCCCAATGGGCCAGCACCACCGCTGTATGCGTGTCTAATGTGAGAGCATAGTGTGCGTATATGTTTAAACAATGATACATGTTTCAGAAACATGCAACGCATCCGAAAGGTAGTTCACTGAAGAGAGATTGAGCAATGAATTCAAGTCGTGTGCAGGTAATATTGTTGCACCGCTGGATTGTGAGAAATGGACGCTTGAGGAGGCCATCATAAAGCAGACCATAGCTGCTGCCGATGATGTGTATGTTGCATGGTGTGTGATGTGTATACTTTAGATTGGAATGTGCGTACGTGTGTAATTTATCATAAGGCGAGTGGTAGTGCAGCAGTTATTGCTCTGCGCTGCGAATCCGACAACACTAAAATTTTATTCCCACTCACGGCCAACACCAATAACGATTATATGAACAGGTCATGGGTCTCCCCAAGGTTGTCTCAGCCTCAAATGAGAACGTGGTGCAATGTGTAGTAAACATCGCCACTGGTGAGACAAAGGAGGCCGGGCGTAGTGTTGGCTACCCACCCCCTCGTGTGCTGTGCCTGCCTTCATAGGTGCTCGTTAACAGCACTTGCCCCAAGAATCCGTTAAGATGTTCAAACGCCATATATTAGGCCAATCAGTGTAGGCCAATCAGTTTAAAAGACAATGCATATATTAATGAGGTTTTGTTTGCATTTTTACCACAAGCGTGTGTGGTTAATGCAGACTTGATGCCTTACAATAGGTGTCTATTTGGTGTTTTAACATCTTATAACCTCCTGTATCATTGCCGGATAGGAAAAAACCTATTCTTTTTCATCATTTTGATTCCAGCAAAAAAAAATTGTCCCATAGATATATTAGTATCTGTGAAACCACTGATCATTAGTAAAACAATAAAACGCTTCATAGCTCATCGGATTCCTCCAGCATATTAAAAAAAATATTCTGATTCTAAGGATGATTTATTTCTTATTAAGTCTGAATTCGTCAAGTGAAGCTGGATCGTCTGCGTGAGACGCCAGGAGTCGTGGGGGGTGGGTCTCACGGACTTGTTGGAATGCGGCACGCCGCCTCGACTTGCACGCGTTGAGGTCATCGTCCACAGGCACCGCCCACACGGTGCCAAGCAGCCAATCACAGGCGAGGAGCTGGCCATTGTGAACGTCCCAACGTTGTGTTGTGTTCATTGTCCCTGGGGACCCGCCCCCCACCCGTGGAGGGATAGGGGGTTGGGCTCCCACGTTCGCATCACCACGCGACGAATGACCCTCACCACAAACACCACTCACCACACACTCCTCACCACACACTCCTCACCACACAGGCACACACTACTCACCACACACTCCTCACCACACACTCCTAACCACACACTCCTCACCACACATTCCTCACCACAAACACCACTCACCACACACTCTTCACCACACACTCCTAACCACACACTCCTCACCACACACTCCTCACCACAAACACCACTCACCACAAACACCACTCACCACAAACACCACTCACCACACACTCCTCACCACACACTCCTCACCACGAACACCCATTTACCACACACTCCTCACCACACACTCCTCACCACACACTCATAACCACGGACACTCCGAACCACGGTCACACCTCACCAGGGATACACCTCAGCACACACTACTCACCACAAACACCACTCACCACACACTCCTTACCACACATTCCTCACCACACACTCCTCACCACACACTCCTCACCACAAACACCACTCACCACAAACACCACTCACCACACACTCCTCACCACACACTCCTCACCACACACTCCTTACCACGAACACCCCTTTACCACACGCTCCTAACCACGGACACTCCGAACCACGGTCACACCGCACCAGGGATACACCTCAGCATAAACTACTCACCACAAACACCACTCACCACACACTCCTCACCACACACTCCTCACCACGAAGACCCCTTTTCCACACACTCCTAACCATGGACACTTCGAACCACGGTCACACCTCACCAGGGATACACCTCAGCACACACTACTCACCACGAACACTCTTGGCCACGAACACCACTCACCACACACTCCTGACCACGAACACACCACGAAACACACCTCACCACACTCCTAACCGCGGACACTCCAGACCACGAACACATAGACGATTTCTATTTTGCCAGGTAAGGTCCACTGAGCTATATAGATTTGTTTTCAGAAGCGAACTGACCAGAAACGATAGCTCAACGAAGTGGCGTATGACGTGGAAATGTTATAGCTGACAAATCTAAACGCACGTTTCTAAATGTCAAGAGAAACCCCGGAGGGGAGAACACGCAAACTCCAAATATTCAGCAGCAGGCGTCAGGGTTGGGATCGAACCCACGACCTCCTGTGTACCAGGCGAGGGAGTCAACATCTCCTAGCCACCGTGGCGATGAGAGAGAGAGAGACCCACGCAAACTCCAAATATTCAGCAGCAAACGTCAGGGTCGGGATCGAACCCATGACCTCCTGTGTACCAGGCGAGGGAGTTAACATCTTCTAGCCACCGTGATGATGATGAGAGAGAGACGCAAACTCCAAATATTCAGCAGCAGACGTCAGGGTTGGGATCGAACCCACGACCTCTCTTGCACACCAGGCGAGGTAGTTAACATCTCTTAGCCACCGTGATGATGAAAGAGAGACGCAAACTCCAAATATTCAGCAGCAGACGTCAGGGTCGGGATCGAACCCACGACCTCCTGTGTACCAGGCGAGGGAGTTAACACACCCCGTAATTACCACGAACATAAATTCACCACACATCCTCTCACCACGTACACACCATAAACTGACGAACACATCTATTCGTGTTGTCACCAAGCCCCGTGCCCGACCTCCTTTATCACCCCGGTGCCAAACGCAGCACCAAATAAGGTGCTCACTTTGGGCCGAGTCGACCTATGGCAGGGTGACAACAACAAGAAGCGCTGATGCAGTTCGTTTTTTTTTTGGTGATGGACGTTGCTAGGAGACCAATACGACAGACGGCTCGCACACTAACGAAGATAAAGATCCTCCATATAGTCTCCACTCGAAGACAAAGATCCTCCGTGTAGCCTCAACAGTCTTTCGGGGCAAGTGCTGTGCACCAGCAGCGATGGATACCTAGATGGTTGGTGGCCAACGCCACTCCCGAGTGGCGATGTTTACACGATTCGCACCAGGTACTCATTTGAGGCTGAGTCGACCTATAGGAGGCCCAGGATCGGTTTCAGATATTTGTCACTGGTATTGGCCGTGAGCGGGAAATGAAATCGGGTTAAACCACTACACTACCGCTCCCCACTCTCACAGCCACACACTCAACCAGCCGCATAGCCTACATGGATTGTTGGGGCAAGTGCTGTTAGCGAGCACCAATGCGGATCTGCAAGGCGCCCGGTCGCCTTCATTTAAGGCTGAGTCGACCTAGGACTGGTTCAGATAATCTCCACCGATGTTGGCTGTGATCAGAAATCGAATTCAGGTCAAATCGTTTAGCGCGCTGCGAAACGAGTTTTATTTCCCGCTCTCGGCCAATACCAGTGACGATTATCTGATGATCGGTCGTGGGCCTCCCCTAGGTTGACTCAGCCCCAGTGACGATGTGTAAACATCGCCACTGGGAGACAAAGGCGGCCGGGCGTGGTGCTTTTCACCCACTCCCTCGTGTGCCGTTCCAGCCTTCATATGTGCTCCTCGCTCTTGCCCCGACAGTCTGTTCAGGTTACACGGGGGATGTTTGTCTGTGCCTAACACAGTCACACACTCCTGCACACGAAGTAACACACCAATGAACACATTGCACACGTTAATCCATCTTTCCGCCGAACTTCCCCACACACACCCCAACCCTCGCAAGCCCCACCAGCAGCATCCTCCAAACAACACTCTTCCTCTCCCCACAGATGAACCCTCACACCCAACCCCCATACATAACCCCTAACTCACACATGCACAAATACAAAGATCCCCCGTTATTATAGCCTGAAACAGAATGTTGGGGCAAGTCCAGTTGGCTCGTTGGAATAGGAAGCCGCTTAAAGACCTTTTGAGTGAACTGGTCTCTTCATATGAATGTGGAATGGACACCATCTGAGGACGATACCGATTTAAATGACTATGTATATTAGCGATAACTATGATGTCCGCAAGTGTCCTCATATCATCCACTGCCATGGCTTCCTCTGGGTGGCTTCCGCATCAATAATGAGCTTCGTCTCCTGTGACCTCACCCAACCTCGCTCCTCCATCCCCTCGCCTCCTTCACCCGCGCACCACGGGATGTCTCTCCCTCTCGCATGCTGTTCACATTGTCTAGACTCCACCGTTGTCTGAATATTTTCTTTGCTTGTGTTTAAGTATGTCAGCCTTACGTAATCACAATCATCCATACAACTGAATGAGCACGGCCAAGAATGAAAAAAAATGATGTCATTTATTTATTCACCAAAGCATCGCTGATATTTTGCAGGGTGCTGCTCCATGGATATATTTTGGCAATTCCAATTGTTTGGCCAATTTGAGTGTTTGGCTTCATTCGGGAGGACACCGGAGAAACCCCACACTGCGAGCAAGGCACGTTGCTCAAGCACACGAGGTAGATTTAATAATCCATTGCAGCATTGTCATCTTATGGTGATTGTCTCCCAACCAAATTCGTTACTAACCAGGATTCATTTCCCTGCTTAGCTTCCGAGATCCGACGAACTCGGAGCGGACGGGCAAGGTGTGTGTGTGTGTGGGGGGCATTCGAGGTGAATGTTTTGCGCTCCCCAGTTCACGCTACAACCACTTGGAGGGGATGTCCTTAGCCTCGTCAGGGAGAGAGAGAGAGAAAGAGAACACCCCCACCCCCCGCACCGGCTCAGAGCCGACCGACAAACAGAGAAGACGTTGAGGTCATTTGGGGCTGGCGTTGCCAGCCTTAATAGGCGCTCGCGAACAGCGCCTCCCAAGGCTTCCTGATTGATGTGGGGGGGGGGATGCTGGTGGGGGGGGGGTGTTTACAGGTTAATTGGGGGGAAGGTGTAGAGTGAACGGCGGTCTCCTTGGCAACAGAACCTCCCCCCCCCCCCCATCTAATCCCCCCCCCAACCTCCGTGCATTACCCCCCCTCTCTACTTGCCCCCCAGTTCCCCCCACCCCCGTGTCCCCCCCTCCCCTACCCCCCCCAGAAAACTGCCCCACCCCCCAGCGCATTAAGAGGCAAAGCGCATTTCAGCATTCAGGGCCCATAGAACGACAGCGCTCGCAATGACAGCCTCACATCGACATGACTCTCATCACATCGACAACCCACTCTCATCACATTCATATCACCCCCCTCACATCGACACCACAACCTTCCTATCGACACAGTTCAGCTTTTTACCGAAGACATTGCTGCTGCTGCTACCCCGGCAACAACAGCGAGTGCGGTTGTTCAGTCACTGCGACACCCATTTACTCAGACGTCAGCGCCGCCTAGTGAGAGCGGACGTAACAGAGACACGGACTATCACAGAGACACAGACTGTCACACAGAGACACGGACTGTCACAAATAACACAGAATCTCACAGAGACACAGACTGTCACACAGAGACACGGACTGTCACAGAGACACGGACTGTCACAAATAACACAGAATCTCACAGAGACACGGACTGCCACAGAGACACAGACTGTCACACAGAGACACAGACTGTCACAAATAACACAGAATCTCACAGAGACACGGACTGTCACACAGACACAGACTGTCACAGATAACACAGAATCTCACAGAGACACGGACTGTCACACAGACACAGACTGTCACAGATAACACAGAATCTCACAGAGACACGGACTGTCACACAGAGACACAGACTGTCACAAATAACACAGAATCTCACAGAGACACGGACTGTCACACAGACACAGACTGTCACAGATAACACAGAATCTCACAAAGACACAGACTGTCACACAGAGACACAGACTGTCACAAATAACACAGAATCTCACAGAGACACGGACTGTCACACAGACACAGACTGTCACAGATAACACAGAATCTCACAGAGACACGGACTGTCACACAGACACAGACTGTCACAGATAACACAGAATCTCACAGAGACACGGACTGTCACACAGACACAGACTGTCACAGATAACACAGAATCTCACAGAGAACACGAACAGTGACAGAGACATGGACTATCACACAGAGACACGGACTGTCACAAATAACACGGACAGTGACAGAGATACGGACTGTCACAGAGACACGGACTGTTACACAGAGACACGGACTGTCACAGATAACACAGAATCTCACAGAGAACACGGACTGTCACGGACACACAGAGGGCACCAGCGTCTCACGGAGATAGCAGCCTTCACGCAGACACAGCAGACTCTCACAGAGTCACAGAGACAATCCTATTTGGACACCCCCTGGAACAGCATAAGCCGTGAACAATCCACTGATGGATGAAGGCCCTCTCTGCATGCCATCGCCATCTCTCGCTGATGGAACAATATGCCGAGCAG